AAACATGTTCCACCAATGCGTAAAGCACTTTGAGTGTGCAGGAAACGTGCTATATAAATGTAAGGAATTATTATTATTTATTATTATTTATTTATTTCTATGTGAAACACTTTCATGAGCCCATTTAGCCAATGAGACAAAAACATAGTTTTACTAAAGTAAACTTACATTTATCCACAAAAAATAAACCTGACTGTATTTTTGTAGTAAAGCCGTGGTTAATTGTGTTAAATATGCCATTTCAGCCTGCAGAATGGCATTTCAAACTGTGGCCTAACAAAAATATAGAAAAGAAATATCGAGTTTCTGTAATATAAAACTAAACAATTCCTCTCCCTGTATAGTTCCTAAAGTTAACTAGACAGAAACAAATGTAAGTTAATTTTAACAGAATCACTCAAATAGCAATTAATCTGACTGATGTTAACGTTAAAGGTTTGATCGAGCTTTTAAGTAAAGCAATAGATAGTTTAAAGTTACAGTACCGTTAATATAACATTAATATTTACATTAAGTTGCATCAATGTTAGCATTAGCATCAAATGCTAATTAGCGCTACTAGCCTGTGACATACAGTAATAAACGTTAGATCTAATTACACTGACTTTAATTTTCATTGGTTTAATTTGTAATTATTTATTTTATTTATGTTATTTTTTCTTTTTAATTCGCATTTTTCACTTAGTAAAGGCGGGGACTGTTGACTAACGTTAGTAGCTCTAAATTAGTTGACTGGAATGCTGTGACAGTGTTAGCATGTAGCATGTTCACACATAAAATAAGTACAGTCCGCAATTAAAACCATGTCCTGCCTTTTGTTGTAACTTAATAAAATCTACTGCAATTAATGTCAACAAAGAGGTTTAATCCACAAGAATTTGATCATTATTCCTACCTGTTCACATCGGTTCAGTCCTTATTTAGGCTAGAGTGGGTTATTTTTTGAGAATGAATCTGTGGATTTAAATGAATTGTGAGAGTCGATTCATCCTTGACCTATTCATAAATACAACAGTTGCTTTGTTGCTGAATAAATGTCTTATTCACTTAAGACAGTGTCCTACCACCACCTACTGGCGATTTCAGGTAATACATGGATAACTTCATTTTGTTGCATATTTTTCTTTTTAATTTATTATTTGAAGCATTATTCATTTAAAAAGAATTTACAAGAATAACGAATTTATATAATATATAAATATAAAATAAATAAAATGAGAAATGAAAAAATCACACACACACACACACACACACACACACACACACACACACACACACACACACACACACACACACACACACACACACACGTATAAATATATATAAACATGGTAATAATTCTAATAAAAAGCAATAACGCAGAAAAAGTTGTGCATGACAGAAAAAATACATAGGCCTAAGTGCAAAATTAATTTAATTAATAATTGGAAAAAATGTGTATAAGCAGGTGGCTGTGTGAGCACATTAAGGCGAATGAGCCAGTCAGTCTAGCGCGGGCCTTTCATTAGAAGTTTGTTGTGTTTTAAAAAGTCTCTACGTAATACCAAATGGAATTGTGGAACTCTGACATCATCAGTGACAGTATAAAGCTTTTTGACGTAGCAGAAACTCTCATTAGCTTCTTTGGATGTCTAGTAGTTCAGTACTTTCTGCGATTCAACAGTACAGTGATAAAATGGCATTTTCAAAACTGATTAACCGTCTGAAGAAAGCGTTTGGTGTTAAGTGTGCGAACGAACAACCGTGTGAGCCACTCGAACCCACCGGCAGCACGACAGAGAATCACCGTCATCTGATGACCGATGACCCGGCCGTCGCTGCAGGAAAACAGGCAGGGAGACAGAAAAAGAGGAAAATCAAATTGTCTCCCATCTTCTTCGCCTGTTTTTCCAGAAGAAGAGCTACTGTTGTTGGTAAAATAGATTTATGAGCACTTTTAATTACTAAAGCATACTGTTAAACACACCAAACACATCACATAAGTGTTTAAAGATCAGAAATAAACATTACTGGAAGACATTTTAGAAAGAGTTTCTTAAAGCCAAAGTTCACATAAACAAGACAATTCTGTCATAATTTACTCCTTAAACCTGTTTGAGGTGCTTTCAGCCATTGACTTCCACAGTATTTTGTGTTCCTACAATGAAGGTTAATGGCTGCTGATTTCAGGAATTTTCTTCAGAATTTGTAGTTTTGTGTAAAAAACTGAAAAAAAAAAAAAATTATTTGTATTAGGATTTTTATTTCAGTGAGCTTTGCCTTTAGATATATAGTTTACTTGTTTGCTAATTCAATGCAGAAAACCCATGAAGATCATCAATAAAAACACATTGAGTAATGTTTCTGCAAATGAACTGTTCAAATATCTTGTCAAAAAGAGTTGTAGAGTCATATTAATGATGTTCCTTTCTCTCTTTAGATCAGCTATGTGTGCAGGAGATCCACGAACTTCACGCAGAGCCCATCAGTAGCTCTAAATTCTTCTGCACTGCTGTGAGCAACCTGGAGCTGGAAGTTCTCCAACCTCCAGCTCTTGATGCTCCAGCAGACGAAGATTTGGACTCTAAACCGGAAATGAACAGCTTTGACTCTGCAGTGGTCATTGAGAACGACTCTGCAGAGCTTCACTTCCCAGAAGACATTGAATCCTCCCTCAGTGAGGACAGCCTGGGGCAAGAGCTTGATAGTCCTCCAAGTTCACCATCTGATGAGGACAATGAATCTCCAGTGAGCCAGCAGCTCATAACAGATGACATCTGTGACTCTGCCCTGGATGAAAACTCAAACCCTTCACCGGATCAGGTCTCACAAGAGGACTCTGCTGATGATGGGACCTGCTTGGACAATAGTAAGTTTATTGCTGGAGTTCAGAACATTTGTTTAGGCTCATCAATCTTTGTAAAATTATACAGTTGAAGTCAAAATTATTCGCCCTCCTGTGATTCTTTATTAATATTTTTTAAATATTTCCCAGATGATGCAGAGCAATAAAGTTTAAGTATTCAGAACTTTAAGCTGAACACAGGTATCTTGAAAATATCCAGTAAATATGATGTACTGTCATCACGACAAAGATAAAAGACATCAGTTATTAGAAATGAGTTATTAAAACTATCATGTTCTGAAATCTGACAATAATTCTGACTTCAACTGTTTGTGTTTTTATTTGGTTTATAATTTAATGACATTTTCTTCATTTTTAACAGATGACATCAGCTGCCGCTACAAACTCGGAAAGCAGCTTGGTGAAGGAGGTTTCGGCTCCGTGTATGAGGGGATTCGCATACAGGATGGTCTGCAGGTATTCATTTTTGTAGACTCAAATCCTCTGATGAAGTTCCCTGTTTAAAGAACATCATCAGAGCTTTCATTGTTTGGACATTTCTGCTGACGAATGAATCCTCTGATCAGGATTTATGACTGAATGAAATGATCTCCGTGCACATGTTAATTGTTCGCTTGTTCCTTTAAACAGGTGGCAGTTAAATTTGTCCAGAAGACCCCAAATATGCAAGATGTCAGCTCTGTGAGTAGACTACACTTTCTGTTCGCTGTGTTCAGTTTATAAAGTCTTATATTTATTATAGACCACAGGCTGTGGTCAGAAACCCTTGTTTGAAAACCAACATTATTATTTTGTTTTCAGTCATGTGACCAGCCACTTCCTCTAGAGATCACCTTGGCAAACATGGCCAGCGGTGGCTCCAGGTGTTCGAACATTATTCAGCTTCTGGACTGGCAGGTCTTTGAAAACCATTACGTCATGGTGATGGAGCGGCCTAGTCCAAGCATGGACCTGGAGGCATTCCTTGAAGTCAGCGGAGGAGTCCTCAGTGAGAAAACAGCACATACCATCATGAGGCAAGCTGTTTATGCGGCCAACGTGTGCTGTTACCGCGGGGTGTTCCACCGGGACATTAAGCTTCAAAACCTGCTGGTGAACCCCGACACACTGGAAGTCAAGCTGATCGACTTCGGGTGTGGAGACTTCATGATGGAATCAGCCTACAGTATCTTCTCTGGTAGGTGTTTTGAATAGTGTGGTCAAAAGTATCGACTTCGGTACCAATCGATTCTGACATTTAACAAGTCAATTTGAGCGCTGTTAAACACCACTGATTGGCCATTGGTGTTCACATGCTCAGCAAATATGACTGTGATGAGTGTCGGTATCGATTGGTAGTTGATACTTTTGACAACACTAGTTATGAATGTGCATAAGCATTATTAATAAACGTATTGAAAGCTGGTTAATTAGCACAGCTGAAGCCCATCTGGTATATATATTCAACATGATGCTAAACTAAACGTCTCTCCTCCAGGCACAGAAGCGTACATCCCGCCAGAGTTTTATGAAAAAGGATGCTACCGGGCCAAACCAGCGACGGTCTATTCTCTTGGGGTTCTTCTGTTCACAATGCTCCATGGAGAATTCCCATCAGCGTATGACCTGTACTACCTCCAACATGACTGGTCCAAATTTACCCTCTCTCAAGGTGAGATGTTCATCAAAGAACAATTAAGTGAAACAGCTTAATAATAATAATAACAATAACCTCACCTCTCCATTTCTTCTTCACAGAATGCTGTGATATGATGAGGGCTTGTCTGCATGAGAATCCAGAGTGCAGAATTCCTCTAGAAGAGATGCCTTACCACGACTGGTCCATGCTGGAGTTCTGAGTCACATTAGCAGAATGTTTTGTATATTTGATTTTTGTACATGTCTGTAATAAAGATATATTTTATTGAACTCACTTGTGTTTTGGCTTATATTGTGATCTAGCCCCAGTGTTGTCAGATTTTGTGGATTTAAAATGGTTTTGTTTGGGGTGACAAAAATTTGGCATGAGGTTTGAACAGCATCCAGTCCTTTCCAACACACACTGCAGTTGACACTGGCGTCATTACGGCGCACTTTTAAAAATACACTTTTTCAGAATGCTGTACAGCGCTGACCCAAAACCTAAACATATCAGTCACTGTGACATAAGCAAATCATCCATAAATATTCCAATGGTTTATTGTGAAATCAGAGCTGTTCAGAAAAATGTATTAAAATACAAACGTCGTAACATGAGAATGTGAGACTCAATACAAAACATCAGCATTTTCACAATAAGAGCACCCAGTTTTATTAAGGTCTTTGAGTGTTTGTTGCCCTCATGACAATCCTAAACAAAATATTCAGTGATATTCCTTCAAATCAATACTGATAGTGTAGTTTGCGCAGACACACTGAGGATTATCCAGTGTACAGTAGTCTGAATCATCCACATTATTTCATACGCTTCCAGAAACACGTTTACTACACAAATGTCCAGCGTTTGCTAAAACTGTTCAACTCTTTAGATGATTCCTTTCTTACAACATCTCCAACTATGACAGCTTCTCATTACTCACCATTTCTTAATCTTACTAAATACTTGACTTGATGTCGCTCTGTGGACTCTGGGGTCATGTGCAGCATGAGCAGGTCGGCCCCCCGGCGGACCACCACATTTAAGCTTTCGCTGGTCCTGACAGCATTATATATCTCCTCCGACGTGTTCACCTTTACCCCATTGATCTCAATAATAACATCTCCTGGCTTCATTCCGGCTCTGCAAAACAGGAAATGACATCATCAATAGGATGCCTTAATCAACAGCTGATAACATCATGTTCAGAGAGCAGCACACCTGTTGGCTGGAGATCCTACAATCACACGGTGGATGAGAACTCCATGAGAAACATCAGGGAAGGACGGGTCTCGCATCCTTAGCTCATCGATTATACTGAGGAGGGGAAAAAGAGAATTTAAAGATAATAAAAGACTCACTTCAGTGCAAAGGTTACGGTTTAAGGATTGATTGATAAATAGATAAGATAGATAGATTCATAGATAGATAGATTGATTGATTGATAGTTTAATAGACAGATCAGCAAAACAATCAATATTACATTTGCTTCAACCAAAAACACTTCAATGTCTGCGGTTTAATTACTCTTGCTAATAACATAGTAAAAACATCTGAAAAGCATTATTCCCATAATACATTTGTTTTTCAGTTGTTTTTTTCTGTCACTGCAACACAGAAAGGCCTTTGTCCCGCCCTTACATTTCAGGTAAAACTAAACAAGGTTGACTGTGATTGGCCACTTCTCATATCATTTAAATCACTGCTTCGGAATCACGGTAAATTGTGCGGGTATTTTTGCATTAAATTGTAACAAAAATTCACAAACATTTTTATTTTTCGGGCGTGAAAATTGCATACAAATTCTCCTTGATAAATTAAGCACTTTTCAACAGAACAAGCCAATTTTCCAGGTATTCCAGCACTTAAATTTCTAAGAGCCAAATCTAGTGGTAAATAACAAAAATCTGCAGATTCCATAATGTATGAATTTTGCTCTCCTGTAAAATTGTAATAAAAGTGTTTGGCACCTGGGGGTCAAAGTCAACATCATCACTCCAATGTAACGCCTTTTCGATCCCGATTCTCCAAACCAAGAGTCTGAAAAAAAGACCCAATAACCATCTGTCAGTGAAAAAAATGCTGTCACAGACAAAAACAAGCAGCTGTGAGGTCATTCTTACTCTGTTTGTCTGCAGATCGGTCTAGGAAGAGACGGACTCTGTCAGAGGGAATAGCGAAGGAAATCCCTGCTGTCACTTTCATGGTATTAATGCTGATGACCTCACCATCCTGAAGAGTTCAAACATGACACATCAGTTTATTACATAAGGCTAGAGTATGGCCAGTACAATACAATATTGATGAACATTTGAAAACAATTCACGTTCTTAATATGACAGTCATGAAGCTCTGTGTTGCTCTGAAGGTCCAGCAATCTGTAGTCAACTACTAAATGTGCACTAATAACTTTCTCCTTCACATTATTGTACAAGGAGGGTACCACCATAGCTGTGAGATACGTTCTACTTGGGATTTCGTAGTGTGGTTCTAGCACACTAATTAAATGCCTAAAACCAGAGTTTTCTACCCCTGAAAAAGGTTGCATGTCTGTGGCTATAAATACTCCTACCCTAATACTCCTACTATTATGCCTACAATTGTCTTTGCTTGTGTTGAGTTACTTGGAATTTTTATTCCAAATGAAGACAGGAGAGTAGTTTGTGTTTCACTTGTCAGTTTAACAGATAAAGTAATGATTTTGTGGACATCAGTAATCTAACTATTTGCCTTAATCTGATTAAAACAATAATATGATTAAGATGTTTACATGAGTTGCTTTTTGAATGTTCCTTTCATGATCCCGTTTTACATGTTAAAGCACATAATACGATTAACGTCATTGTGTCACCACGCTATCCACGTTTCCTCCGGAGTGTCATGTAATTTCGGGGATTTTCATTCTTAATTTGTCGACTTTAACTGCAGTTTGGTACTTTCATTTTCATTCAAGAACATTTCATGCGTGCCCCCATGACAAACGACATATTGGATCCGAGGAACTGCTAGAAGAGTGTAGTTTTAATGGCCTACTTCGCCATCTGAATAACAAGGAACACCGATTGCTTACTTACCAAATCCATAGAGACAGGACAATCAACGCGAACTGGATTTGCGATTTTTTTTTATAAGAAGACGAGTGGAAAATCTGGATTTCACCATTTATACATACAAAAAGCTCTCAGGTAAAAATGTTCCTTACAAACATAATTTTGTTGCGTGTTAGAAGACCACTGTAGTCCACAAATGTGGGTCCTTTCTCATCGCGGGGAAATGAAACAAAACCTTTGTTGTGGCAAGTTTATAAACAACACTGACGACCCATGTCTCTGAACAATTCTTCTTCTTCCACTTGTTTTATTTACGGTTAGCAACACAACGTCGCGTCTCTCTGAATACTGTAACAGGTAGTTTTTGAAGCTATCATGCATATTTAATAAAGTTGCACCTCATATACAATAGAGCGCGCTGATTGGTTCGTCTTTCTCTTGAATTAATGATGAAAGCTCAAAGACGTCACATTGTACCCGCCGGTACAGACAGCGAGTCTCCATGCTGGAATTTACACAAGGAGCTCATGGCTATGAGGTGCCGTATAGGATTTAAATCAAACTTTGCTTATCAACACATACATAAAACACGTGTATATACACCTATAAATTACTTGCATATACACCTATACTACTGAATGTTCAAAACAACATGGAAGAAACTTGTGTATATACATATGAACTTGACGCATGAATACACCCACATTAACACACGCACATGCATATAAACTTGCTGCATGCAAACACACCTATACACACTTGCACATACATATAAACTCGGTTTATGCATATACACCCTCAACAACACGCGCACATACACAAACTCATTGCAAGCAAACACACCTATAACATCTCGCGCAAACATACAAAAAAAAATAAAGAAATAAAATTCACAAACATTTATAAAGAATCTGGTTATTGCAAAGCTTATGAAATAGAAATAATGTGATTAATAGAGGGATTAAATATGTTAAATTATGAACATATGTTATATAAAATATTAGTCTATATAAATAGACTATTCAAAATAAGAAATATTTTTATTTAAATCCTTTTCATTTAATTAGGTAATTACATACACAAATATAAATGGACAGATAGAACCCTTAAAGGACGTTCAAAAAGCAACCAGAATTATAAATATAAATGTATACTCAAACTAAACTCCTCTATTCTATTGCAAATGTTAATGTAGCCTATAGTCTTTTTGTTTTGTTTTTTACATTTTTATAATTATTATGCTTTTTATATGTTTTTACAATGTGGGTGTCAAAATTGCAAGATTTTGGTATCATTTTGATTGTTAATTATTTAGCATATAAAATAAACAAAAAAACAAAACAAAAAAACACTGATTAAAAGTCTCTGCTCATCATGTTGGTCAAGTTAACCCCCATGGAAAAGCTATATATATTATCAGGACACTCCTTTTGTGTTTAATAACTACTACTTATATTTTTACAGCAGCTGGCATCCAGCATTTTGGTGCATTAGCCTGTTTATTGGTGACAGGAAAACCCACTTAAGTGCATTCCTGCCCCCTACTGGACATAAGTGTGTATCATAACCCTTGACGAATGGTGACACCAATAATAAAACAAACATAAAAAACTAATATTAGACAAACATATTTTATTCAAAATGATTACTTAAGCAACTTTATATTTATTAAACCATAATAACATTTCCAATAATTTAATTGCATAATAAACCTTTAATTTTGCAGGAGCATTCCTTTGCATTACCTTTTTATTTATTTATTTTTTAGAATTAGCATAATCTATTTTCATATTTCAACAGATGTAATTCCTCTAATAATCACATTATTTCTGTTTCTTAAGGTTTGCAATAACCTGATTCATGACAAATAATAATCTTGTTCATTACACTCAAAGGACTTTTACGTTGAAATTAAACAACTTCCTTTTAAAGTGAAATAACTTCCTTTTACTGTGAAAATTCATGCATACACACATATGAAATCACTTGCATATATGTATATACACAACTAACTGTATATATGTTTGTGAATTTTATTTTGTATGTTTGCACAAGTGTCATTTGGGTGTTTATGCACACATCAAGTTTATATTCTTATGTGAGAGTTTATGGGTGTACATGCATAGATCAAGTTTATATGTATATGCAAGTGTGTATAGGTGTGTTTGCATGCAGCAAGTATATATGTATGTGCGTGTGTTAATGTGAGTGTTTATGTGAGGATCGAGTTTATATGTATGTGCGTGTGTATGTGGGTGTATTCATGCATCAAGCTTTTATGTATATACACAAGTTTCATCCATGTTGTTTTGAACATCCAGTAGTATAGGTGTAAATGCGAGTAATTTATAGGTGTATATACACGTGTTTTATGTATGTGTTGATAAGCAAAGTTTGATTTAAATCCTATACGGCACCTCATACATGGCCTTGACGTAGCTTCAAAATTTCTTTTCAAACCGGAAGAACGAATTTGTTTGAAATAAAGCAAAAACAACCAATTTTCACTTTTACTGTTAAATATGTGTCCTAAGAGTGTTTTTAGCAGCGTGAGACATATATATGACTATTGACAACTCAAAAATGTGTTTTGGTGTTTCGTGACCCTTTAAACCAAAAGGCAGAAGCAGTGAGTTGAGCAAATGTCAGCGACTCACCAGGTGTATGAGAGGCCCTCCTGAATTTCCAAACTGTAAAGCAGAATTGTGATTGAGTGATGGAATGCAATTTATTAAATGATAACATAGTTTTTTTTTTTTTTGCATGCAACACCACCCAGTTTCCAGTGCTCTTACATCTATGGTAGCGTCCGTCTGGATGTAGTCCATGTTGGAGTTGGAGAGACCCAGTTCTTTACTGCCTCTCTGAGCAGAGCTGACGATTCCAGATGTGATGGTGTTTTTAAGAGAAAAGGGACTCCCCATGGCAACCACAAATTCACCTTGACGCACATCAGATGACTTGCCAAGACGCAACGTTGGTAAAGGATTCTGGGACAAGACAGAGAACACAATGACACTATGTCAGACTATATGGCCATGTACTAGAACTGTGGTAAAAGAAAACAGTCAAAAATCAATTGCAAAAATGGCGTTCCAAACATTAAAGCCTCCTCTGTTACTGTTGGTTTACCTAAAATTGTTGACTATAATTATTCTTTAGTTGCTACTACTAATTATTCTTTAGTTGCTACTCAGTAATACTACTGCGTTTAAAAATCTGAGGATACAAAACCAAATGTCACTAAGGTTATCACAATTTCGAGTTTATTTCCATATTTGTATGCGGCGGTTCCTCCTGAAATATTACAGCGTGTATGTAGCCTAAATACACTATAATCAGATTAATGGGTTAACACCAGGGCTTGACATTAACACCCACCAACCGCAGGTAGACTTTAGCTGTGGCGGATAAGACAGCCACTCCCACTAGTCACTTTGGCTGGTCGAAAATCATTTTTAAATTGTATTTTTTTTTAAAAGCAGGGTTCAACAAAAAGATGAACCTCTATAAATGAGAAGCAGCCCGACTGACAAAAACAACTGTGTTCACGCAAGCAAAAGAAAGCAGATGAATACAGAATGTTATGTGATGCACGCAATTTTTTAAAAGCGTGCACGATCCCATTTCCATGCGTGAAGCAACCTTGACCGGAAACACAATGCTGCGATCGGTTCTGTTTGAAATAGACTTCACAAAAAGTGATACACATCCACCATTTTCAAGAGCTCGAGATTTTAAAAAAAAGAAGGTATTTTATGTATGCAGCAGCAGTTGCAGCTTTAGCTTTAAACAATCTTTGAACAGATTATTAATGGGCCTAACGTTAACTGTGTGCGTTTGATCATCCTTTCATTATTGCACACGGTATGTTTTTCACCTGCTTTCTTTTTGTTAATATGATTTAATTATCATTTTTTTCAGTAACATTTATTTAATAGATTAAATTTAATGTATAGTTAACTGCTGATCTGAGACCTTGGTCTTGGAGCTAGGACAGACCTCTTTTTCATAGTTTTAGACAGGCTACATGACAATAATTGTTATTTAAGTTTTATTTAATAAAAAGTGTGTGCATATTACAACATATATTTTGCTAGTTTTTGAAATTTTAAAATTATTTAACATTTTTGGCTGAGAAATATTTATTTATTTATTTATTTATTTATTTATTTATTTATTTATTTATTTATTTTCCAGTGTGGCCAGAGAAAAAATTGGTACAACCTTAATGTTGAGCCCTGAAATAATAACCAATTACAATGCAACACCATGAAACCACTACCGCTCATGCTCATTAAGCAATGTCATACACAACACATCTAGATCAAGTAATTTTGCAAATATATTTTCCCAAAAACAAAAGTGAAAATGGCGAGTGGCTAGTAAAGTTGAAAAACTACTAGCCATATAGGCTGGTGATCAAAAAAGTTAATGTAAAGCCATTAAAAACATTAAAAATCATATTGACCTCACACTTTTAATGTACTAACAGTGACACAATTTTGATTCTATAGGTTTAATTCTTAAATGAACAAAATTCAAAAAGAAATTACTCATTTGATAAAGACCTTTTACTAAAAATGTAAATTAATAAAATAAAATGAGTCCTTGTTCTTACCATATTAAACTATGACTCAATAAAAATAATGATGCACCGATACCATCTTTTTGGAACTGATTCGATTTCGATCCCAAAATTCTGAGTATCGACCAATACAGATCCGATCCTGATATTGTGCCATTTTTTTAAGCATAATACAGTTTCTATGGTGATGTGGTCCAGCTTATGTTTCCTTTTTTAATAGTAAGATTTTTCTTTGAACTCTGCAACAGGCTACCACTATTGACCCTAATCAAAACACAAACTGGTCTGTTAAATAAACTATTGATATAAATAAAATTACAGTCAAATATTCACAGTTTCAGAGTAACCTATATGAGGCTTAATTATTTTCTGTTAATGACAATCAATATTGTGCCTGTCAGTTTCACTTTTATTAATTTAATCAACAACTTTGACCACAATGAGCCAGGCTTACAAACTATTCTAAAAGTATTCCCCTTCGAAAGAATAAACTCAGTCGGAAGGATGAGAAAACAGAAACTTTTAATGTTACAGAATAATTCTAGAGAGCGGCACATATCACATCAGCCAGTGTGTGAATGAAGTGGCAGTATGTGAAGGGTCACATAATGTGTGTGCTTGAAGTTTGGACTTGCTATTTACTCGCAATTTAAATCTTAATCATAAAATTCTTCCTCATTCGCTAAGTATTTGTCTCTCCTACTTAGGGTGACCAAACCCTTAATACATTTATACAAACAAAACTGCTTTAAAAACGGTCTGTCCCTCGAGCATCCGCCTGTTGTTTGTAGCTTTAGCCTGCTAGCGCCGCTGGTCAGCTAAAGCTACCGACCTCTTTTACCATACACTTTTGACTTACTGGCTTTGCTCTTTACCCCGTAAAATGTCGCTTCCGTCTCTGTCCTTGTGTGCAGGAGAAGCATCGATGGAGGCGTTGGAGCTGGAGCTGCAGCTGGAAGAAGTGGAGTCCAAGATCCGGGCGCTTCTGATGAGACGGTCGCGGCTACGGGAACAACTGCTTGTTGTACCTAATGCTAAGGCCGCCTCATCATCTAAGGTACGTGGAAATTACAACCACATCATTCCCTCTACCTCAACCCCGCGTCCTACTCTGTCCAGGCCCAGCGCACCCGGGGCGCGGCTCAGCCAGGCGTCGTTCACGCCGACACCCGGCTACCACGGCGCCTGGGTGCAGCCGCGCAAGGTGCTTCCCAGATCTCGGGGCAGAACGTCTCCTCCCGTGTTCGAGATCTCCACGGAGAACCGCTTCTCCCCTCTCCGCGAGTCGGGTCCCGATGTGGCCATCATCGGTGACTCGATCGTTCGTCACGTCCGTGCCGCTTCCTCAAAAGGTAATAAAGTACGTACTTTCTGCTTTCCTGGTGCCCGTGTGAGAAATATTTCTACACAGATTCCAACCATCCTGGGCACTGCCGAGAGCCCTGGTGCCGTTGTCCTCCACGTGGGGACAAACGACACCGGGCTCCGGCAGTCGGAGATCCTGAAGAAGGACTTCAGGAGCCTGATCGAGACGGTTTGACGCACCTCGCCCGCCACGCAGATCATCGTTTCTGGGCCGCTTCCTACCTACCACCGAGGAAATGAAAGGTTCAGTAGACTTTTAGCTCTGAATGAATGGCTAATAACATGGTGTAAAGAACAGAAATTGCTCTTTGCTAATAACTGGAATCTTTTCTGGGAGCGTCCTAGGCTCTTCCGTCCTGACGGCCTGCACCCCAGTCGAGCCGGAGCTGAACTCCTGTCGGACAACATCTCCAGATTACTTCGCACCATCTGACTAGCAGGTAAAAATTCACAAAATTCACATTATAGCCACCTAGACTCTTGTTCACCCCACTTAAACATCAGTAACGCATATCTGGCAAATCCTATAGAGACTGTGTCTGTTCCTCGTATTATTAGATTAGGAAATAAACGTACTGTGTGCTCCAGAAAAAATCTAGTAAGAATCAAACCAGAAAAACCAGTTGAAAGTGAAAATACAAATTTCGTAAAACTTGGTCTCCTAAACATCAGGTCACTTGCACCTAAAGCACTTATCATTAATGAAATAATAACAGAAAACAATCTTAATGCACTTTGTCTCACTGAAACCTGGCTGAAACAAAATGATTATATTAGCTTAAATGAAGCAACTCCTCCAGGATTCTTATATAAACATGAGGCTCGTCAAACTGGTCGTGGTGGTGGAGTTGCATCAATCTTTAGTGATTTCCTTAATATTAAACAGAGAAACGGACTTATGTTTAGCTCCTTTGAAATATTATCGCTTAATGTTCAGCTTCCAGATACTATGCAAAAACCTATGTTATCTCTCGCTTTAATCACCATATATAGACCCCCAGGACCCTATGTCAAATTTCTAAAAGAATTTTCTGATTTTATTTCTGACTTACTAGTCAAAACTGATAAAATGCTAATTGTAGGTGACTTTAACATCCACATAGATGACGCTAATGATACATTAGGGCTTGCGTTTATGGATTTAATACACTCACTTGGGATAAAGCAAAACGTTGTGGGTCCAACCCATCGCTTAAAGCATACATTAGATCTAATTCTGTCTTATGGAATCGAGGTTATTGACGTAGACATTATACCACAAAGTGATGATATTACAGATCACTACCTCTTACTATATAAGCTGTGTTTACCTGAAATCAGCAAACCCGCCCCAATACTCCGCCCTAGTAGAACTATTGTTCCGTCAACTAAAGATGAATTTATAAATAACTTACCTGATCTCTCTCTATTTCGTAATGCACCCGCAAACTCAAATGATCTTGATGTAGTAACCAGCAGTATGGATGCCATCTTTCCTAGCACACTAAATACTGTGGCACCCATCAAATTAAAAAAAGGCTAGAGAGATTAAAACTATACCATGGTATAATAGTCATACTCGTGCGCTCAAAACAGCAACCCGCGCCCTGGAACGTAAATGGAAAAAAACTAATTTAGAGGTCTTTAGAATTGCGTACAAAGACAGTATGTCCAGCTATAGGAGGGCTCTAAAATCTGCCAGGACCGAGCACCTGCGCAAACTGATAGAAAATAATCATAACAATCCTAGATTTTTATTTAACACCATCTCTAAATTAGCAAATAATCGGTCATCCTTGGAACAAACTACTCCACCGCAAATTAGTAGTGATGACTTCATGAATTTTTTCAGTAATAAAATAGAAGGCTTTAGACAGAAAATAGGAGATGCCAAACTTTCTGCACCGGCTTATACTCCAAATCCTGTAAATATTTCATTGAATCATAATAATAACCTACACTGCTTCAAAATCATAGAACATGAAGAGTTAGTAAAAATTATAAATAGCTCTAAACCAGCTACGTGTATGCTGGACTCAATTCCAACAAAATTACTGAAAGAGCTGCTACCTGCTATAAGAGAACCTCTTCTTAACATTAACAACTCTTCGTTATCTATAGGCCATGTTCCAAACTCTTACAAGCTAGCTGTTATTAAGCCTATTATTAAGAAACCGCAACTAGACACCAACAACTTAGCTAACTATAGGCCTATTTCAAATCTTCCATTTCTGTCTAAAATACTAGAAAAAGTTGTTTCCACTCAATTATGCTCCTTTCTGCAGACAAACAATATTTTTGAAGTGTTTCAGTCAGGTTTCAGGGCTCATCACAGTACAGAAACCGCATTAGTGAAAATAACCAATGATTTACTCTTAGCTGCTGACCGAGGGTGCATCTCGCTATTAGTTTTACTCGATCTTAGTGCGGCATTTGACACCATTGACCACAATATCCTCATAAATCGCTTAAAGTCTACAGGTGTCCAGGGACAAGCTCTACAATGGTTTAAGTCATACTTAACTGACCGTTACCAGTTTGTGAATATTAATGGACAGCCTTCACAAGTCAGCCCAGTAAAGTATGAGGTGCCTCAAGGATCAGTTTTAGGCCCTTTACTGTTTACAATTTACATGCTACCACTGGGAGACATTATTAGAAGACATGGGATAAGCTTTCACTGCTATGCAGATGATACTCAATTATATATTTCAACTAAACCTGATGAGATGTCTGAACTTTCTAAACTGAGTGTATTAGAGATGTTAAAGACTGGATGACCAACAATTTTCTTCTCTTAAACTCAGACAAAACAGAATTATTACTTATTGGACCTAAATCTTGCACACAGCAGATCTCGCAACTCAATTTACAATTAGAGGGATACAAAGTTAGTTTTAGCTCTACTAATTATGTCACAAAAACTGCCTTCTTTCATCTGAGAAATATCGCTAAATTACGAAATATGCTATCCATCTCAGATGTAGAAAAGCTAGTCCATGCTTTTATGACTTCGAGACTGGATTACTGTAATGCTCTATTTGCTGGCTGCCCAGCATCCTCTATTAACAAACTTCAATTAGTACAAAATGCACCTGCCAGAGTTCTTACCAGGTCTAGAAAATATGATCATTTCACCCCAATTTTATCCTCCTTACACTGGCTGCCTGTTAAGTTTCGTATTGAATTTAAAATATTACTTCTCACCTATAAAGCTCTAAATAATCTAGCTCCTGTTTATCTAACCAACCTTCTGTCTCGCTACAAACCAACTCGCTCTTTAAGATCTCAAAATTCAGGGCTTCTGGTAGTATCTAGAATAGCAAAGTCAAGAAAAGGAGGTCGAGCCTTCTCTTTCATGGCTCCTACACTCTGGAATAGCCTTCCTGATAACGTCCGAGGCTCAGACACACTCTCCCAGTTCAAAACTAGATTAAAGACCTATCTGTTTAGTAAAGCATACACTCAATGCATCACCTAGCGGGTTCCACACAGGCTTCTGCATCTTGCTTATAAACACTATGAACAGCAGCTACGCTAATTATTTTCTTTATTCTCTATTTTCACCTGGGGATACTCATCCCGAGGTCCTCAGATTATGCGGAGTCACTGATTGGATTCAAGACCAGCAACGTGATGATCCCAAGGATTCCATATCCGGGACCAGGCCATATCCTGAGCTGCTGCTGCGCTGATGGTCGTGGGGAGTGGAGAACATGAGTCTGATTCCAGTGACGCTCCAGGGACAGACGAGTCTTCGCTGAGGCCATCTTCCAGCCTAAACCACGGCGAATGAAGCTCTGCACAAGACTTTTGGCCAGCGGAGAAATTAAAATGGTCGTGCCCAACTGAGTCTGGTTCTCTCAAGGTTTTTTTTCTTCACTCCCATCAGGTGAAGTTTTTTTTCCCTCTCCGCTGTCGCCACTGGCTCGCATGGTTCAGGATTGGTAGAGCTACGCATCGATGAAATTGGCTCTTCAGTGTTTGAACTATCAGTAATGATTAAATCACACTGAACTGAGCTAAACTGAACTGAACTGAACTTAAACACTAAAAACTGAACCACACTGTTCCAGTTACTATGACCATTTATGTGAAGCTGCTTTGACACAATCTACATTGTAAAAGCGCTATACAAAAAAAGCTGAATTGAATTGAATTGAATTGAAAGTGCTTGATGCATCACTAAGACAGCGTACAGTCCTCCGTTATCTGCAGACACTTCCAATCCAAAACAGCAGTAAAAAGGGAAGAAATCAGTGCGTTAAGGATCTGTCCAATGTATTATTGAGCCTTTTCTAGTTTTAAATTTCAGGTAGGCCTACTTTGTGTGTGAAGAGCAGGTAATAACCCACTCAGTTCCAGTGTTGCGAATGCGATCTGCTGTTCTAACAGCTACATGATTTAGAAACAGAAATGAACTCGTCGTTTAAGATCGAAATGAACCAATTTAATATATATTATATTAGAATAAATTAATATAATGTAATATTATAAATTAATATTTATTTAAATTAACAGGAACAAATAGTCTTGGAGAAAGTTTTTCATGTTTTCATGAACGTGACACGCAGTTTGAATTGTAAATAAATGGAGAATGATTGACAGGCGCAGCGGAGGGAAGCGCAGAACTGAACATGAATTTAACCATGTGAATATTGATCTGTACTTCACATTAAACTATAGAATGGCTTCAAAACATTTGGGATACAGTAGGCCTACAAGACAACTTTCTACTGTCTTATAAAAGGCTACCTTTCTGGCTTTTGTTTGCTTATAAATTACACAGAATATAGAGCACGTGCAAGATGGGATTTGGATCGGTACCTGCTGGCCGATACCCGATCCAGTAAAAATATGCAGTATCAAACCAATATCCAATCCAAGTATCAGGATCGATGCATCCCTAATTAAAAAATAAAATATCCCCAAAAGATTACATATGTTAACAGTACAACCTCAAAGCTCCATCTGTACCTTAACATTGATTTTGATGGTGGCGATGTCTGCAGCCTGGTCCACATCCTGAACTGTGGCGTTGTAAGTCTCACCATTGGTCAGTTTGACACGAACACCACGCTTGTTGGCGACCGCATGGGCATTTGTCACTATCAGGCCATCACTACTTATTATAAAGCCAGAACCATTCGAGATGGGAACCTCACGGCCAGAAAAGGGGTGTCTGAAAAGAAAGAGTGTAATATTAGTCACAATTCCCAAACACAACTGAAACTAAAACCATCTGGTCATCCTAAAATAGAAACAAGTGATCCAAAAAGTCTCTATAGAGAGAATCAACATAAAACACCCTGCTGAAAAAAAAACAATCCTGTTGAGCACGCGCATGTAAAGGTAACTGGGTGAACAAGTCAAACAAAGTATATACAAAAGAGAACATAAAAATATACAACAATTCAAAAAAATGAAGCAAGAATAATAAAGATTTAAATAAAACATATAATAGATAGATAGTACAATAATAATAATGATAGTAATAATGTCAGTGAAAATGACAACAGCATTATTAATAACAACAACAACTACTACAACTACCACTTTTGATTACTTAACATTCAGAAATTAAACCGAATTAACAAAAAATATTGTAAATATATGTGTAGTGTTAAAACATTGTTGGGTTTTACAACCCTGCGAAATGTGAGAATGTTTTACCAATAGAAATGATAAAAAAGTAAAGAATTAGGTTAACTTGATTGTTTTTATAAATGTAAGTGAGTTGAACATAAAACAGTCAAGTTGCCCCCAATAAACTTAAGAATTGAGTTGCTTCAACACGTTAAATAAGTGTTTTATAAATGTCTGATAACAATAATTGTGTTAATAATAATGACATTTGGGGAAAAAGGGTTTGGTTCTATTTTTGTAGTAATTAAATGTTTATAATTTAAAATGTTTATAATAATTAGATGTTTTGCCGCCTTGTTTTTGAGTTGTGCAATGCAAAAAGACCCTCTTATAGCAAGATTAGAGATGCACCGAAATGAAGCTTGTTGATTGAAACTGAAAATTCTAGATGCATTTGGCTGAAAACTGACACTGAAAAGGCTTTTTAATAATTGGGAATTATTTTAATAAATAAAAAAAAAATTATAGTTTTATATCAAATAATAAAGTAATTTGGCGACGCAGTAGGTAGTGCTGTCACCACACAGCAAGAAAGTCGTAAGTTCGAGCCTCGGCTAAGTCGGTTGGCATTTCTGTGTGGAGTTTGCATGTTCTTCCTGCGTATGCGTGGGTTTTCTCCGAGTGCTTTGGTTTCCCCCACAGTCCAAAGACATGCGGTACAGGTGAATTGAGTAGGCTAAATTGTTCGTAGTGTATGAGTGTGAATGAGTATGTATGTATGTTTCCTAGAGATGGGTTGCAGCTGGGAGGGCATCCGCTGCGTAAAAACATATGCTGGATAAGTTGGCGGTTCATTCCGCTGTGGTGACCCCAGATTAATAAAAGGACTGAGCCGAAAATAAACGAATGAATGAATAAAGTATTTTTGTGAGGCTTTTAAATTAAACTCAATAACTTAAATTAACAGTGAAATCAATAGTAAAAATAAAAATGATTCCATCATTTACTCACCCTCTGCATATTTGAACTCGTTACGAGTTTCTTTCTTCTGTTAAACACAAAAGAAGACATTTTCAATAATGCTGAAAACCTCTAGCTATTGACTTCCATAGCAGGAAAAATAACTACTATAAAAGTCAATGTTCAGGTTTTCAGCATTACCCTTAAAAAATTATATATATATATATATAGTACTGTTTCAGTGAACTTGTACAAGTATACTAAAAAAACATTCATTTAATTAGTATTTTTATTCAATGCTTTGAAAAATAAGTTAAATCTTTGTAAATACATATGTACTATATATCATTTATTTAAATATGTGGGCAACAAATTATAGATTCATTTTAATAAAAAAATATTATATTATTATTATTTTTTAAATTCAACTATAGGGGTAGGGCCAGGTAGGGGGCCTTACAAGATAATGTGCCCAGGAGCTCCTGAGTTCTTAATCCAGGCCTGGCCCCGCCTATTTGTTGCACGCGCAATCCCGGGAAAATTTTAAAAAACCCAGCCCCGCCCACAAACACAGTAGCAAAGAAAAAGAAGAAGGACACTGCAGCAGACGCCAGTTGAATCATGTCACGAAGACGCTGTGCTCTGAAGTGTGAGGGGAAAGTTAGTGTTATTTTCTCTACTCAAAGATGAAACAGTGAAGAGTGAGTGGTTGAGGTTTATTTTGGCAAAAATACCTCAACATTACAGCCCAGGCTTGTGCTGTGTTCCTGTCATTTTTCTGATGAGTGCTTTAGATCAGAAAAGTCTGTTGACGTATGGGACTTTGTCAGAGCTCGACAGGAACTTTACAGTACACAGTTTATGGATCAGTTTCTTTCTCTATTTCACAAGTGTAAGTTTGTGCAATTAAAATGGTTGCCTCTTTGTTTTCTCTACAAATTATGTATTTAATTGTTTTTTGCTACTTATAACCGCTTGTAGTGCATCTGGTTAACTCTTTATATTCTCATATCACGTCTAATGCCATGATGAAAATGCGACGCGTGCCGCTTTGTTTATGGATTTAAATGCGTTTGCATTTAAATGCACAATCCACTGGCACTTGTCGTCGTTGCTATGGCCATCATCAGTTTCCGGGATAAATAACAAAACGGGAGGGTGGCGGGAGATGGGTCTGAAATTACAGGAGACTCCCGGAAAAAAAACGTGAGTGTTGGCAGGTATACTCACACATACACTCTGCACTCTGACTACTTCAATATTGTTGATAAGCCATGGTGGCCATTTCTCTCCGTCTCATGCTGAACGCTGTTGACCAATCACAACAGAGTACAATAGGACCAATCAGCGCAGATTAGCATCGCGTTAGGAAGGGGTGTAGGAACAAATTAATTGCTAAATAATCATATGCGATTCGCTGCCATAATTTGGTAAAAATAAATGCAGATTTTAAGACAATTAAAGTGTTCTTTGACCTTGAATGCACATCAGCCTGTTGTTGGAGACCCCCCCCCCCCAAAAAAAAAAAAAACAAAAACAAAATATGACCCTTTTTAATGTATAATAGGGGCTGTTTAAATCCATTCAGACAAACTCCGGGTCTGACAGAAGAACTTTTAGCTTAGCTTAGCATAGATCCTTGAATCAGATTAGACCATTAGCATCTCGCTCAAAAAAATTCCAAAGAGTTTTTAAAGTAAAACTTGACTCTTGTGTAGGTAAAGTATGCACCAAGACTGATGGAAATGAATAGCTGCTATGTTCCAGCTTGACATGGCTAGTAACTATACCTATACGCCTCTCGGGAAGTATACATGGGCATTCTGTTTGAATGGGTAAATCAAATTCTTCAAAACTGCTTGCCAAGATTACGATTACATTACATATTATGAATAACCAATAAAATTAAACAGTAACTGTCCTTTTAGTTTCATTTATAAACGTCCATATCACACAATATCTGCAGAAACTCACATCTAGTCCAAGCCCCTCCCTTGGAGAATTGTCATTCTATACTGATCGCTGATTGGCTCATGTACTGAAAGGTGGGCTTTATTTGCCAAATATCAATCACTGATTGGCTCCTGTACTAGAAGGCGGGGCTTCATTCGCCATAATGACTGTTTCACTTTTCCCATTCAAAAGTATACGAGTGACACGTCATGTGTATTCTATAATCTTTGCTATACTCTCATTCTGCAGTAATAATCAAGGATTTTGGACTATTTGTTAGACCCAGAGATCAGCTGAACGGATTAAAATGATCAAACTCAACAGTTTAACTCTGAGTGACTTGAAAAATGAGCCTATTTGCCAAAAAGTCTTCCTTTAAATACGTCATAATTAATATAAAATAAAAAAAGTATATTGTTTCCTTTCATAACTTAAATTACAGTCGATGTAACTGCATAGAGGCTCAAAATGTGTGTGTGTGTGTGTGTGTGTGTGTGTGTGTGTGTGTGTGCGTGTGTTTTATAATCAGTGAGGGACCACTGACTTCTCAAAATATCACAAGAACGCAAGCAAGTTTGGAGTAAATGACGACAGAATTTTCACTTCTCGCCTTTTAATGATTCCTCTCTCTACAGCATATCTCCAAATTAATCAAAAATCAACCCTGAAACCTGTTTCCAAAAATCATCAGAAAATTTACAAGTACAAAAAGAACATTTTTGTGAATTTTTTATTATTATTATTATTTATTATTAAATATATTGCAGGGATAGTAGTACCTGTGTAATATTTTGAAATGAATTTCTTCTACCTGATTTGGGCGTAAAAATGTATTGTTGACCAAATATCATCTATAAATGGGAAAGAAAAATATTGTTTCCATTTCAAAATGTCTTTCAGGAAACATGTTCCACCAATGCGTAAAGCACTTTGAGTGTGCAGGAAACGTGCTATATAAATGTAAGGAATTATTATTATTAATTATTATTTATTCATTTCTATGTGAAACACTTTCATGAGCCCATTTAGCCAATAAGACAAAAACATAGTTTTACTAAAGTAAACTTACATTTATCCACAAAAAATAAACCTGACTGTATTTTTGTAGTAAAGCCGTGGTTAATTGTGTTAAATATGCCATTTCAGCCTGCAGAATGGCATTTCAAACTGTGGCCTAACAAAAATATAGAAAATAAATATCGAGTTTCTGTAATATAAAACTAAATAATTCCTCTCCCTGTATAGTTCCTAAAGTTAACTAGACAGAAACAAATGTAAGTTAATTTTAACAGAATCACTCAAATAGCAATTAATCTGACTGATGTTAACGTTAAAGGTTTGATCGAGCTTTTAAGTAAAGCAATAGATAGTTTAAAGTTACAGTACCGTTAATATAACATTAATATTTACATTAAGTTGCATCAATGTTAGCATTAGCATCAAATGCTAATTAGCGCTACTAGCCTGTGACATACAGTAATAAACGTTAGATCTAATTACACTGACTTTAATATTCATTGGTTTAATTTGTAATTATTTATTTTATTTATGTTATTTTTTCTTTTTAATTCGCATTTTTCACTTAGTAAAGGCGGGGACTGTTGAATAACGTTAGTAGCTCTAAATTAGTTGACTGGAATGCTGTGACAGTGTTAGCATGTAGCATGTTCACACATAAAATAAGTACAGTCCGCAATTAAAACCATGTCCTGCCTTTTGTTGTAACTTAATAAAATCTACTGCAATTAATGTCAACAAAGAGGTTTAATCCACAAGAATTTGATCATTATTCCTACCTGTTCACATCGGTTCAGTCCTTATTTAGGCTAGAGTGGGTTATTTTTTGAGAATGAATCTGTGGATTTAAATGAATTGTGAGAGTCGATTCATCCTTGACCTATTCATAAATACAACAGTTGCATTGTTGCTGAATAAATGTCTTATTCACTTAAGACAGTGTCCTACCACCACCTACTGGCGGTTTCAGGTAATACATGGATAACTTCATTTTGTTGCATATTTTTCTTTTTAATTTATTATTTGAAGCATTATTCATTTAAAAAGAATTCACAAGAATAACGAATTTATATATTCATAACATATAAAATATAATATAAACAATAATAATAATACTGTTAAAAATGATAAATAATTGATAATGAAAATATAAAATAATTGAAATGAGCTACTCAAAATAAATGAATCATACACACACACACACACACACACACACACACACACACACACACACACACACACACACACACACACACACACACACGTATAAATATATATAAACATGGTAATAATTGTAATAAAAAGCAATAACGCAGAAAAAGTTGTGCATGACAGAAAAAATACATAGGCCTAAGTGCTAAATTAATTCAATTAATAATTGGAAAAAATGTGTATAGGCAGGTGGCTGTGTGAGCACATTAAGGCGAATGAGCCAGTCAGTCTAGCGCGGGCCTTTCATTAGAAGTTTGTTGTGTTTTAAAAAGTCTCTACGTAATACCAAATGGAATTGTGGAACTCTGACATCATCAGTGACAGTATAAAGCTTTTGACGTAGCAGAAACTCTCAGTAGCTTCTTTGGATGTCTAGTAGTTCAGTACTTTCTGCGATTCAACAGTACAGTGATAAAATGGCATTTTCAAAACTGATTAACCGTCTGAAGAAAGCGTTTGGTGTTAAGTGTGCGAACGAACAACCGTGTGAGCCACTCGAACCCACCGGCAGCACGACAGAGAATCACCGTCATCTGATGACCGATGACCCGGCCGTCGCTGCAGGAAAACAGGCAGGGAGACAGAAAAAGAGGAAAATCAAATTGTCTTCCATCTTCTTCGCCTGTTTTTCCAGAAGAAGAGCTACTGTTGTCGGTAAAATAGATTTATGAGCACTTTTAATTACTAAAGCATACTGTTAAACACACCAAACACATCACATAAGTGTTTAAAGATCAGAAATTACATTAACTGGAAGACATTTTAGAAAGACAGTTTCTTAAAGCCACAGTTCACATAAACAAGACAATTCTGTCATAATTTACTCCTTAAACCTGTTTAAGGTGCTTTCAGCCATTGACTTCCACAGTATTTTGTGTTCCTACAATGAAGGTTAATGGCTGCTGATTTCAGGAATTTTCTTCAGAATCAACACGTTCTCACTCCCAACTCGTCACATACTGACGCTTGGTCAGGAACCCTCGGCGTAAGTTATTGACGCACAGGGTACCCCTTTAGCGTCATATTTAGACGTGCAGGGATTCCCTATAGAATCTGTGCCTGAGCCTGAGGCGTCATAGGGAGACGCTGGAGGCTCGTATAATAACCAATAGATGTCAACGCACTTTTTAAAACCTGATTTACGCCTATTATCACAGTTTTCTTATTTTAAAAATATGTAATTTTTATTTTGTTCATGAAAAGCGTCTGTAAACTGGGTCGAAACTACTGTATGAATAAACTTCGGTCCACGTGACATCCCTTCACGGTGAGTTTAACGCCGCTCTGCTATTGGTCAAACTGCATCAGCGGTGAGTTCTCAGATGAGTTCAACTGTCAACATTAAATATTACGTTAATGCTGCATAATCTATTTTTATTGGAGATTAGTTGGTGTTTATAAATATGTTATAATTTACTTTATATTTAATAAGTGAAAATATATTCGGTTGTCCAGTTTAGGGTAACTATGTCTAATAAAACTTTGATTCATTCATATTATTTATTATTTTTTTACTTTAAAAAATATTACATTTCAAGTACTAAGTTTAAAAATGTTTTCGGCTGATCTTTTTCATTTTAAATTATTTATTGAAGTTGGGGTCATTGTATGTGGCGATCTATTTTTTACAGTCTATGCTCGCTATCCCAAGGTTCATTGCGATCCCAAGGTTCACTGCGGTTTTCCACAAGGTAAGTAAAAAGTAAACAAATAAAGACGATTTGTTGATAAAGCATGTACTGTAAACTAGCGACGTTATCTAATTACATCAAGTTTATTTATTAAAAACATATTTTTCTCACATATAACGTTGGTCATTCATTAGAACAATATATACATTTTAAGATAAGGAACAGTGTAACCAGATTGTTGTTTTCCACAATAGAATTCGTGCAAAATCTATATATAATATGCAATATGCAACTCTAATAATACAAATGTATTCGTAATTGTTTCAATATTAAAAAAACATCAAGTGTTTCCAAAGGTTTAAAGGCTACATTGTAAAAACGATTATTTTCCATGCCTTAAAACACACACACACACACACACACACACACACACACACACACACACACACACACATATATATATATATATATATATATATATATATATATATATATATATAGCATAACAAAAGCTCAAGTATAACTTAAGCTGATGTATGTCACACAATGAATATCATACACTATTACCAGTATAATTTGGCCTTTACCAATTTATTTAATAAAAGAAAGAATCTATCATCTCTAAATTGTGGTAAAGAGGCACAACAAGCTGTCTTCTTTGTCAAATATTATGTCAGTCAGGATGGTAATGGTAAAACTCAAGGATTACCTTGCACCTTCTCAGAAATTTACCATTGATCATATGTATTACAAGTGGCTGGATTGTTTTTAACACAAGCAACGTTTTTTTAAATCATTATCTTAAAGAGATTAAGGCTCATTTTGGACTACACTTACATTACTTTACAACTGCTTAATGCAGTACTGATGTATCGAGTAGTTTAGTGGGTTTAACTAATGTCACATCTGTTTTTATTCATTTCAGATGCAGAAACTTTTGACATATGAATTCATCTTGACTAAGGGTAAGGTTTTTGTTCAGAATTAATCATTATTTAAAATCATTGTATTTTCTTTGTTATTATGTACAGATTTTAAAAGAATGTACTTTCTTTTAATAAAGAACTCTTCACAGCACTGCATCTGAACAGTCACAACCTCACAGAGCTGCACAACTACCCCACTCAAGATCAGTGTTGAAGCTGGAACCTCATCTTGTGTACAGCAAAGGCAGAGCTGAAAATTCACAGTTTGTCTTGTATTGTATGGTAAGTCATAGTTTTATTAATTTTTTAATTTTATTGCAACACTAAGTAGTCCAATCTGTGGCCAATATGATATAAAGGGCCTAAAATGGGACTGACGTGATCATTGTTTTGATTTCTAGATAAGTACTCATGGGGCTACACATGCAGCTGAAGTTAGCTTCATTGAGTTGGACATTTCTTTCGGTATACACTTAAAGAGGTTCACCCAAAAAGCAAAATTCTGTCATTAATGACTCAAACTTCACTTGTTCCAAATATGTCTGACTTGCTTTCTTCAGTTAAACACTAAAAATTATATTTTAAAGAAAGATGAAAACCTGCAAACACTGACTTCCATAGTATTTGTTTTTTCCTACTATGCATGTCAATGATTTCAGCTTTTCAGCTTTCTTCAAAAAACTTCCTTCATGTTCAACACAAAGTAACTTGGAAGTTTTTAAAAAAGGTTTACAACAACTTAAAGGAGAGTAAATAGTGAACTGTTCCTTTAACCCAATCTAGTTGACTTTACTAGAAAATTGTATAGAAACCCAGTGCCTTAAACCCCTTACATTTTATACAGGGTACAACTTAACAGCCATACTTGAATTAAAATATTACTGTAAGTTCAAGAAGATTGTAAAGGTTATTGGTTAATTTAAAGTGGGCTGTTTAGTTTCACCTTGTGTAAAAACATAAAGGGTTTAAGGCAACATGTTTCTATGCAGTTTACACTCTTAACCCAAACTAGTTGACTTTATTGAATAAAGTCAACTAGTTTGGGTTAAGAGTGTAATGGTTTACAGTAATAGCAGTGAATAATGCAGGCATAAAATAAATGTTTAGCCATGTAAAGCAATAAGCTTGTTATAATTTAGAAATATTTTTAGGGTGGAGCACTGTATGCTGTTGTAGTTTTCATATAATTGATGAATCAAACATGAGATGTGTGTTTTAAATTGCAAGAAGTGAATTAACAATATGTTCATCAAGATTCAAATCTTGCATCTTATATATTTTTTTAAGGTTTTGGCCCAATAATACCCATATTCTGCTATTTAAAAAAACATGCTGGAATTTGTGTCAGCATTCCCTTCAATGAAAACTACAGCAGTGGACATCAGTGGTGATAAAAATGTATGCAAAGGATAATGGTGTTCATAATGAAAAGTGCAGTCACTATCCTGATCTCTGAGTTTGTAGAACTGACAGATCTGCTTGGAATACATGGAAACATGCTGGAAATGTTTAACCTATTATACAGTTAATTAAAGAGTGCCAGGTTTAATGACACTTTACATATATAAATAAATATCACGGAACTTTCTAAATGAAACCTAACACTCATTCTTTGTTCAGTAATGATATTGTGCACTTCTAATACTTTACAGTGGCAAAACCTGGAATAACGCTTGGGAGCCCTCCAGGAATTCCTGACACTTTACGCCCAAGTCTCCTCATGCTAACCGGATTGCAATATGACAGTCTAGTCAGCATAAACACCTGGACTCACCAAGCACACTTTGGTTCTCAGTGTTTTGTAAAAATTGTTTTTGCTATTCTTGAGTAAATACTTGAATATGTTTTGAACTTATTCTACTTTTGATGTTTAAGTTCAGAAAGTTGTTATTATAAACATAATTTGCATTTATCATGAACTTGACTTCTTGTTGTTGTGAAAGCTGTTTATTATAATGGCATTTCCAAAGGCATCATTTGAAAAGATTTTTTGCAATGCAGTTTTACTTCAGCTTGACATACCAGATGTATGACATGAATAAATATCACAAAATAAATATAATAATAATAATACAAAATATACATTTCCTTCAATTATAATTGTTTTTAATCATTTATATATGTATGGTAATATATTATTGCATTAAAAACTGTTATAAAATATATATTTTTGGTTTTTGCATTTTTGCGTGATTTTTATTATTTATTTTATTTGTGGCATTATAAATAAATTATAAATGTTTCATTAAAAATGTATTGTGTTTATTTGCATACTCATTTACAATGAACTACTATTTTTACTATTTAATGGGCACTATATTTGTCATTTAAGTTTGACATATATTTATATTTGTATATCTACAGGATGCAGGGTTTAGTTACAGAAAATGCTGAAAATGTTTTCAAACATGAAGCTTTTTTATTATTTTATTATTCGTTTCAAATTTAGTATACTGCCTATGATCTGGTTTTACTATGATAATTTTGCACATCAGGTTACCCCCACAAAGGAATCTCACGGTAAATATACATTTGTATTTTTAATAAGACAATAAATAACATGTAATATTAATACACATTTTGATATTTAAGTTATATTATAAGGTTATAATAATCTACCTTCAGCCGGAAGATTACCAAATAGAGACAAAGTGTGACGTAGATTGCGACATTGTGATTGGACTATAACTTCAAAGCCAAATTAAAAGATCCTTCGTGTTGCTAACTATGTTTTGCTAACTTTGACACTTAACTAACAGTGTCCTTTATCAATGAGTTATCGCTGTGTTTCAAATAGTTACCGATTAACCAAGATCGTAACCCTAAACCTAACCCTAACTACACCTTTCAATGAACTACAATTTGTAGCGCCATGTCTTTCCCCTCCCATCTATACGGCGACAAAGGATTGTGGGTAATGTAGTTTAAAGCCTTTTTGTTATAAAATGGAACAAATACAATTTTTAATCAACTAAAGACTATCTGAATAAGGTCATTGTGCATATATTTATGACATATATGAAAGCCAGGCATAAATTTGTTATTTTACAATGAGTATTTTTTTAAACAGCTTTTATTGACTTGATTAGTATATATCAGACTATTATATCCAACATTATTTATTGAACATAGCATAGGTAATAGTCTTGCTGATATTCTCTCACTCATTTCTCGTTTGAAATGTAAATACTTTTTCCTTTTCTACGGGACTCTACTCATCCCCTTTGAGTAAAAGGGCAGTTAACCTATGTAGACGTATTATCTTCAACATGGACAAGAAATAGTATTGTCACATAATATATTAGAAATAGTATTGTCACAAAATAAGCTAAACATTAGTATCCTCTTTAATCACAAGTTATTAGCAATAGTGATCTATGTTCATCACAAATATTATGAGTTCAGAATAATATGTGTGGATGTAATTCTGGAAGTGTGTTTCATTAATGGTCATCATGTGATATTTAATTGTTTTCACTTTATTTGAAATATGGATAAAAGCTCTTTTAAAATATGTAAATGTTTATAAATAAAACCTTTTTAAAGGCATGTATTTGTTTAAAAACCACTCTTTATCTGATTATTTTTACTTTCTAAGTCTTCAACTGTTTGTGTAACAGTATGTTTTGATGACAATGGATGAACTTGTGTTTAATAATGATTCCACATAATGTCTTTGTCCTGCATGTGGGTTAATTTGTTAATTATTTTCCTTATGATCAAATGATTGTAAGATTTGCTGCATTGTAAGAATCATGAAAATGAGGTAACAATGACGAAAAGATATCCTTTCAAATGCTGCGAATAGTTCAAACCTCCAAATGATTAAAAATACATAGCCATTAACCAACAAAATAAAAATGCAAACCTTTAAATTATCTAAACTAGAAGTAAAATAGTTCTGAGCTGTATTTATAAGTTACTGTGTAGTTCTATGTCTACCAAAAATACATATTTTATTTTCATTCATTCATTTTCTTTTTGGCTTAGTCCCTTTATTAACCAGGGGTCGCCACAGCTCTATGAACCGCTAACTTTTCCAGCATGTCTTTATGCAGCAGATGCTCTTCCAGCCGCAATCCATCTCTTGGAAAATATTTTATTTTTTATCTTGCATTCAATAAAACATTATACAAAGTTAATTTTTATTTTCAGAATAACAACAGTGGCACTGTTATCTCACAACAAGTGAAGCAGTTTTTTGTTAGACATTCTAACAAATGAATACAAATGTTTCAAAGTAAGGACAAAAATAAAAGGAGATTATTATTTTTTTTAAAGAAAAATCCATGAGGACCAAATGGATCCATCAGCTCTTTGATGTAAATCATAGGTTAATTTTTCCAGAGGTAGAAGTCTGGTTGCCTGACTCAGCCACATATTGACTGGAGGTATCTGAGCAGTTGACCATAATAATGTACATTTTTTGGCCAAGTATATGCAAAAATTAAATTTATCATAAAAATGTATCATAAAATTAATATTTCAAATACTCTTAATGTCATTTAATGTAATAATTTTATTTTAATATAGAGTTCCTTAAATCGTTATACAGTATGTTGTAAGCAGTTAGGCATACAATAATGCTCTTAATTTACAACACTGATTGATTTTAGAGGAATGCTTACATACTGTACATATCTATGTATTTAAAAAAAAGAGACAACAATTTGGTTATAGATGATGAAAATTTGATTTTATTTTTACAGATTTTATTACATGCTTTAGATTCAGGGTTAGGGTCATCCTCTTCTGGATTACAGTAAAAGAAAATCCACAGTCAATGTCATACTCATCAGCTGGAGCTTTATTTAAAAAAATGTATGTTCTCTGCTCCAGCCAAAACTTGCAGGTACCTTGCAGGTCTCTAGATTGCACCATCGTATTGTTGTTTATTTCTCAGTTATTTTGTTGCTTTCTGAGAATGATGATCCATAGACCTTTTAACCCCTCTTTGTTTAGGCCACATGTCGAATCTTAAAAGAAGAACACAACAACATAAAAAATATATTAATATCCTTTGGACTGGGTAACCTTATGCTTAAGTTTGAGCCAAATAATACAAATACATACCAGTACATTTCAGAAGCAAACAAGCAGGAAAGTTCTTTGAAGGAACCAGGATGAGTTGAAAGGTATTTATAGTGGTTGGCCATCTCTGCCACAAGAATCCACTGCTTCTCCTGAAGAATCCTGACTAGCAGGATGATGTTGAACACCCTCCTCTTTGTTGCTGGGTCAGCAGAGTCTGAAATATATTTATAAAAAGACAGTTGTATAACAAGGATTATACGTCAACTTTTAAAGAATCAACACTGATAGAAGTCTAGTGTACATACCATGCCATATGACGAAGACATCCATATCACTTTTGTTGTTTGTTGTCTTTGCTTCTGTTACTGAAAAAATAACAATAATAGTATCACTTACAATTTTTCATGACTACATGTAATATTAATAAGAATTTCCTCACCCTCTGCCCACTCCTCTACATCACAGACCAAAGTCTTCCAATTGGTTTCCAGTCACTGCCAGTTCCATGGATTCTGTTTTGCAACTTGCTTTGCAGAGCTGTTGCGGTCTACAGTGATAAGCAATCAAAAATCACAATACTATTCAAATAGGTTACTGAACAACTAAAACAAATTCTACTGGATATCGTTACCTTCTGATATCAACAGGTCAGCGAGATGCCCAAATTGTTGAACATCTGCTAATTCCAGCACATGACCATGAGAGTTACAGTAGCATGTCTGTTCACTGCAATCCTATAGAAGAAATACTGCACTGTTCAACCTCCTTCCCAAGAGTAAAACCAGGCATATCCTGGTATGCCTCACTCCATTTCACCTGGTTAACATATACAAACAAACAAACAAACAAACAAACAAGCAAATAAGTAAACCGATAAGTTTTGGCATTTACCTGTAGATCAGTTTAAGATAATCATATAGCTCATCTATCTCAGATATAAACTCATGTGCTTAGGCATGAAACACACTAAAATCATGGGCTTAAAGATGGTGCTGAAACTTTGGACAGCTTTTTGCAACTCTTTGGAGGTAGTGTCATTAGTTGATGTAGTCCACAAATCTTCCTGTCAATCCTTAATCCTTAGCTGTAAATAAACCTTCAAAAATGCCAGTGTTTGAAAAAGGAATGAAACAGTACAGAACAAGTGCATGACAGTTTATATCTTCTAATCTAATTTTCTTAGGTGAACATCACAGAGCTGTTTTCTTGTTAATTTAGTTTCAACACATACAGTTTAAAGTACCTTGTGCATTCTTGAAATGGTTATGCTTATGGTTAACATCTACTTAAATTGGCAGTATATCTAGTGTGGAAGCAGGACAGATGAATGACTCTTCCTTGCAAATACTATCCACCTTGTATTGCACAGACTCCCACTCAAGAATATCTCAGAAAAATGTCTGCTGAGATCTTAGCAGTCCATTAATAATTATACCAACATCTTTTCCACCAATGGAAAGAATATAAAAATATTTTAGGATATATTAATACTTGCATGACCAAATCTGAGATAAAAAGGCCATCAGTATGCCTTAGTTTAAATAAAAACAAAATTTGACTCTAGTCCACTGTCATCTAGGTCTACAGATACAGGGACTAATGGAAGCAATGAAGTACACACTGACAGTCACTGGAGCAAGGCCCTCTCACAGTTGGGAAGATTGGAGTTCCTATGAGCTGTACCAGATAAAAACAACAAAAAAATTACATTTATAACATTTCTAACTTATCCTAAGACTAGTAGACAAGCAGCATAAGCAGTTCTAATTTCTTAAACCCCAATGTGGACAGTTGATGGTCTATAAGGTGTCATAAAATCAGACAAAACAAAATACTTTCTGAAAAAGAAAAAAAATGGTTGGCCACTATCAACACCCAGAACAAATAGTTTTAAACAGTTAGGCCACAATATTTTGTGAGCTTATTGTGTAGTTTTTTAATGTTTGTCATAAACAATAGTAATAGTAAAACTAATGCGTCTCTTTCTGTTATTACCATAGTAGTGAAAGAATAAATGCATTTTATCTCATACAATCATATATGCCTAAACAATGTAGACATTTCATATACATGGAATGAAAAACTTCACTAACCCTTGACTGATTCCAGAGTGGTCTTGGCCTTCCTTACATGGTGGTGCTTCCTGCAGATCCTCAAGTTGTCATCAAGACTTGAGCTTATAATTGAGATCTTGATGAAAAATCTGAGTATAAAGGAATCACTCATGGTGATAGGCAGAAACAGGCTGAAAGACACAAGAATTAATCAAACAAACACAAATGTGTTAACAGAGATAGAGAGAGAGACAAGTGCAATTTAACATATAAACATGGGTAAAGTGATTTAACTTTTTGCTTATTAGAAAACAAAATTGGATTTTTAAAGAAATCTAAAGAACCTGAAAAGAGCAAAGAAAAAATATTCATATCTGAACAGTGAACACCTTATAATTTACACCTGTATATATGTGTGTGTGTGTGTGTGGTAAATTAAGCTGTTTTTTGTTTAGTTTTGTGTTTTACAATGAATAAAATGTGCTCAGACGGGCAAAATTTCTGACTTTTTTCCTTTAAAGGCATGGAAAATAAAAGTTTTTACAATAAACCTTTGGAAACACTTGATGTTCTTTAATATTGAAACAATTACGAATACATTTGTATTATTAGAGTTGCATATTGCATATTATATATAGATTTTGCACGAATTCTATTGTGGAAAACAACAATCTGGTTACACTGTTCCTTATCTTAAAATGTATATATTGTTCTAATGAATGACCAACGTTATATGTGAGAAAAATATGTTTTTAATAAATGAACTTGATGTAATTAGATAACGTCGCTAGTTTACAGTACATGCTTTATCAACAAATCGTCTTTATTTGTTTACTTTTTACTTACCTTGTGGAAAACCGCAGTGAACCTTGGGATCGCAATGAACCTTGGGATAGCGAGCATAGACTGTAAAAAATAGATCGCCACATACAATGACCCCAACTTCAATAAATAATTTAAAATGAAAAAGATCAGCCAAAAACATTTTTAAACTTAGTACTTGAAATGTAATATTTTTTAAAGTAAAAAAATAATAAATAATATGAATGAATCAAAGTTTTATTAGACATAGTTACCCTAAACTGGACAACCGAATATATTTTCACTCATTAAATATAAAGTAAATTATAACATATTTATAAACACCAACTAATCTCCAATAAAAATAGATTATGCAGCATTAACGTAATATTTAATGTTGACAGTTGAACTCATCTGAGAACTCACCGCTGATGCAGTTTGACCAATAGCAGAGCGGCGTTAAACTCACCGTGAAGGGATGTCACGTGGACCGAAGTTTATTCATACAGTAGTTTCGACCCAGTTTACAGACGCTTTTCATGAACAAAATAAAAATTACATATTTTTAAAATAAGAAAACTGTGATAATAGGCGTAAATCAGGTTTTAAAAAGTGCGTTGACATCTATTGGTTATTATACGAGCCTCCAGCGTCTCCCTATGACGCCTCAGGCTCAGGCACAGATTCTATAGGGAATCCCTGCACGTCTAAATATGACGCTAAAGGGGTACCCTGTGCGTCAATAACTTACGCCGAGGGTTCCTGACCAAGCGTCAGTATGTGACGAGTTGGGAGTGAGAACGTGTTGTCAGAATTTGTAGTTTTGTGTAAAAAACAGAAAAAATAAGAATTGTTTGTAATAGGATTTTTATTTCAGTGAGCTTTGCCTTTAGATATATAGTTTACTTTTTTGCTAATTAAATGCAGAAAACCCATGAAGATCATCAATAAAAACACATTGAGTAATGTTTCTGCAAATGAACTGTTCAAATATCTTGTGAAAAAGAGTTGTAGAGTCATATTAATGATGTTTCTTCCTCTCTTTAGATCAGCTATGTGTGCAGGAGATCCACGAACTTCACGCAGAGCCCATCAGTAGCTCTAAATTCTTCTGCACTGCTGTGAGCAACCTGGAGCTGGAAGTTCTCCAACCTCCAGCTCTTGATGCTCCAGCAGACGAAGATTTGGACTCTAAACCGGAAATGAACAGCTTTGACTCTGCAGTGGTCATTGAGAACGACTCTGCAGAGCTTCACTTCCCAGAAGACATTGAATCCTCCCTCAGTGAGGACAGCCTGGGGCAAGAGCTTGATAGTCCTCCAAGTTCACCATCCGATGAGGACAATGAACTTCCAGTGAGCCAGCAGTTCATAACAGATGACATCTGTGACTCTGCCCTGGATGAAAACTGGAACCCTTTACCGGATCAGGTCTCACAAGAGGACTCTGCTGTGAAGTCTACAGCAGATGATGGGACCTGCTTGGACAATAGTAAGTTTATTGCTGGAGTTCAGAACATTTGTTTAGGCTCATCAATCTTTGTAAAATTATACAGTTGAAGTCAAAATTATTCGCCCTCCTGTGATTTTTTATTAATATTTTTTAAATATTTCCCAGATGATGCAGAGCAATAAAGTTTAAGTATTCAGAACTTTAAGCTGAACACAGGTATCTTGAAAATATCCAGTAAATATGATGTACTGTCATCACGACAAAGATAAAAGACATCAGTTATTAGAAATGAGTTATTAAAACTATCATGTTCTGAAATCTGACAATAATTCTGACTTCAACTGTTTGTGTTTTTATTTGGTTTATAATTTAATGACATTTTCTTCATTTTTAACAGATGACATCAGCTGCCGCTACAAACTCGGAAAGCAGCTTGGTGAAGGAGGTTTCGGCTCCGTGTATGAGGGGATTCGCATACAGGATGGTCTGCAGGTATTCATTTTTGTAGACTCAAATCCTCTGATGAAGTTCCCTGTTTAAAGAACATCATCAGAGCTTTCATTGTTTGGACATTTCTGCTGACGAATGAATCCTCTGTTCAGGATTTATGACTGAATGAAATGATCTCCGTGCACATGTTAATTGTTCGCTTGTTCCTTTAAACAGGTGGCAGTTAAATTTGTCCAGAAGACCCCAAATATGCAAGATGTCAGCTCTGTGAGTAGACTACACTTTCTGTTCGCTGTGTTCAGTTTATAAAGTCTTATATTTATTATAGACCACAGGCTGTGGTCAGAAACCCTTGTTTGAAAACCAACATTATTATTTTGTTTTCAGTCATGTGACCAGCCACTTCCTCTAGAGATCACCTTGGCAAACATGGCCAGCGGTGGCTCCAGGTGTTCGAACATTATTCAGCTTCTGGACTGGCAGGTCTTTGAAAACCATTACGTCATGGTGATGGAGCGGCCTAGTCCAAGCATGGACCTGGAGGCATTCCTTGAAGTCAGCGGAGGAGTCCTCAGTGAGAAAACAGCACATACCATCATGAGGCAAGCTGTTTATGCGGCCAACGTGTGCTGTTACCGCGGGGTGTTCCACCGGGACATTAAGCTTCAAAACCTGCTGGTGAACCCCGACACACTGGAAGTCAAGCTGATCGACTTCGGGTGTGGAGACTTCATGATGGAATCAGCCTACAGTATCTTCTCTGGTAGGTGTTTTGAATAGTGTGGTCAAAAGTATCGACTTCGGTACCAATCGATTCTGACATTTAACAAGTCAATTTGAGCGCTGTTAAACACCACTGATTGGCCATTGGTGTTCACATGCTCAGCAAATATGACTGTGATGAGTGTCGGTATCGATTGGTAGTTGATACTTTTGACAACACTAGTTATGAATGTGCATAAGCATTATTAATAAACGTATTGAAAGCTGGTTAATTAGCACAGCTGAAGCCCATCTGGTATATATATTCAACATGATGCTAAACTAAACGTCTCTCCTCCAGGCACAGAAGCGTACATCCCGCCAGAGTTTTATGAAAAAGGATGCTACCGGGCCAAACCAGCGACGGTCTATTCTCTTGGGGTTCTTCTGTTCACAATGCTCCATGGAGAATTCCCATCAGCGTATGACCTGTACTACCTCCAACATGACTGGTCCAAATTTACCCTCTCTCAAGGTGAGATGTTCATCAAAGAACAATTAAGTGAAACAGCTTAATAATAATAATAACTATAACCTCACCTCTCCATTTCTTCTTCACAGAATGCTGTGATATGATGAGGGCTTGTCTGCATGAGAATCCAGAGTGCAGAATTCCTCTAGAAGAGATGCCTTACCACGACTGGTCCATGCTGGAGTTCTGAGTCACATTAGCAGAATGTTTTGTATATTTGATTTTTGTACATGTCTGTAATAAAGATATATTTTATTGAACTCACTTGTGTTTTGGCTTATATTGTGATCTAGCCCCAGTGTTGTCAGATTTTGTGGATTTAAAATGGTTTTGTTTGGGGTGACAAAAATTTGGCATGAGGTTTGAACAGCATCCAGTCCTTTCCAACACACACTGCAGTTGACACTGGCGTCATTACGGCGCACTTTTAAAAATACACTTTTTCAGAATGCTGTACAGCGCTGACCCAAAACCTAAACATATCAGTCACTGTGACATAAGCAAATCATCCATAAATATTCCAATGGTTTATTGTGAAATCAGAGCTGTTCAGAAAAATGTATTAAAATACAAACGTCGTAACATGAGAATGTGAGACTCAATACAAAACATCAGCATTTTCACAATAAGAGCACCCAGTTTTATTAAGGTCTTTGAGTGTTTGTTGCCCTCATGACAATCCTAAACAAAATATTCAGTGATATTCCTTCAAATCAATACTGATAGTGTAGTTTGCGCAGACACACTGAGGTTTATCCAGTGTACAGTAGTCTGAATCATCCACATTATTTCATACGCTTCCAGAAACACGTTTACTACACAAATGTCCAGCGTTTGCTAAAACTGTTCAACTCTTTAGATGATTCCTTTCTTACAACATCTCCAACTATGACAGCTTCTCATTACTCACCATTTCTTAATCTTACTAAATACTTGACTTGATGTCGCTCTGTGGACTCTGGGGTCATGTGCAGCATGAGCAGGTCGGCCCCCCGGCGGACCACCACATTTAAGCTTTCGCTGGTCCTGACAGCATTATATATCTCCTCCGACGTGTTCACCTTTACCCCATTGATCTCAATAATAACATCTCCTGGCTTCATTCCGGCTCTGCAAAACAGGAAATGACATCATCAATAGGATGCCTTAATCAACAGCTGATAACATCATGTTCAGAGAGCAGCACACCTGTTGGCTGGAGATCCTACAATCACACGGTGGATGAGAACTCCATGAGAAACATCAGGGAAGGACGGGTCTCGCATCCTTAGCTCATCGATTATACTGAGGAGGGGAAAAAGAGAATTTAAAGATAATAAAAGACTCACTTCAGTGCAAAGGTTACGGTTTAAGGATTGATTGATAAATAGATAAGATAGATAGATTCATAGATAGATAGATTGATTGATTGATAGTTTAATAGACAGATCAGCAAAACAATCAATATTACATTTGCTTCAACCAAAAACACTTCAATGTCTGCGGTTTAATTACTCTTGCTAATAACATAGTAAAAACATCTGAAAAGCATTATTCCCATAATACATTTGTTTTTCAGTTGTTTTTTTCTGTCACTGCAACACAGAAAGGCCTTTGTCCCGCCCTTACATTTCAGGTAAAACTGAACAAGGTTGACTGTGATTGGCCACTTCTCATATCATTTAAATCGCTGCTTCGGAATCACGGTAGATTGTGGAGGTATTTTTGCATTAAATTGTCACAAAAGTTCACAAACATTTTTATTTTTCGGCGTGAAAATTGCATACAAATTCTCCTTGATAAATTAAGCACTTTTCAACAAAACAAGCCAATTTTCCAGGTATTCCAGCACTTGAATTTCTAAGAGCCAAATCTAGTGGTAAATAACAAAAATCTGCAGATTCCATAATGTATGAATTTTGCTCTCCTGTAAAATTGTAATAAAAGTGTTTGGCACCTGGGGGTCAAAGTCAACATCATCACTCCAGTGTAACGCCTTTTCGATCCCGATTCTCCAAACCAAGACTCTGAAAAAAAGACCCAATAACCATCTGTCAGTGAAAAAAATTCTGTCACAGACAAAAGCAAGCAGCTGTAAGGTCATTCTTACTCTGTCTACAGATCGGTCAAGGAAGAGACGGACTCTGTCTGAGGGAATAGCGAAGGAAATCCCTGCTGTCACTTTCATGGTATTAATGCCGATGACCTCACCATCCTGAAGAGTACAAACATGACACATCAGTTTATTACATAAGGCTAGAGTATGGCCAGTACAATACAATATTGATGAACATTTGAAAACAATTAACGTTCTTAATATAACAGTCATGAAGCTCTGTGTTGCTCTGAAGGTCCAGCAATCTGTAGTCAACTACTAAATGTGCACTAATAACTTTCTCCTTCACATTATTGTACAAGGAGGGTACCACCATAGCTGTGAGATACGTTCTACTTGGGATTTCGTAGTGTGGTTCTAGCACACTAATTAAATGCCTAAAACCAGAGTTTTCTACCCCTGAAAAAGGTTGCATGTCTGTGGCTATAAATACTCCTACCCTAATACTCCTACTATTATGCCTACAATTGTCTTTGCTTGTGTTGAGTTACTTGGAATTTTTATTCTAAATGAAGACAGGAGAGTAGTTTGTGTTACACTTGTCAGTTTAACAGATAAAGCAATGATTTTGTGGACATCAGTAATCTAACTATTTGCCTTAATCTGATTAAAACAATAATATGATTAAGATGTTTACATGAGTTGCTTTTTGAATGTTCCTTTCATGATCCCGTTTTACATGTTAAAGCACATAATACGATTAACGTTATTGTGTCACCACGCTATCCACGTTTCCTTCGTAATTTAGTCTCATAATAAGTCTCATGTAATTTAGGGGCGTTTCATTCTAAATTTGTCGACTTTAACTGCAGTTTGGCACTTTCATTTTAATTCAAGAACATTTCATGCGTGCCCCCCATGACAAACGAGAAACTGGATGCAAAGAACTGCTAGAAGAGTGTAGTTTTAATGGAATTTTGGATACCGCACGCCGTATGGGAGAAAAAAAAAACCTCCGCAGAGAATAGTGTCAAGCAGCCGTGTGTGTAGAGATCATCCCGTTACAAAATGTGGCGAAAATCATACAAGATGGTAATAGTTTGATTAAGGTGTTTACATGTTTACATTCAGAGAGCAGCATTTACAGCAGATCTTTCAGTCCATAATATTGTAGTGATATTAAAAGAGTACTGCTGACGATACTAACTACCTTTGCCATCTGAATAAACAAACAAAGAACACAGATTGCTTACTTACCAAATCCATAGAGACAGGACAATCAACGCGAACTGGAACTGCATCTTTTTTTAAAAGAAGACGATGGGCAAATCTGGATTTCACCATTTCCAGATGCGAAAAGCTCTCGGGTAAAAATGTTCCTTACAAACATTTTTGTTGCGTGTTAGAAGACCACTGTAGTCCACAAATGTGGGTCCTTCCTCACTGCGGGAAAATGAAAACAAAACCTTTGCTGTGGCACGTTTATAAACAACACTGACGACCCATGTCTCCGAACAATTCTTCTTCTTCCACTTGTTTTATTTACGGTTAGCAACACAACGTCGCGTCTCTCTGAATACTGTAACAGGTAGTTTTTGAAGCTATCATGTATATCAATAAAGTTGCACCTCATTCACAATAGAGCGCACTGATTAGTTCGTCTTTCTCTTGAATTAATGATGAAAGCTCAAAGACGTCACATTGTACCCGCCGGTACAGACAGCCAGTCTCCATGCTGGAATTTACACAAGGAGCTCATGGCCTTGACGTAGCTTCAAAATTTCTTTTCAAACCGGAAGAACGAATTTGTTCGAAATAGCGCAAAAACAACCAATTTTCACTTTTATTGTGAAATATATGTATCCTAATAGTGTTTTTAGCAGCGTGGAACATATATATGACTGTAAACATCTCAAAAATGTGTTTTGGTGTTTTTGGACCCTTTAAACCAAAAGGCAGAAGCAGTGAGTTGAGTAAATGTCAGCGACTCACCAGGTTTATGAGAGGCCCTCCTGAATTTCCAAACTGTAAAGCAGAATTGTGATTGAGTGATGGAATGCAATTCATTAAATGATGACATACATTTTTTTTGCATGCAACAACACCCAGTTTCCAGTGCTCTTACATCTATGGTAGCGTCCGTCTGGATGTAGTCCATGTTGGAGTAGGAGAGACCCAGTTCTTTACTGTCTCTCTGAGCAGAGCTGACGATGCCAGATGTGAGATGTCTACACTATGTCAGACTATATGGTCATGCACTAGAACTGTGGTGAAAGAAAACTGAAAAATTAATAGCAAAAATGGCTTTCCAAACATAAAAGCCTCCTCTGTTACTGTTCAAGGCTCAAAATTAACCTTTTTGTTTGGTAGCACCGGTGCTCCTAACTTAAAAAATGTAGGCGCATCAGACAAAATTTTGTCGCACCCACCAATTATAAGCAACGTTACTACATGTTTTATACAAACAGAGTTATTGCATTTGAAATCAACACTAATCAAACTAAAAAGCAAAAAAAAAAAAAAAATATATATATATATATATATATATATATATATATATATATGCATGCGTGAGGAAAATATGTCTCAACGAAATCCCGTTATTACAAGTAAATAGATTTTATAACATAACTGAGTGACCAAAGCATACACAGACCGCTGTGCTGTTCTCATGGGTGGTGTCTGATATTGCACTGATGCCTTCGACATGTACTGTACCCTATTATATGCATACATCATGTTAATAGCTATACCGGTCTTCATGAGTAGCGATAATAGTTTTCTCGGCTCAAGCCCGTTTGCCATGGCAGGGCTCGAAATTAACTTTTTTACTTGGTAGCACCGGTGCTCCCAACTTCAAATATTTAGGAGCACCAAAAAATTTTTAGGAGCACCAGAAAAAATTTAGGAGCACCCACCAAAAATGAATGAGCACCGCTGCAAATAGTTTTTTTTAAAGGATTTATTGTATTTTAAAACAACATTAATAAGACTGACAAAAACCAGAAGCAACTATCTAACTAAAGCTGCGAAGACATTGATATTTGTGTGCAATAATTCCAAAATGAATGTCTAATAATTATAGAATATTAATAATAATGAAAATGACAATAATAGTAACAATGAATTCCATTTCTCATTATGATACTGCATTGAATGTGCATGAATGTAGGTTATCTGCTATAAAAAGTCTTTACTTACTTTATGAAAAATAATTGTATAGTTTGCATCAAACAAAAATGAAGCATTGCAGTAAGAAATATTTATTTTGTACTGCTGTTTTTATATGCATGTCAATTTAATAAATAATATTTCTGCTACAAAACAAACAAAAGATTATAATAAATCATTCAATTTAATGATGAAAGCTGCAAAGCAGTCATCAGTAAATAAATAAAAAAATAATATACACCTCAAAAAAGAATAGACAAAAGAAAGAAAGTCTCACTTCTATCACTCTTTAAAAGTTTTGGTTTCAGTTTGTGTCAATTTAAAGGTTCAGTCTGAGATGATCTTCATTTTTCTGTGTTAGTGGAAAGCTGGCGAGTCAGCCGACCCAATTTATGAGCAGGCAGCGCAAGATTCTTGCGCTAACCATCGTCGCAATACCGGTCTTTGTTATGAGCCGCAGTTTCAGTGTAAACTTTATAAAGGCGAGCTTCTTCGGCGATGATATGTACAGTATTAGATTGGACTTTTAGCGGACATTTGCGCTGAACACGCAGTGAATGCAACGCATGGAGATTCGGGCACCTTCTCCATGAAGCGCATACTCGATTGATCTCAGCTGGTGGATCATTATTCACCACGTGACGTGTCATAATCGCTTTAATCTGCGCTTAACTTTAAGTGGGGTTTGCAAACCTGTGTGCTTTAAGTTTTTACTCTTCAGCCGTTTGCATTTCCCGTGGTCATAAAAGCTCCTTCCCTGTCATCTGACAGCGGAATACCTTGAGTGATTGACAGCTAATATGAACCAATATAGCGGCTTGAAAGAGCGATTCAGCACGTTTTTACAAAAAATCAAAACAGGTCGCACTACAACCATTATCTGCAGTCGCACTAATGCTCCCATATATATTATGAGGTCGGATAGATTAATTTCCGGGCGCATATGCGACCAAAATGGTCGCAATTTCGAGCCCTGCATGGTGTACGTGGTGTTACATTTTACATATAGCTGCCACTTGCACGGCGGGCATCTGGCGATTATATGAAGGATTAAACAGAAGCTCTCATGCTAGATGTGGCAAACAGTTACCTGAAAATTCCATCCCACAGACTTTTCATAGCGGACTTGAAGCCAATGGAAGTCTTTTATTCACTCTTTGAAAAGTGTAGATGTGTGATTGACATTCAGCGCATGATCACTACTAAGATGTGTCATTATTTGTAACTTTAGATGACAGTTTCTAAAAAAACATCTGTCAGTGTTATCTTAATTCTCATATTCAGCGCTTTATAATTTTTCGCAGTAGTAGCTCTCCCAGTCATCCCAAACCAGAAGGCATTGACTGAGTGATTGACAGCTGATATTAACCAATCCATTTACGCTCTGCTCTAGAGCAATGGCCCAATAAGAAGAGCTCAAAGGCGGGGCAAGTATTATGAACTTGGCTTTGTTTACTGCAGCAAGTTGACATGACAACTGTTGTAAACCATTCCTAAGAACTACGTTTCGCATTTCAAGTGCAGAGATGCATTCTGCGTGAATGTCCTCCAAATCCGCGCATGTGGTGAACACTTTGCAGTAAAAACTGGTCGCACACATCAATTTTATGCACTCGCAAAAATGCTTCCAAGTATATTTTGAGGTCGCATAGATAAAATTTCGGGCGCATAAGTGACCGAAATGGTCGCAATTTCGAGCCCTGCTGTTGGTTTAACTAAAAATGTTGACAATAATTATTCTTTAGTTGCTGTAATATTTCTGTTTAAAAATCTGAGGATACAAAACCATGTCACTAAGGTTATCACAATTTCGAGTTTATTTCTATATTTGTATGCAGCTGTTACTCCTGAAATATTACAGCGTGTATGTAGCATAAATACACTATAAACAGATTAATGGGTTAACACCAGGGCTTGACATTAACACCCACCAACCGCAGGTAGACTTCGGCTGTGGCGGATTAGACAGCCACTCCCACTATCCACTTTGGCTGGTCGAAAATCATTTTTAAATTGTATTTTTTTTAAAAGCAGGGTTCGACAATAAGGATGAACCTCTATAAATGAGAAGCAGCTCGACTGACAAAAACAACTGTGTTCACGCAAGCAAAAGAAAGCAGATGAATACAGAATGTTATGTGATGCGCGCAAGTTTTACAAAGCGTGCACGCTCTCATTTCCTTGCGTGAGCAACCTTGACTGGAAACACAATGCTGCTATCGGTTCTGTTTGAAATAGACTGGACAAAAAGTGATACACATCCACCATTTTCAAGAGCTCGAGATTTTTTAAAAAGAAGGTATTTTATGTATGCAGCAGCGGTTGCAGCTTCAGCTTTAAATAATCTTTGAACAGATTATTAATGGGCCTAACGTTAACTGTGTGCGTTTGATCATCCTTTCATTATTGCACACGGTATGTTTTTCACCTGCTTTCTTTTTGTTAATATGATTTAATTATCATTCTTTTTAGTAATGTTGATTTAATAGATTAACTTTTATGCAAAGTTAACTGCTGATCTAAGACCTTAAGCTAGGACAGAGAGCTTTGCATAGTTTTAGACAGGCTACATGACAATAATTGTTATTTAAGTTTTATTTAATAAAAAGTGTATGCATATTATAACATATATTTTGCTGGTTTTTGAATTTTTCTAATTATAAACTTTTTAGAGAAAAAATTGGTACAACCTTAATGTTGAGCCCTAAAATAATAACCAATTACAATGCAACACCATGAAACCACTACGGCTCAGGCTCATTGAGCAATGTCATACACAACACATCTAAATCAAGTAATTTTGCAAATATTTTTTCCCAAAAACAAAAGTGAAAATGGTGAGTGGCTAGTAAAGTTGAAAAACTACTAGCCATATAGGCTGGTGATCAAAAAAGTTAATGTAGAGCCATTAAAATATTAAAAATCATATTGACCTCACACTTTTAAAGTACTAACCGTGATACATTTTTGATTCTTTAAGCTCAATTCTTAAATAAACAGTTCAAAAAGAAATTACTCATTTGATAAAGACATTTTACTAAAAATGTAAATTAATAAAATAAAATGAGTCCTTGTTCTTACTATATAAAACTATGACTCATTAAAAATAGGGATGCACCGATACCATTTTTTTATAACCGATTTGATTTCGATCCCAAAATTCTGAGTGTCGACCAATACAGATGCGATCCCGATACTGTGCCATTTTTCTTTTAAGCATAATATAGTTTCTATGGTGATAAACTCAAACAATATATCTTGTTTAGTAAAAATAAAAGACGTATAGGCCTACTGTATATGACAGATGACACAATCTAACTGAAAACATGATGCTTGCTGTAAACCAGGCTACATTATTTGAGCATTTGTTAAGACATTGATCTGTTGTGGTCCAGCTTATGTTTCTTTTTAATAGTAAGATTTTTCTTTGAACTCTGCAACAGGCAACCACTATTGACCCTAATCAAAACACAAACTGGTCTGTTAAATAAACTATTGATATAAATAAAATTACAGTCAAATATTCACAGTTTCAGAGTAACCTACAGTATATGAGGCTAAATTATTTTCTGTTAATGACAATCAATATTGTGCCTGTCAGTTTCACTTTTATTAATTTAACCACAATGAGCCAGGCTTACAAACTATCCTAAAAGTATTCCCCTAGGAAGAATAAACTCAGTCGGATAATTCTACAGAGCGGCACACGTCACATCAGCCGGTGTGTGAATGAAGTGCTTGATGCATCACTGAGACAGCGCGCAGTCCTCCGCTATCTGCAGACACTTCCAATCCAAAACAGCAGTAAAAAGGAAAGAAATCAGTGCATAAAGGATCTGTCCAATGTATTATTGAGCCTTTTCTAGTTTTAAATTTCAGGTAGGCCTACTTTGTGTGTGAAGAGCAGGTAGTAATCCACTCAGTTCCAGTGTTGTGAATGCGATCATCTGATCTAACAGACACAGCGCTACATGATTCACAAACAGCAATAAACTCCTCGTTTCAGGTCGAAATGAACCAATTTAATGCAAAACTAAATGCATTTCTCCACTGATTATTTATATTAACCGGAACAATTAGTCTTGGAGAGAGTTTTAAAATAGAAGGCTTTAGACAGAAAATAGGAGATGTTAAACTTTCTGCACTGGCTTATATTCCAAATCCTGTAAATATTTCACTGAATCATAATAACCTACAGTGCTTCAAAATCATAGAACAGGAAGAGCTAGATAAAATCATAAATAGTTCTAAAGCAGCTACGTGTATGCTGGACTCAATTCCAATTCCACATCAGCATTTTTAAGCTTGTTTGACAGATGAGCACTTGTTTTACATTGTTGCAATTCTATAAATGCGTGTTTATAAAAGAAATTCATCATAAATTTTTGATGCATTTTCCCCCTTCATTCACCAAAATTGTGATATATTGTGGCTGGTTTTCATGTGATCTGTCAATATGTCGCAGAATCTTTGATATCGTGATTGAAGCAGCAGTGCCCGGAACAGCAGCAAAATGCTTTTTCATGAACTTGGCGATTAAAAAAAATAAGCTTCTGATTTATACAATTTAGAGTTGGTAATACACTGCAAAATTATTTTCTTTCTTATAGTTTTTGTGTGATTTTGTAGTCCAAATATCTAAAAATTCTTAAACCAATAAACATTTTCTAGAAAGATTTTTTGTCAAAATTATGTGAATTTTTCATTAAAAAAAGCTCAATAATCTGACAATTAGGGTATATAAAAAAAAGATTGTTTTATGTTTTAAATAAGATTATTTTACTTATCTCATTGGCAGATTAATTTGTTTTACAAAAAAATCACTTAATTTAGAATTATTTCTGAGAACTGAAAATTTTTTGTACATATTTATTAATTTGATTTATATGCGAGTATGTCTAGAAAATGCTTCCTGATTTAGTTTGATTTTAATTTAAATAGACGTTTTAAGTTATTTGAACTACAAAATACAATATGTTTTTTTTTCAGTTTTAACATTTATATCCAATTAAAAAAGAAATTATCTTTATTGTCACTATGTTTGACTGTTTGGCAGCCTGTCGTGTGCCTGAATAATAATAAAAATAAGTATGTTATTGGCTACTTCCAGCTGCTTTTGTTTCTGCCAGCCCATATTAATGTTTTGTGTTATTTAGATTTTTGGCAAATAGTCATATAAAAAGTTGGATCAATAGGAAGTTGTTTCTGCAGAATAATATTTAGAATTGTCTTAAAACATATATTTTATGATGTAAGCAACACAGCTACAGCGAACAAAATCAATAATGTGTGTTTTAAATTTATAGTGTGGGAATTATCAAGGATTGATGATAATTTATCATATTGTTTGCACCAAAGGGGCCCCAAATAAAATCCTGCTTAGGGCCCCCTGAAGGCTTGGGCCGGCCCTGGTGAATTCATTTTAATTAATGAATAGGTTAACACATTGCTTAATATAAGAATGTTCAGTGCATTTGCCTGTCTCTTTATAACTTTTCAGAAGCCAACAAACTAGGTCAAGATATAAATGGGAAAGAAAAATCGTGTTTCCATTTCAAAATGTCTTCCGGGAAACATGTTACCCCCAATGTGTAAAGCAATTTGAGTGTGCAGAAAAATTGCTATATAAATGTAAGGAATTATTATTATTAATTATTATTTATTCATTTCTATGTGAAACACTTTCATGAGCCCATTTAGCCAATAAGACAAAAACATAGTTTTACTAAAGTAAGCTTACATTTATCCACACAAAATAAACCTGACTGTATTTTTTGTAGTAAAGCCGTGGTTAATTGTGTTAAATATGCCATTTCAGCCTGCAGAATGGCATTTCAAACTGTGGCCTAACAAAAATATAGAAAATAAATATCGAGTTTCTGTAATATAAAACTAAATAATTCCTCTCCCTGTATAGTTCCAAAGGTTATCTAGTGTAATATTAAGGTAAACAAATGTAATATTAACAGAATTAGCAATCAATCTGACTGATGTTAACGTTAAAGATTTGATTGAGCTTTTACGTAAAACAATAATTAGTTTAACGTTACAGTACCGTTAATATAACATTAATTACATTACAGTAACATTAAGTTGCATCAATGTTAGCATTAGCATCAACTGCTAATTAGCGCTAGCTAACTAGCCTGTGTGACATACAGTAATAAACGTAAGATCTAATTACACTGACTTTAATATTCATTGGTTTAATTTGTAATTGTTTATTCGCAATTATTCACGTATTGTTTAATTCGCATTTTTCACTTAGTGAAATATAACATTAATATTTACATTAAGTTGCATCAATGTTAGCATTAGCATCAAATGCTAATTAGCGCTACTAGCCTGTGACATACAGTAATAAACGTTAGATCTAATTACACTGACTTTAATATTCATTGGTTTAATTTGTAATTATTTTATTTATGTTATTTTTTCTTTTTAATTCGCATTTTTCACTTAGTAAAGGCGGGGACTGTTGACTAACGTTAGTAGCTCTAAATTAGTTGACTGGAAAGCTGTGATGGTGTTAGCATGTAGCATGTTCACACAATAAAGAAGTACAGTTCGCAATTAAAACCATTACCTACCTTTTGTTGTAAGTTAACTTAATAAAATCTACTGCAATTGATGTCAACAAAGATGTTTAATCCACAAGAATTTGATCATTATTCCTACCTGTTAGCGTTCACATCGGTTCAGTCCTTATATGTTAGGCTAGAGTGGGTTATTTTTTGCGAATGAATCTGTGGATTTAAATAAATTGTGAGAGTCGATTCATCCTTGACCTATTCATAAACACAACAGTTGCTTTGTTGCTGAATAAATGTCTTATTCACTTAAGACAGTGTCCTACCACCACCTACTGGCGGTTTCAGGTAATACATGGATAACTTCATTTTGTTGCATATTTTTCTTTTTAATTTATTATTTGAAGCATTATTCATTTAAAAAGAATTCACAAAAATAACGAATTTATATAATCATAATATATAAAATATAATATAAACGATAATAATAATACTGTTAAAAATGATAAATAATTGATAATGAAAATATAAAATAACCGAAATGAGCTACTCAAAATAAATGAATCACACACACACACACACACACACACACACACACACACACACACACACACACACACACACACACGTATAAATATATATAAACATGGCAATAATTGTAATAAAAAGTAAAACGCAGAAAAAGTTGTTCATGACAGAAAAAATACATAGGCCTAAGTGCAAAATTAATTTAATTAATAATTGGAAAAAATGTGTATAAGCAGGTGGCTGTGTGAGCACATTAAGGCGAATGAGCCAGTCAGTCTAGCGCGGGCCTGCATTACAAGTTTGTTGTGTTTTAAAAAGTCTCTACGTAATACCAAATGGAATTGTGGAACTCTGACATCATCAGTGACAGTATAAAGCTTTTTGACGTAGCAGAAACTCTCATTAGCTTCTTTGGATGTCTAGTAGTTCAGTACTTTCTGCGATTCAACAGTACAGTGATAAAATGGCATTTTCAAAACTGATTAACCGTCTGAAGAAAGCGTTTGGTGTTAAGTGTGCGAACGAACAACCGCGTGAGCCACTCGAACCCACCGGCAGCACGACAGAGAATCACCGTCATCTGATGACCGATGACCCGGCCGTCGCTGCAGGAAAACAGGCAGGGAGACAGAAAAAGAGGAAACTCAAATTGTCTCCCATCTTCTTCGCCTGTTTTTCCAGAAGAAGAGCTACTGTTGTTGGTAAAATAGATTTATGAGCACTTTTAATTACTAAAGCATACTGTTAAACACACCAAACACATCACATAAGTGTTTAAAGATCAGAAATAAACATTACTGGAAGACATTTTAGAAAGTTTCTTAAAGCCACAGTTCACATAAACAAGACAATTCTGTCATAATTTACTCCTTAAACCTGTTTGAGGTGCTTTCAGCCATTGACTTCCACAGTATTTTGTGTTCCTACAATGAAGGTTAATGGCTGCTGATTTCAGGAATTTTCTTCAGAATTTGTAGTTTTGTGTAAAAAACAGAAAAAATAAGAATTATTTGTATTAGGATTTTTATTTCAGTGAGCTTTGCCTTTAGATATATAGTTTACTTGTTTGCTAATTCAATGCAGAAAACCCATGAAGATCATCAATAAAAACACATTGAGTAATGTTTCTGCAAATGAACTGTTCAAATATCTTGTCAAAAAGAGTTGTAGAGTCATATTAATGATGTTTCTTCCTCTCTTTAGATCAGCTATGTGTGCAGGAGATCCACGAACTTCACGCAGAGCCCATCAGTAGCTCTAAATTCTTCTGCACTGCTGTGAGCAACCTGGAGCTGGAAGTTCTCCAACCTCCAGCTCTTGATGCTCCAGCAGACGAAGATTTGGACTTTAAGCCGGAAGTGAACAGCTTTGACTCTGCAGTGGTCATTGAGAACGACTCTGCAGAGCTTCACTTCACAGAAGACATTGAATCCTCCCTCAGTGAGGACAGCCTGGAGCAAGAGCTTGATAGTCCTCCAAGTTCACCATCCGATGAGGACAATGAACTTCCAGTGAGCCAGCAGCTCATAACAGATGACATCTGTGACTCTGCCCTGGATGAAAACTGGAACCCTTTACCGGATCAGGTCTCACAAGAGGACTCTGCTGTGAAGTCTACAGCAGATGATGGGACCTGCTTGGACAATAGTAAGTTTATTGCTGGAGTTCAGAACATTTGTTTAGGCTCATCAAACTTTGTAAAATTATACAGTTGAAGTCAAAATTATTCACCCTCCTGTGATTTTTTTATTAATATTTTTTAAATATTTCCCAGATGATGCAGAGCAATAACGTTTAAGTATTCAGAACTTTAAGCTGAACACAGGTATCTTGAAAATATCCAGTAAATATGATGTACTGTCATCACGACAAAGATAAAAGACATCAGTTATTAGAAATGAGTTATTAAAACTATCATGTTCTGAAATCTGACAATAATTCTGACTTCAACTGTTTGTGTTTTTATTTGGTTTATAATTTAATGACATTTTCTTCATTTTTAACAGATGACATCAGCTGCCGCTACAAACTCGGAAAGCAGCTTGGTGAAGGAGGTTTCGGCTCCGTGTATGAGGGGATTCGCATACAGGATGGTCTGCAGGTATTCATTTTTGTAGACTCAAATCCTCTGATGAAGTTCCCTGTTTAAAGAACATCATCAGAGCTTTCATTGTTTGGACATTTCTGCTGACGAATGAATCCTCTGTTCAGGATTTATGACTGAATGAAATGATCTCCGTGCACATGTTAATTGTTCGCTTGTTCCTTTAAACAGGTGGCAGTTAAATTTGTCCAGAAGACCCCAAATATGCAAGATGTCAGCTCTGTGAGTAGACTACACTTTCTGTTCGCTGTGTTCAGTTTATAAAGTCTTATATTTATTATAGACCACAGGCTGTGGTCAGAAACCCTTGTTTGAAAACCAACATTATTATTTTGTTTTCAGTCATGTGACCAGCCACTTCCTCTAGAGATCACCTTGGCAAACATGGCCAGCGGTGGCTCCAGGTGTTCGAATATTATTCAGCTTCTGGACTGGCAGGTCTTTGAAAACCATTACGTCATGGTGATGGAGCGGCCTAGTCCAAGCATGGACCTGGAGGCATTCCTTGAAGTCAGCGGAGGAGTCCTCAGTGAGAAAACAGCACATACCATCATGAGGCAAGCTGTTTATGCGGCCAACGTGTGCTGTTACCGCGGGGTGTTCCACCGGGATATTAAGCTTCAAAACCTGCTGGTGAACCCCGACACACTGGAAGTCAAGCTGATCGACTTCGGGTGTGGAGACTTCATGATGGAATCAGCCTACAGTATCTTCTCTGGTAGGTGTTTTGAATAGTGTGGTCAAAAGTATCGACTTCGGTACCAATCGATTCTGACATTTAACAAGTCAATTTGAGCGCTGTTAAACACCACTGATTGGCCATTGGTGTTCACATGCTCAGCAAATATGACTGTGATGAGTGTCGGTATCGATTGGTAGTTGATACTTTTGACAACACTAGTTATGAATGTGCATAAGCATTATTAATAAACGTATTGAAAGCTGGTTAATTAGCACAGCTGAAGCCCATCTGGTATATATATTCAACATGATGCTAAACTAAACGTCTCTCCTCCAGGCACAGAAGCCTACATCCCGCCAGAGTTTTATGAAAAAGGATGCTACCGGGCCAAACCAGCGACGGTCTATTCTCTTGGGGTTCTTCTGTTCACAATGCTCCATGGAGAATTCCCATCAGCGTATGACCTGTACTACCTCCAACATGACTGGTCCAAATTTACCCTCTCTCAAGGTGAGATGTTCATCAAAGAACAATTAAGTGAAACAGCTTAATAATAATAATAACAATAACCTCACCTCTCCATTTCTTCTTCACAGAATGCTGTGATATGATGAGGGCTTGTCTGCATGAGAATCCAGAGTGCAGAATTCCTCTAGAAGAGATGCCTTACCACGACTGGTCCATGCTGGAGTTCTGAGTCACATTAGCAGAATGTTTTGTATATTTGATTTTTGTACATGTCTGTAATAAAGATATATTTTATTGAACTCACTTGTGTTGTGGCTTATATTGTGATCTAGCCCCAGTGTTGTCAGATTGTGTGGATTTAAAATGGTTTTGTTTGGGGTGACAAAAATTTGGCATGAGGTTTGAACAGCATCCAGTCCTTTCCAACACACACTGCAGTTGACACTGGCGTCATTACGGCGCACTTTTAAAAATACACTTTTTCAGAATGCTGTACAGCGCTGACCCAAAACCTAAACATATCAGTCACTGTGACACCAGCAAATCATCCATAAATATTCCAATGGTTTATTGTGAAATCAGAGCTGTTCAGAAAAATGTATTAAAATACAAACGTCGTAACATGAGAATGTGAGACTCAATACAAAACATCAGCATTTTCACAATAAGAGCACCCAGTTTTATTAAGGTCGTTGAGTGTTTGTTGCCATCATGACAATCCTAAACAAAATATTCAGTGATATTCCTTCAAATCAATACTGATAGTGTAGTTTGCGCAGACACACTGAGGTTTATCCAGTGTACAGAAGTCTGAATCATCCACATTATTTCATACGCTTCCAGAAACACGTTTACTACACGAATGTCCAGCGTTTGCTAAAACTGTTCAACTCTTTAGATGATTCCTTTCTTACAACATCTCCAACTATGACAGCTTCTCATTACTCACCATTTCTTAATCTTACTAAATACTTGACTTGTCACTCTGTGGACTCTGGGGTCATGTGCAGCATGAGCAGGTCGGCCCCCCGGCGGACCACCACATTTAAGCTTTCGCTGGTCCTCACAGCATTATATATCTCCTCCGACGTGTTCACCTTTACCCCATTGATCTCAATAATAACATCTCCTGGCTTCATTCCGGCTCTGCAAAACAGAAAACAGGAAATGACATCATCAATAGGGTGCCCTAATCAACAGCTGATAACATCATGTTCAGAGAGCAGCAAACCTGTTGGCTGGAGATCCTACAATCACACGGTGGATGAGAACTCCATGAGAAACATCAGGGAAGGACGGGTCTCGCATCCTTAGCTCTTCGATTATAGTGAGGAGGGGAAAAAGAGAATTTAAAGATAATAAAAGACTCACTTCAGTGCAAAGTTTACATTTTAAGGATTGATTGATAAATAGATAAGATAGATAGATTCATAGATAGATTGATTGATTTATTGATAGTTTGATAGACAGATCAGCAAAACAATCAATATTACATTTGCTTCAACCAAAAACACTTCAATGTCTGCGGTTTAATTACTCTTGCTAATAACATAGTAAAAACATCTGAAAAGCATTATTCCCATAATACATTTGTTTTTGAGTAGTTTTTTTCTGTCACTGCAACACAGAAAGGCCTTTGTCCTGCCCTTACATTTCAGGTAAAACTAAACAAGGTTGACTGTGATTGGCCACTTCTCATATCATTTAAATCACTGCTTCGGAATCACGGTAGATTGTGGAGGTATTTTTGCATTAAATTGTCACAAAAATTCACAAACATTTTTATTTTTCGGGCGTGAAAATTGCATACAAATTCTCCTTGATAAATTAAGCACTTTTCAACAGAACAAGCCAATTTTCCAGGTATTCCAGCACTTAAATTTCTAAGAGCCAAATCTAGTGGTAAATAACAAAAATCTGTAGATTCCATAATGTATGAATTTTGCTCTCCTGTAAAATTGTAATAAAAGTGTTTGGCACCTGGGGGTCAAAGTCAACATCATCACTCCAATGTAACGCCTTTTTGATCCCGATTCTCCAAACCAAGAGTCTGAAAAAAAGACCCAATAACCATCTGTCAGTGAAAAAAATTCTGTCACAGACAAAAGCAAGCAGCTGTGAGGTCATTCTTACTCTATCTACAGATCGGTCTAGGAAGAGACGGACTCTGTCTGAGGGAATAGCGAAGGAAATCCCTGCTGTCACTTTCATGGTATTAATGCCGATGACCTCACCATCCTGAAGAGTACAAACATGAAACATCAGTTTATTACATAAGGCTAGAGTATGGCCAGTACAATACAATATTGATGAACATTTGAAAACAATTCACATTCTTAATATGACAGTCATGAAGCTCTGTGTTGCTCTGAAGGTCCAGCAATCTGTAGTCAACTACTAAATGTGCACTAATAACTTTCTCTTTCACATTATTGTACAAGGAGGGTACCACCATAGCTGTGAGATACGTTCTACTTGGGATTTCGTAGAGTGGTTCTAGCACACTAATTAAATGCCTAAAACCAGAGTTTTCTACCCCTGAAAAAGGTTGCATGTCTGTGGCTATAAATACTCCTACCCTAATACTCCTACTATTATGCCTACAATTGTCTTTGCTTGTGTTGAGTTACTTGGAATTTTTATTCCAAATGAAGACAGGAGAGTAGTTTGTGTTACACTTGTCGGTTTAACAGATAAAGTAATGATTTTGTGGACATCAGTAATCTAACTATTTGCCTTAATCTAATTAAAACAATAATATGATTAAGATGTTTACATGAGTTGCTTTTTGAATGTTCCTTTCATGATCCCGTTTTACATGTTAAAGCACATAATACGATTAACGTTATTGTGTCACCACGCTATCCACGTTTCCTCCGGAGTGTCATGTAATTTCGGGGATTTTCATTCTTAATTTGTCGACTTTAACTGCAGTTTGGCACTTTCATTTTCATTCAAGAACATTTCATGCGTGCCCCCCATGACAAACGACATATTGGATCCGAGGAACTGCTAGAAGAGTGTAGTTTTAATGGCCTACTTCGCCATCTGAATAACAAGGAACACCGATTGCTTACTTACCAAATCCATAGAGACAGGACAATCAACGCGAACTGGATTTGCGATTTTTTTTATAAGAAGACGAGTGGCAAATCTGGATTTCACCATTTATACATACAAAAAGCTCTCAGGTAAAAATGTTCCTTACAAACATAATTTTGTTGCGTGTTAGAAGACCACTGTAGTCCACAAATGTGGGTCCTTTCTCATCGCGGGGAAATGAAACAAAACCTTTGTTGTGGCAAGTTTATAAACAACACTGACGACCCATGTCTCTGAACAATTCTTCTTCTTCCACTTGTTTTATTTACGGTTAGCAACACAACGTCGCGTCTCTCTGAATACTGTAACAGGTAGTTTTTGAAGCTATCATGCATATTAATAAAGTTGCACCTCATATACAATAGAGCGCGCTGATTGGTTCGTCTTTCTCTTGAATTAATGATGAAAGCTCAAAGACGTCACATTGTACCCGCCGGTACAGACAGCCAGTCTCCATGCTGGAATTTACACAAGGAGCTCATGGCTATGAGGTGCCGTATAGGATTTAAATCAAACTTTGCTTATCAACACATACATAAAACACGTGTATATACACCTATAAATTACTTGCATATACACCTATACTACTGAATGTTCAAAACAACATGGAAGAAACTTGTGTATATACATATGAACTTGACGCATGAATACACCCACATTAACACACGCACATGCATATAAACTTGCTGCATGCAAACACACCTATACATACTCACATATACATATAAACTCGGTTTATGCATATACACCCTCAACAACACGCGCACATACACAAACTCATTGCAAGCAAACACACCTATAACATCTCGCGCAAACATACAAAAAAAATAAAGAAATAAAATTCACAAACATTTATAAAGAATCTGGTTATTGCAAAGCTTATCAAATAGAAATAATGTGATTAATAGAGGGATTAAATATGTTAAATTATGAACATATGTTATATAAAATATTAGTCTATATAAATAGACTATTCAAAATAAGAAATATTTTTATTTAAAACCTTTTCATTTAATTAGGTAATTACATACACAAATATAAATGGACAGATAGAACCCTTAAAGGACGTTCAAAAAGCAACCAGAATTATAAATATAAATGTGTACTCAAACTAAACTCCTTTATTCTATTGCAAATGTTAATGTAGCCTATAGTCTTTTTGTTTTGTTTTTTACATTTTTATAATTATTATGCTTTTTATATGTTTTTACAATGTGGGTGTCAAAATTGCAAGATTTTGGTATCATTTTGATTGTTAATTATTTAGCATATACAATAAACAAAAAAACAAAACAAAAAAAAAACACTGATTAAAAGTCTCTGCTCATCATGTTGGTCAAGTTAACCCCCATGGAAAAGCTATATATATTATCAGGACACTCCTTTTGTGTTTAATAACTACTACTTATATTTTTACAGCAGCTGGCATCCAGCATTTTGGTGCATTAGCCTGTTTATTGGTGACAGGAAAACCCACTTAAGTGCATTCCTGCCCCCTACTGGACATAAGTGTGTATCATAACCCTTGACGAATGGTGACACCAATAATAAAACAAACATAAAAAACTAATATTAGACAAACATATTTTATTCAAAATGATTACTTAAGCAACTTTATATTTATTAAACCATAATAACATTTCCAATAATTTAATTGCATAATAAACCTTTAATTTTGCAGGAGCATTCCTTTGCATTACCTTTTTATTTATTTATTTTTTAGAATTAGCATAATCTATTTTCATATTTCAACAGATGTAATTCCTCTAATAATCACATTATTTCTGTTTCTTAAGGTTTGCAATAACCTGATTCATGACAAATAATAATCTTGTTCATTACACTCAAAGGACTTTTACGTTGAAATTAAACGACTTCCTTTTAAAGTGAAATAACTTCCTTTTACTGTGAAAATTCATGCATACACACATATGAAATCACTTGCATATATGTATATACACAACTAACTGTATATATGTTTGTGAATTTTATTTTGTATGTTTGCACAAGTGTCATTTGGGTGTTTATGCACACATCAAGTTTATATTCTTATGTGAGAGTTTATGGGTGTACATGCATAGATCAAGTTTATATGTATATGCAAGTGTGTATAGGTGTGTTTGCATGCAGCAAGTTTATATGTATGTGCGTGTGTTAATGTGAGTGTTTATGTGAGGATCGAGTTTATATGTATGTGCGTGTGTATGTGGGTGTATTCATGCATCAAGCTTTTATGTATATACACAAGTTTCATCCATGTTGTTTTAAACATCCAGTAGTATAGGTGTATATGCAAGTAATTTATAGGTGTATATACACGTGTTTTATGTATGTGTTGATAAGCAAAGTTTGATTTAAATCCTATACGGCACCTCATACATGGCCTTGACGTAGCTTCAAAATTTCTTTTCAAACCGGAAGAACGAATTTGTTTGAAATAAAGCAAAAACAACCAATTTTCACTTTTATTGTTAAATATGTGTCCTAAGAGTGTTTTTAGCAGCGTGAGACATATATATGACTATTGACATCTCAAAAATGTGTTTTGGTGTTTCGTGACCCTTTAAACCAAAAGGCAGAAGCAGTCAGTTGAGTAAATGTCAGCGACTCACCATGTGTATGAGAGGCCCTCCTGAATTTCCAAACTGTAAAGCAGAATTGTGATTGAGTGATGGAATGCAATTTATTAAATGATAACATAGTTTTGTTTTTTTTGCATGCAACACCACCCAGTTTCCAGTGCTCTTACATCTATGGTAGCGTCCGTCTGGATGTAGTCCATGTTGGAGTTGGAGAGACCCAGTTCTTTACTGTCTCTCTGAGCAGAGCTGACGATTCCAGATGTGATGGTGTTTTTAAGAGAAAAGGGGCTCCCCATGGCAACCACAAATTCACCTTGACGCACATCAGATGACTTGCCAAGACGCAACGTTGGTAAAGGATTCTGGGACAAGACAGAGAACACAATGACACTATGTCAGACTATATGGCCATGTACTAGAACTGTGGTAAAAGAAAACAGTCAAAAATCAATTGCAAAAATGGCGTTCCAAACATTAAAGCCTCCTCTGTTACTGTTGGTTTACCTAAAATTGTTGACTATAATATTCTGTAGTTGCTGTAATATTACTGCATTTAAAAATCTGAGGATGCAAAACCAAATGTCACTAAGGTTATCACAATTTCGAGTTTATTTCCATATTTGTATGCGGCGCTTCCTCCTGAAATATTACAGTGTGTATGTAGCCTAAATACAGTATAATCAGATTAATGGGTTAACACCAGGGCTTGACATTAACACCCACCAACCGCAGGTAGACTTTAGCTGTGGTGGATTAGACAGCCACTCCCACTATCCACTTTGGCTGGTCGAAAATCACTTTTAAATTGTATTTTTTTTAAAAGCAGGGTTCAACAATAAGGATGAACCTCTAGAAATGAGAAGCAGCTCGACTGACAAAAACAACTGTGTTCACGCAAGCAAAAGAAAGCAGATGAATACAGAATGTTATGTGATGCACGCAATTTTTTAAAAGGGTGCACGATCCCATTTCCATGCGTGAAGCAACCTTGACTGGAAACACAATGCTGCGATCGGTTCTGTTTGAAATAGACTGGACAAAAAGTGATACACATCCACCATTTCCAAGAGCTCGAGATTAAAAAAAAAAGAAGGTATTTTATGTATGCAGCAGCAGTTGCTGCTTCAGCTTTAAACAATCTTTAAACAGATTATTAATGGGCCTAACGTTAACTGTGTGCGTTTGATCATCCTTTCATTATTGCACACGGTATGTTTTTCACCTGCTTTCTTTTTGTTAATATGGTTTAATTATCATTCTTTTCAGTAACATTGATTTAATAGATTAAATTTTATGTATAGTTAACTGCTGATCTGAGACCTTGGTCTTGGAGCTAGGACAGACTACTTTTCATAGTTTTAGACAGGCTACATGACAATAATTGTTATTTAAGTTTTATTTAATAAAAAGTGTGTGCATATTATAACATATATTTCGCTAGTTTTTGAAATTTTAAAATTATTTAACATTTTTGGCTGAGAAATATTTATTTATTTATTTATTTATTTATTTTCCAGTGTGGCAAGAGAAAATATTGGTACAACCTTAATGTTGAGCCCTGAAATAATAACCAATTACAATGCAACACCATGAAACCACTACCACTCATGCTCATTGAGCAATGTCATACACAACACATCTAAATCAAGTAATTTTGCAAATATATTTTCCCAAAAACAAAAGTGAAAATGGCGAGTGGCTAGTAAAGTTGAAAAACTACTAGCCATATAGGCTGGTGATCAAAAAAGTTAATGTAGAGCCATTAAAAACATTAAAAATCATATTGACCTCACACTTTTAATGTACTAACAGTGACACAATTTTGATTCTATAGGTTTAATTCTTAAATGAACAAAATTCAAAAAGAAATTACTCATTTGATAAAGACCTTTTACTAAAAATGTAAATTAATAAAATAAAATGAGTCCTTGTTCTTACCATATTAAACTATGACTCAATAAAAATAATGATGCACCGATACCATCTTTTTGGAACTGATTCGATTTCGATCCCAAAATTCTGAGTATCGACCAATACAGATCCGATCCTGATATTGTGCCATTTTTTTAAGCATAATACAGTTTCTATGGTGATGTGGTCCAGCTTATGTTTCCTTTTTTAATAGTAAGATTTTTCTTTGAACTCTGCAACAGGCTACCACTATTGACCCTAATCAAAACACAAACTGGTCTGTTAAATAAACTATTTATATAAATAAAATTACAGTCAAATATTCACAGTTTCAGAGTAACCTATATGAGGCTTAATTATTTTCTGTTAATGACAATCAATATTGTGCCTGTCAGTTTCACTTTTATTAATTTAATCAACAACTTTGACCACAATGAGCCAGGCTTACAAACTATTCTAAAAGTATTCCCCTTCGAAAGAATAAACTCAGTCGGAAGGATGAGAAAACAGAAACTTTTAATGTTACAGAATAATTCTAGAGAGCGGCACATATCACATCAGCCAGTGTGTGAATGAAGTGGCAGTATGTGAAGGGTCACATACTGCGTGTGCTTGAAGTTTGGACTTGCTATTTACTCGCAATTTAAATCTTAATCATAAAATTCTTCCTCATTCGCTAAGTATTTGTCTCTCCTACTTAGGGTGATCAAACCCTTAATACATTTATACAAACAAAACTGCTTTAAAAACGGTCTGTCCCTCGAGCATCCGCCTGTTGTTTGTAGCTTTAGCCTGCTAGCGCCGCTGGTCAGCTAAAGCTACCGACCTCTTTTACCATACACTTTTGACTTACTGGCTTTGCTCTTTACCCCGTAAAATGTCGCTTCCGTCTCTGTCCTTGTGTGCAGGAGAAGCATCGATGGAGGCGTTGGAGCTGGAGCTGGAAGAAGTGGAGTCCCAGATCCGGGCGCTTCTGGTGAGACGGTCGCGGCTACGGGAACAACTGCTTGTTGTACCTAATGCTAAGGCCGCCTCATCATCTAAGGTACGTGGAAATTACAACCACATCATTCCCTCTACCTCAACCCCGCGTCCTTCTCTGTCCAGGCCCAGCACACCCGGGGCGCGGCTCAGCCAGGCGTCGTTCACGCCGACACCCGGCTACCACGGCGCCTGGGTGCAGCCGCGCAAGGTGCTTCCCAGATCTCGGGGCAGAACGTCTCCTCCCGTGTTCGAGATCTCCACGGAGAACCGCTTCTCCCCTCTCCGCGAGTCGGGTCCCGATGTGGCCATCATCGGTGACTCGATCGTTCGTCACGTCCGTGCCGCTTCCTCAAAAGGTAATAAAGTACGTACTTTCTGCTTTCCTGGTGCCCGTGTGAGAAATATTTCTACACAGATTCCAACCATCCTGGGCGCTGCCGAGAGCCCTGGTGCCGTTGTCCTCCACGTGGGGACAAACGACACCGGGCTCCGGCAGTCGGAGATCCTGAAGAAGGACTTCAGGAGCCTGATCGAGACGGTTCGACGCACCTCGCCCGCCACGCAGATCATCGTTTCTGGGCCGCTTCCTACCTACCGCCGAGGAAATGTAAGGTTCAGTAGACTTTTAGCTCTGAATGAATGGCTAATAACATGGTGTAAAGAACAGAAATTGCTCTTTGCTAATAACTGGAATCTTTTCTGGGAGCGTCCTAGGCTCTTCCGTCCTGACGGCCTGCACCCCAGTCGAGCCGGAGCTGAACTCCTGTCGAACAACATCTCCAGATTACTTCGCACCATCTGACTAGCAGGTAAAAATTCACAAAATTCACATTATAGCCACCTAGACTCTTGTTCACCCCACTTAAACATCAGTAACGCATATCTGGCAAATCCTATAGAGACTGTGTCTGTTCCTCGTATTATTAGATTAGGAAATAAACGTACTGTGTGCTCCAGAAAAAATCTAGTAAGAATCAAACCAGAAAAACCAGTTGAAAGTGAAAATACAAATTTCGTAAAACTTGGTCTCCTAAACATCAGGTCACTTTCACCTAAAGCACTTATCATTAATGAAATAATAACAGAAAACAATCTTAATGCACTCTGTCTCACTGAAACCTGGCTGAAACAAAATGACTATATTAGCTTAAATGAAGCAACTCCTCCAGGATTCTTATATAAACATGAGGCTCGTCAAACTGGTCGTTGTGGTGGAGTTGCATCAATCTTTAGTGATTTCCTTAATATTAAACAGAGAAACGGACTTATGTTTAGCTCCTTTGAAATATTATCGCTAAAGCCTAGTTCACACTACAGAATTTTAAACATCAGCAGATCGCTGTGCTGTTCACACTACATGACTTGACTTTGTGTCTTTTGATCTCTGTGGTGTTCACACTACGCAACACTCCGTGAACGATCCACAAGAGGGGGGTCACACACTACATGATCTGACAACATCTCATTCCCCATCAGCTCATTCAAGCTACCAAACCACAGCCAATGAAAATTTTGAGGGAGGAGTCGTCAGAAAAAAGCTGAACACTATTGGCTGCTTGTGTGCTGATTACATCACTGACAGCGTTTCAAGCTTTGGAGAAAGCATTTAAAAACATTGTCAAATCAGCTGATTTATGAGCGGATTAATCACTCATCTGCAAGGTTTGAGTGGATAGATACACAGAGTTTTTAATTTTTGTAATTTTATAACTCTTTGAAATAAAACTAACATATTTATAACACCCTGCCGTTTTCTAACTATCAGTGTATTTCTTTCTGACATTGTTATTTTTTTATTACAAAACAGTAAAGAACTGAGCATTTCTGCCTTAAATTACCATATTGGTTAAAATGACTGCATGCATGTCTGATACTTTTCACTGTGACTTTAAATATGTGTGCATTTTCTTGCCTGGCAACTTCCTGCTAACATAAACAAAACTTTCTGATGGCAAAAACATCAATTTACTTCAGATATCTTTCAAAACAGCATATTCTGTGCTGTTAAATAGCTCCTGTTTGAAAGTGAAAATGAAAGCCAAGACCTTTAAGTGTTTTAGTATCTTAACTACATATTTATAGGCTGTATTACCAAAAAAATATATATTTTTAGGGTAATGGTGTCATTAAATATGATGCCAGACATTCAAAGCTTAATTTTAATATCTCAATAATAGCTTTGAATGTAAATATGTTGTGACAAGATGGCGTTTTATATGAGAACGGTCAGAATGAGCAGTATGGTAATTCTAATAGTTACACAATTCTAGCTCCACTGTTAATATAGCCTACTCTCATGTCTGTGCTAACGCAGAATGAAGCGAGTGCACTGATGCCCATTCTGACCAATCACAGATGTTTCTGCTGAGCTCCTGAACACACAGGCACGCGGCTCATGCTGATATGCTCTCTCATTGGCTGTAGCTCGTCACTACATCTGACCACACGTGGGGTTGAGTCGGCCGACTGCTCTGGAATATTTAGCATGCTGAATTTTGGATTTCCGTCTGCGAGGTGTCGGCGACGCGTCAGCGAGCCTCGTTGATGCGTTGCTCAGTAGTTCACACATAAAGAGCGGCGAGCGCCGAGCACCCGCAGATTTCTTCCCGATCACAGCCCGATCTGTCGGCGAGCTCGTTAACTTCCAAATCGGGCTCAAATCAGGCTTAAAATCCTTTAGTGTGAACTAGGCATTAATGTTCAGCTTCCAGATACTATGCAAAAACCTATGTTATCTCTCGCTTTAATCACCATATATAGACCCCCAGGACCCTATGTCAAATTTCTAAAAGAATTTTCTGATTTTATTTCTGACTTACTAGTCAAAACTGATAAAATGCTAATTGTAGGTGACTTTAACATCCACATAGATGACGCTAATGATACATTAGGGCTTGCGTTTATGGATTTAATACACTCACTTGGGATAAAGCAAAACGTTGTGGGTCCAACCCATCGCTTAAAGCATACATTAGATCTAATTCTGTCTTATGGAATCGAGGTTATTGACGTAGACATTATACCACAAAGTGATGATATTACAGATCACTACCTCTTACTATATAAGCTGTGTTTACCTGAAATCAGCAAACCCGCCCCAATACTCCGCCCTAGTAGAACTATTGTTCCGTCAACTAAAGATGAATTTATAAACAACTTACCTGATCTCTCTCTATTTCGTAATGCACCCGCAAACTCAAATGATCTTGATGTAGTAACCAGCAGTATGGATGCCATCTTTCCTAGCACACTAAATACTGTGGCACCCATCAAATTAAAAAAGGCTAGAGCGATTAAAACTATACCATGGTATAATAGTCATACTCGTGCGCTCAAAACAGCAACCCGCGCCCTGGAACGTAAATGGAAAAAAACTAATTTAGAGGTCTTTAGAATTGCGTACAAAGACAGTATGTCCAGCTATAGGAGGGCTCTAAAATCTGCCAGGACCGAGCACCTGCGCAAACTGATAGAAAATAATCATAACAATCCTAGATTTTTATTTAACACCATCTCTAAATTAGCAAATAATCGGTCATCCTTGGAACAAACTACTCCACCGCAAATTAGTAGTGATGACTTCATGAATTTTTTCAGTAATAAAATAGAAGGCTTTAGACAGAAAATAGGAGATGCCAAACTTTCTGCACCGGCTTATACTCCAAATCCTGTAAATATTTCATTGAATCATAATAATAACCTACACTGCTTCAAAATCATAGAACATGAAGAGTTAGTAAAAATTATAAATAGCTCTAAAGCAGCTACGTGTATGCTGGACTCAATTCCAACAAAATTACTGAAAGAGCTGCTACCTGCTATAAGAGAACCTCTTCTTAACATTATCAACTCTTCGTTATCTATAGGCCATGTTCCAAACTCTTACAAGCTAGCTGTTATTAAGCCTATTATTAAGAAACCGCAACTAGACCCCAACAACTTAGCTAACTATAGGCCTATTTCAAATCTTCCATTTATGTCTAAAATACTAGAAAAAGTTGTTTCCACTCAATTATGCTCCTTTCTGCAGACAAACAATATTTTTGAAGTGTTTCAGTCAGGTTTCAGGGCTCATCACAGTACAGAAACCGCATTAGTGAAAATAACCAATGATTTACTCTTAGCTGCTGACCGAGGGTGCGTCTCGCTATTAGTTTTACTCGATCTTAGTGCGGCATTTGATACCATTGACCACAGTATCCTCATAAATCGCTTAAAGTCTACAGGTGTCCAGGGACAAGCTCTACAATGGTTTAAGTCATACTTAACTGACCGTTACCAGTTTGTGAATATTAATGGACAGCCTTCACAAGTCAGCCCAGTAAAGTATGAGGTGCCTCAAGGATCAGTTTTAGGCCCTTTACTGTTTACAATTTACATGCTACCTCTGGGAGACATTATTAGAAGACATGGGATCAGCTTTCACTGATATGCAGATGATACTCAATTATATATTTCAACTAAACCTGATGAGATGTCTGAACTGTCTAAACTAACTGAGTGTATCAAAGACATCAAAGACTGGATGACCAACAATTTTCTTCTCTTAAAATCAGACAAAACAGAATTATTACTTATTGGACCTAAATCTTGCACACAGCAGATCTCGCAACTCAATTTACAATTAGAGGGATACAAAGTTAGTTTTAGCTCTACTATAAAAGATCTGGGTGTCAGCAATCTAACTTTTGAAAATCATATATCCCATGTCACAAAAACTGCCTTCTTTCATCTGAGAAATATCGCTAAATTACGAAATATGCTATCCATCTCAGATGCAGAAAAGCTAGTCCATGCTTTTATGACTTCGAGACTGGATTACTGTAATGCTCTATTTGCTGGCTGCCCAGCATCCTCTATTAACAAACTTCAATTAGTACAAAATGCACCTGCCAGAGTTCTTACCAGGTCTAGAAAATATGATCATTTCACCCCAATTTTATCCTCCTTACACTGGCTGCCTGTTAAGTTTCGTATTGAATTTAAAATATTACTTCTCACCTATAAAGCTCTAAATAATCTAGCTCCTGTTTATCTAACCAACCTTCTGTCTCGCTACAAACCAACTCGCTCTTTAAGATCTCAAAATTCAGGGCTTCTGGTAGTATCTAGAATAGCAAAGTCAAGAAAAGGAGGTCGAGCCTTCTCTTTCATGGCTCCTACACTCTGGAATAGCCTTCCTGATAACGTCCGAGGCTCAGACACACTCTCCCAGTTCAAAACTAGATTAAAGACCTATCTGTTTAGTAAAGCATACACTCAATGCATCACCTAGCGGGTTCCACACAGGCTTCTGCATCTTGCTTATAAACACTATGAACAGCAGCTACGCTAATTATTTTCTTTATTCTCTATTTTCACCTGGGGATACTCATCCCGAGGTCCTCAGATTATGCGGAGTCACTGATTGGATCCAAGACCAGCGACGTGATGATCCCAAGGATTCCACATCCGGGACCAGGCCGTATCCTGAGCTGCTGCTGCGCTGATGGTCGTGGGGAGTGGAGAACATGAGTCTGATTCCAGTGACGCTCCAGGGACAGACGAGTCTTCGCTGAGGCCATCTTCCAGCCTAAACCACGGCGAATGAAGCTCTGCACAAGACTTTTGGCCAGCGGAGAAATTAAAATGGTCATGCCCAACTGAGTCTGGTTCTCTCAAAGTTTTTTTTCTTCACTCCCATCAGGTGAAGTTTTTTTTCCCTCTCCGCTGTCGCCACTGCCTCGCATGGTTCAGGATTGGTAGAGCTACGCATCGATGAAATTGGCTCTTCAGTGTTTGAACTATCAGTAATGATTAAATCACACTGAACTGAGCTAAACTGAACTGAACTGAACTTAAACACTAAAAACTGAACCACACTGTTCCAGTTACTATGACCATTTATGTGAAGCTGCTTTGACACAATCTACATTGTAAAAGCGCTATACAAAAAAAGCTGAATTGAATTGAATTGAATTGAAAGTGCTTGATGCATCACTGAGACAGCGTGCAGTCCTTCGTTATCTGCAGACACTTCCAATCCAAAACAGCAGTAAAAAGGAAAGAAATCAGTGTGTTAAGGATCTGTCCAATGTATTATTGAGCCTTTTCTAGTTTTAAATTTCAGGTAGGCCTACTTTGTGTGTGAAGAGCAGGTAATAACCCACTCAGTTCCAGTGTTGCGAATGCGATCATCTGATCTAACAGCTACATGATTTAGAAACAGAAATGAACTCGTCGTTTCAGATCGAAATGAACCAATTTAATATATATTATATTAGAATAAATTAATATCATGTAATATAATAAATTAATATTTATTTAAATTAACAGGAACAAATAGTCTTGGAGAAAGTTTTTCATGTTTTCATGAACGTGACACGCAGTTTGAATTGTAAATAAACGGAGAATGATTGACAGGCGCAGCGGAGGGAAGCGCAGAACTGAACATGAATTTAACCATGTGAATATTGATCTGTACTTCACATTAAACTATAGAATGGCTTCAAAACATTTGAGATACAGTAGGCCTACAAGACAACTTTCTACTGTCTCATAAAAGGCTACCTTTCTGGCTTTTGTTTGCTTATAAATTACACAGAATATAGAGCACGTGCAAGATGGGATTTGGATCGGTACCTGCTGGCCGATACCCGATCCAGTAAAAATATGCAGAATCAAACCAATATCCAATCCAAGTATCAGGATCGATGCATCCCTAATTAAAAAATAAAATATCCCCAAAAGATAACATATGTTAACAGTACAACCTCAAAGCTCCATCTGTACCTTAACATTGATTTTGATGGTGGCGATGTCAGCAGCCTGGTCCACATCCTGAACTGTGGCGTTGTAAGTCTCACCATTGGTCAGTTTGACACGAACACCACGCTTGTTGGCGACCACATGGGCATTTGTCACTATCAGGCCATCACTACTTATTATAAAGCCAGAACCATTCGAGATGGGAACCTCACGGCCAGAAAAGGGGTGTCTGAAAAGAAAGAGTGTAATATTAGTCACAATTCCCAAACACAACTGAAACTAAAACCATCTGGTCATCTTAAAATAGAAACAAGTGATCCAAAAAGTCTCTATAGAGAAAATCAACATAAAACACCCTGCTGAAAAAAACAATCCTGTTGAGCGCGCGCATGTAAAGGTAACTGGGTGAACAAGTCAAACAAAGTATATACACAAGAGAACATAAAAATATACAACAATTCAAAAAAATGAAGCAAGAATAATAAAGATTTAAATAAAACATATAATAGATAGATAGTACAATAATAATAATGATAGTAATAATGTCAGTGAAAATGACAACAGCATTATTAATAACAACAACAACAACTACAACTACCACTTTTGATTACTTAACATTCAGAAATTAAACCGAATTAACAAAAAATATTCTAAATATATGTGTAGTGTTAAAACACTGTTGGGTTTTACAACCCTGCGAAATGTGAGAATGTTTTAACAATAGAAATGATAAAAAAGTAAAGAATTAGGTTAACTTGATTGTTTTTATAAATGTAAGTGAGTTGAACATAAAACAGTCAAGTTGCCCCCAATAAACTTAAGAATTGAGTTGCTTCAACACGTTAAATAAGTGTTTTATAAATGTCTGATAACAATAATTGTGTTAATAATAATGACATTTGGGGAAAAAGGGTTTGGTTCTATTTTTGTAGTAATTAAATGTTTATAATTTAAAATGTTTATAATAATTAGATGTTCTGCCGCCTTGTTTTTGAGTTGTGCAATGCAAAAAGACCCTCTTATAGCAAGATTAGGGAAGCACCGAAATGAAGCTTATTGATTGAAACTGAAAATTCTAGATGCATTTGGCTGAAAACTGACACTGAAAAGGCTTTTTAATAATTGGAATTTATTTTAATAAATAAAAAAAAAATTATAGTTTTATATCAAAAAATAAAGTAATTTGGCGACGCAGTAGGTAGTGCTGTCACCACACAGCAAGAAAGTCGTAAGTTCGAGCCTCGGCTAAGTCGGTTGGCATTTCTGTGTGGAGTTTGCATGTTCTTCCTGCGTATGCGTGGGTTTTCTCCGAGTGCACTGGTTTCCCCCACAGTCCAAAGACATGCTGTACAGGTGAATTGAGTAGGCTAAATTGTCCGTAGTGTATGAGTGTGAATGAGTATGTATGTATGTTTCCTAGAGATGGGTTGCAGCTGGGAGGGCATCCGCTGCGTAAAAACATATGCTGGATAAGTTGGCGGTTCATTCCGCTGTGGTGACCCCAGATTAATAAAAGGACTGAGCCGAAAAGAAAATAAACGAATGAATGAATGAAGTATTTTTGTGAGGCTTTTAAATTAAACTCAATAACTTAAATTAACAGTGAAATCAATAGTAAAAATAAAAATGATTCCATCATTTACTCACCCTCTGCATATTTGAACTCGTTATGAGTTTCTTTCTTCTGTTAAACACAAAAGAAGACATTTTCAATAATGCTGAAAACCTCTAGCTATTGACTTCCATAGCAGGAAAAATAACTACTATAAAAGTCAATGTTCAGGTTATATATATATAGTACTGTTTCAGTGAACTTGTACAAGTATACTAAAAAAACATTCATTTTATTAGTATTTTTATTCAATGCTTTGAAAAATAAGTTAAATCTTTGTAAATACATATGTACTATATATCATTTATTTAAATATGTGGGCAACAAATTATAGATTCATTTTAATAAAAAAATATTATATTATTATTATTTTTTTAATTCAACTATAGGGGTAGGGACAGGTAGGGGGCCTTACAAGATAATGTGCCCAGGGGCCCCTGAGTTCTTAATCCAGGCCTGGCCCCGCCTATTTGTTGCAAGCGCAATCCCGGGAAAATTAAAAAAACCCAGCCCCGCCCACAAACACAGTAGCAAAGAAAAAGAAGAAGGACACTGCAGCAGACGCCAGTTGAATCATGTCGCGAAGACGCTGTGCTCTGAAGTGTGAGGGGAAAGTTAGTGTTATTTTCTCTACTCAAAGATGAAAGAGTCAGTGGTTGAGGTTTATTTTGGCAAAAATACCTCAACATTACAGCCCAGGCTTGTGCTGTGTTCCTGTCATTTTTCTGATGAGTGCTTTAGATCAGAAAAGTCTGTTGACGCATGGGACTTTGTCAGAGCTCGACAGGAACTTTACAGTACACAGTTTATGGATCAGTTTCTTTCTCTATTTCACAAGTGTAAGTATGTGTAATTAAAATGGTTGCCTCTTTGTTTTCTCTACAAATTATGTATTTAATTGTTTTTTGCTACTTATAACCGCTTGTAGTGCATCTGGTTAACTCTTTATATTCTCATATCACGTCTAATGCCATGATGAAAATGCGACGCATGCCGCTTTGTTTATGGATTTAAATGCGTTTGCATATAAATGCATAATCCACTGGCACTTGTCGTTGCTATGGCCATCATCAGTTTCCGGGATAAATAACAAAACGGGAGGGTGGCGGGAGATGGGTCTGAAATTACAGGAGACTCCCGGAAAAAAAACGTGAGTGTTGGCAGGTATACTCACACATACACTCTGCACTCTGACTACTTCAATATTGTTGATAAGCCATGGTGGCCATTTCTCTCCGTCTCACGCTGAACGCTGTTGACCAATCACAACAGAGTACAATAGGACCAATCAGCGCAGATTAGCATCGCGTTAGGAAGGGGTGTAGGAACAAATTAATTGCTAAATAATCATATGAGAGTCGCTGCCATAATTTGGTAAAAATAAATGCAGATTTTAAGACAATAAAAGTGTTCTTTGACCTTGAATGCCCATCAGCCTGTTGTTGGAGACCCCCCCCCCAAAAAAAAACAAAATATGACCCTTTTTAATGTATAATAGGGGCTGTTTAAATCCATTCAGACAAACTCCGGGTCTGACAGAAGAACTTTTAGCTTAGCTTAGCATAGATCCTTGAATCAGATTAGACCATTAGCATCTCGCTCAAAAAATTCTAAAGAGTTTTTAAAGTAAAACTTGACTCTTGTGTAGTTAAAGTATGCACCAAGACTGATGGAAATGAATAGCTGCTATGTTCCAGCATGACATGGCTAGTAACTATACCTATACGCCTCTCGGGAAGTATACATGGGCATTCTGTTTGAATGGGTAAATCAAATTCTTCAAAACTGCTTGCCAAGATTACGATTACATTACATATTATGAATAACCAATAAAATTGAACAGTAACTGTCCTTTTAGTTTCATTTATAAACGTCCATATCACACAATATCTGCAGAAACTCACATCTAGTCCAAGCCCCTCCCCTGGAGAATTGTCATTCTATACTGATCGCTGATTGGCTCATGTACTGAAAGGTGGGCTTTATTTGCCAAATATCAATCACTGATTGGCTCCTGTACTAGAAGGCGGGGCTTCATTCGCCATAATGACTGTTTCACTTTTCCCATTCAAAAGTATACGAGTGACACGTCATGTGTATTCTATAATCTTTGCTATACTCTCATTCTGCAGTAATAATCAAGGATTTTGGACTATTTGTTAGACCCAGAGATCAGCTGAACGGATTAAAATGATCAAACTCAACAGTTTAACTCTGAGTGACTTGAAAAATGAGCCTATTTGCCAAAAAATTTGCCATAACTTAAATTACAGTCGATGTAACTGCATAGAGGCTCAAAATGTGTGTGTGTGTGTGTGTGTGTGTGTGTGTGTGTGCGTGCGTGTGTTTTATAATCAGTGAGGGACCACTGACTTCTCAAAATATCACAAGAACGCAAGCAAGTTTGGAGTAAATGACGACAGAATTTTCACTTCTCGCCTTTTATTGATTCCTCTCTCTACAGCATATCTCCAAATTAATCAAAAATCAACCCTGAAACGTGTTTCCAAAAATCATCAGAAAATTTACAAGTACAAAAACTACATTTTTGTGAATTTTTTATTATTATTATTATTTATTATTAAATATATTGCAGGGATAGTAGTACCTGTGTAATATTTTGAAATGAATTTCTTCTACCTGATTTGGGCGTAAAAATGTATTGTTGACCAAATATCATCTATAAATGGGAAAGAAAAATATTGTTTCCATTTCAAAATGTCTTTCAGGAAACATGTTCCACCAATGCGTAAAGCACTTTGAGTGTGCAGGAAACGTGCTATATAAATGTAAGGAATTATTATTATTAATTATTATTTATTCATTTCTATGTAAAACACTTTCATGAGCCCATTTAGCCAATAAGACAAAAACATAGTTTTACTAAAGTAAACTTACATTTATCCACAAAAAATAAACCTGACTGTATTTTTGTAGTAAAGCCATGGTTAATTGTGTTAAATATGCCATTTCAGCCTGCAGAATGGCATTTCAAACTGTGGCCTAACAAAAATATAGAAAATAAATATCGAGTTTCTGTAATATAAAACTAAACAATTCCTCTCCCTGTATAGTTCCTAAAGTTAACTAGACAGAAACAAATGTAAGTTAATTTTAACAGAATCACTCAAATAGCAATTAATCTGACTGATGTTAACGTTAAAGGTTTGATCGAGCTTTTAAGTAAAGCAATAGATAGTTTAAAGTTACAGTACCGTTAATATAACATTAATATTTACATTAAGTTGCATCAATGTTAGCATTAGCATCAAATGCTAATTAGCGCTAGCCTGTGACATACAGTAATAAACGTTAGATCTAATTACACTGACTTTAATATTCATTGGTTTAATTTGTAATTATTTATTTTATTTATGTTATTTTTTCTTTTTAATTCGCATTTTTCACTTAGTAAAGGCGGGGACTGTTGACTAACGTTAGTAGCTCTAAATTAGTTGACTGGAATGCTGTGACAGTGTTAGCATGTAGCATGTTCACACATAAAATAAGTACAGTCCGCAATTAAAACCATGTCCTGCCTTTTGTTGTAACTTAATAAAATCTACTGCAATTAATGTCAACAAAGAGGTTTAATCCACAAGAATTTGATCATTATTCCTACCTGTTCACATCGGTTCAGTCCTTATTTAGGCTAGAGTGGGTTATTTTTTGAGAATGAATCTGTGGATTTAAATAAATTGTGAGAGTCGATTCATCCTTGACCTATTCATAAATACAACAGTTGCTTTGTTGCTGAATAAATGTCTTATTCACTTAAGACAGTGTCCTACCACCACCTACTGGCGGTTTCAGGTAATACATGGATAACTTCATTTTGTTGCATATTTTTCTTTTTAATTTATTATTTGAAGCATTATTCATTTAAAAAGAATTTACAAGAATAACGAATTTATATAATCATAACATATAAAATATAATATAAACGATAATAATAATACTGTTAAAAATGATAAATAATTGATAATGAAAATATAAAATAATTGAAATGAGCTACTCAAAATAAATAAATCATACACACACGCACACACACACACACACACACACACACACACACACACACACACACACACGTATAAATATATATAAACATGGTAATAATTCTAATAAAAAGCAATAACGCAGAAAAAGTTGTGCATGACAGAAAAAATACATAGGCCTAAGTGCAAAATTAATTCAATTAATAATTGGAAAAAATGTGTATATAAGCAGGTGGCTGTGTGAGCACATTAAGGCGAATGAGCCAGTCAGTCTAGCGCGGGCCTGCATTACAAGTTTGTTGTGTTTTAAAAAGTCTCTACGTAATACCAAATGGAATTGTGGAACTCTGACATCATCAGTGACAGTATAAAGCTTTTTGACGTAGCAGAAACTCTCATTAGCTTCTTTGGATGTCTAGTAGTTCAGTACTTTCTGCGATTCAACAGTACAGTGATACAATGGCATTTTCAAAACTGATTAACCGTCTGAAGAAAGCGTTTGGTGTTAAGTGTGCGAACGAACAACCGTGTGAGCCACTCGAACCCACCGGCAGCACGACAGAGAATCACCGTCATCTGATGACCGATGACCCGGCCGTCGCTGCAGGAAAACAGGCAGGGAGACAGAAAAAGAGGAAACTCAAATTGTCTCCCATCTTCTTCACCTGTTTTTCCAGAAGAAGAGCTACTGTTGTTGGTAAAATAGATTTATGAGCACTTTAAATTACTAAAGCATACTGTTAAACACACCAAACACAACACATAAGTGTTTAAAGATCAGAAATTACATTAAATGGAAGATATTTTAGAAAGGCAGTTTCTTAAAGCCACAGTTCACATAAACAAGACAATTCTGTCATAATTTACTCCTTAAACCTGTTTGAGGTGCTTTCAGCCATTGACTTCCACAGTATTTTGTGTTCCAACAATGAAGGTTAATGGCTGCTGATTTCAGGAATTTTCTTCAGAATTTGTAGTTTTGTGTAAAAAACAGAAAAAATAAGAATTATTTGTATTAGGATTTTTTATTTCAGTGAGCTTTGCCTTTAGATATATAGTTTACTTCTTTGCTAATTAAATGCAGAAAACCCATGAAGATCATCAATAAAAACACATTGAGTAATGTTTCTGCAAATGAACTGTTCAAATATCTTGTCAAAAAGAGTTGTAGAGTCATATTAATGATGTTCCTTCCTCTCTTTAGATCAGCTATGTGTGCAGGAGATCCATGAACTTCACGCAGAGCCCATCAGTAGCTCTAAATTCTTCTGCACTGCTGTGAGCAACCTGGAGCTGGAAGTTCTCCAACCTCCAGCTCTTGATGCTCCAGCAGACGAAGATTTGGACTTTAAGCCGGAAGTGAACAGCTTTGACTCTGCAGTGGTCATTGAGAACGACTCTGCAGAGCTTCACTTCACAGAAGACATTGAATCCTCCCTCAGTGAGGACAGCCTGGGGCAAGAGCTTGATAGTCCTCCAAGTTCACCATCCGATGAGGACAATGAATCTCCAGTGAGCCAGCAGCTCATAACAGATGACATCTGTGACTCTGCCCTGGATGAAAACTGGAACCCTTTACCGGATCAGGTCTCACAAGAGGACTCTGCTGTGAAGTCTACAGCAGATGATGGGACCTGCTTGGACAATAGTAAGTTTATTGCTGGAGTTCAGAACATTTGTTTAGGCTCATCAAACTTTGTAAAATTATACAGTTAAAGTCAAAATTATTCGCCCTCCTGTGATTTTTTATTAATATTTTTTAAATATTTCCCAAATGATGCAGAGCAATAAAGTTTAAGTACTCAGAACTTTAAGCTGAACACAGGTATCTTGAAAATATCCAGTAAATATGATGTACTGTCATCACGACAAAGATAAAAGACATCAGTTATTAGAAATGAGTTATTAAAACTATCATGTTCTGAAATCTGACAATAATTCTGACTTCAACTGTTTGTGTTTTTATTTGGTTTATAATTTAATGACATTTTCTTCATTTTTAACAGATGACATCAGCTGCCGCTACAAACTCGGAAAGCAGCTTGGTGAAGGAGGTTTCGGCTCCGTGTATGAGGGGATTCGCATACAGGATGGTCTGCAGGTATTCATTTTTGTAGACTCAAATCCTCTGATGAAGTTCCCTGTTTAAAGAACATCATCAGAGCTTTCATTGTTTGGACATTTCTGCTGACGAATGAATCCTCTGTTCAGGATTTATGACTGAATGAAATGATCTCCGTGCACATGTTAATTGTTCGCTTGTTCCTTTAAACAGGTGGCAGTTAAATTTGTCCAGAAGACCCCAAATATGCAAGATGTCAGCTCTGTGAGTAGACTACACTTTCTGTTCGCTGTGTTCAGTTTATAAAGTCTTATATTTATTATAGACCACAGGCTGTGGTCAGAAACCCTTGTTTGAAAACCAACATTATTATTTTGTTTTCAGTCATGTGACCAGCCATTTCCTCTAGAGATCACCTTGGCAAACATGGCCAGCGGTGGCTCCAGGTGTTCGAACATTATTCAGCTTCTGGACTGGCAGATCTTTAAAAACCATTACGTCATGGTGATGGAGCGGCCTAGTCCAAGCATGGACCTGGAGGCATTCCTTGAAGTCAGCGGAGGAGTCCTCAGTGAGAAAACAGCACATACCATCATGAGGCAAGCTGTTTATGCGGCCAACGTGTGCTGTTACCGCGGGGTGTTCCACCGGGACATTAAGCTTCAAAACCTGCTGGTGAACCCCGACACACTGGAAGTCAAGCTGATCGACTTCGGGTGTGGAGACTTCATGATGGAATCAGCCTACAGTATCTTCTCTGGTAGGTGTTTTGAATAGTGTGGTCAAAAGTATCGACTTCGGCACCAATCGATTCTGACATTAAACAAGTCAATTTGAGCGCTGTTAAACACCACTGATTGGCCATTGGTGTTCACATGCTCAGCAAATATGACTGTGATGAGTGTCGGTATCGATTGGTAGTTGATACTTTTGACAACACTAGTTATGAATGTGTATAAGCATTTTTAATAAACGTATTGAAAGCTGATTAATTAGCACAGCTGAAGCCCATCTGGTATATATATTCAACATGATGCTAAACTAAACGTCTCTCCTCCAGGCACAGAAGCGTACATCCCGCCAGAGTTTTATGAAAAAGGATGCTACCGGGCCAAACCAGCGACGGTCTATTCTCTTGGGGTTCTTCTGTTCACAATGCTCCATGGAGAATTCCCATCAGCGTATGACCTGTACTACCTCCAACATGACTGGTCCAAATTTACCCTCTCTCAAGGTGAGATGTTCATCAAAGAACAATTAAGTGAAACAGCTTAATAATAATAATAACAATAACCTCACCTCTCCATTTCTTCTTCACAGAATGCTGTGATATGATGAGGGCTTGTCTGCATGAGAATCCAGAGTGCAGAATTCCTCTAGAAGAGATGCCTTACCACGACTGGTCCATGCTGGAGTTCTGAGTCACATTAGCAGAATGTTTTGTATATTTGATTTTTGTACATGTCTTTAATAAAGATATATTTTATTAAACTCACTTGTGTTGTGGCTTATATTGTGATCTAGCCCCAGTGTTGTCAGATTGTGTGGATTTAAACTTGTTTTGTATGGGGTGACAAAAATGAGGTTTAAACAGCATCCAGTCCTTTCCAACACACACTGCAGTTGACACTGGCGTCATTACGGCGCACTTTTAGAAATACACTTTTTCAGAATGCTGTACAGCGCTGACCCAAAACCTAAACATATCAGTCACTGCGACATAAGCAAATCATCCATAAATATTCCAATGGTTTATTGTGAAATCAGAGCTGTTCAGAAAAATGTATTAAAATACAAACATCGTAACATGAGAATGTGAGACTCAATACAAAACATCAGCATTTTCACAATAAGAGCACCCAGTTTTATTAAGGTCTTTGAGTGTTTGTTGCCATCATGACAATCCTAAACAAAATATTCAGTGATATTCCTTCAAATCAATACTGATAGTGTAGTTTGCGCAGACACACTGAGGTTTATCCAGTGTACAGAAGTCTGAATCATCCACATTATTTCATACGCTTCCAGAAACACGTTTACTACACGAATGTCCAGCGTTTGCTAAAACTGTTCAACTCTTTAGATGATTCCTTTCTTACAACATCTCCAACTATGACAGCTTCTCATTACTCACCATTTCTTAATCTTACTAAATACTTGACTTGATGTCGCTCTGTGGACTCTGGGGTCATGTGCAGCATGAGCAGGTCGGCCCCCCGGCGGACCAACACATTTAAGCTTTCGCTGGTCCTCACAGCATTATATATCTCCTCCGACGTGTTCACCTTTACCCCATTGATCTCAATAATAACATCTCCTGGCTTCATTCCGGCTCTGCAAAACAGAAAACAGGAAATGACATCATCAATAGGATGCCTTAATCAACAGCTGATAACATCATGTTCAGAGAGCAGCACACCTGTTGGCTGGAGATCCTACAATCACACGGTGGATGAGAACTCAGGGAAGGACGGGTCTCGCATCCTTAGCTCTTCGATTATACTGAGGAGGGGAAAAAGAGAATTTAAAGATAATAAAAGACTCACTTCAGTGCAAAGTTTACAGTTTAAGGATTGATTGATAAATAGATAAGATAGATAGATTCATAGATAGATAGACTGATAGTTTGATAGATAGATCAGCATAACAATCAATATTACATTTGCTTCAACCAAAAACACCTCAACAAAACATTCATACTACTTCACTCGCATAGAGTGTGAAAAAGGAAATGCTGTTAATTTGCAATGCATTGAATTAAAGGTGCAGTAGGTGATTGTCCTCAGAAACATTTTAGTTGTGCTGGTTGAAAGTCTCTTCACAGTCCAATAGTAATGATTAAAGTAAATGATCTAAATGTGTTTTTATGTATTTTATATTCTGGGTAAAGTATAAAACTAAAAAATGTTCATCCCATTAAATATTGTCGGGTCGACATCTCCTGTAATTCAGATAAGCAGCTCAAACTGTCTGTCAGCAAATGCAGATTTCAGGCCGTGTGGCTTTGAATCACAGTCCCTCCCCGCGGTCCAAAGATAATATGCTAAGCGGTTAGCATTTTGGCAGATCACCTACTGCACCTTTAATTATTCACAGAAGTGTTCAAATCAATACCACAATTGAACTCGTGTCATTTGGGACAAAAAAATAAAAATATATGATATTGTTCAACTCTACATTATAATATTGCTCAACTCTACATTATGTATACAAAACTGAAAACCTTAAATATCTTGAATTTTACAGGGCTCATACAGGCACAGCCTAATGAAAATCAAGGACTTTTAAGTACTTTTTTCCAGCACCTATTTTTATTTTCAAGACTGACATGCAACGTATTAAAACACTGCATAGGAATTTATATAAATATACAAATAAAAACCATTATTGATCATAATAATAATATAATTAATTAATCACTTGTGTATTAATAATATATTAAACCTGCACTAAATGTGCTTGTGAAAATGTTTTTTTATACTATTACACTGCTAAAATAATACAAGTTTTAGTAAATAATACTAACATTGGGTAAAAGTACAAAGTACTCTTTTAAAAACTACTCAGAGTACTAGTTAGATATTTTTTTGGGAAAAAAACTCAGATTTTCATTTTGGCTCTTTTTTCAAGAAATGATAATAAATTTATTTGAATGGTTTAATTGCTTGAATCACAAAGCTACATATATAAAAATGTGCACTAACAAAGGAAGTATGGTCGATTTTTCCTTCCATGACATTTAATCTTTTTCAATAGTACTGGCAAAACTACCACATACTCTATAAGGCCATAGAGACACATTTTGTCCATGTTTTAAACAATATTTTTAAGTTTTGAAAGGTTTAATTAAAGTATATGATAAAAATATTTAAATTTAGCCTTTTATTTACATATTTTACACCATTTTTCTTTTTTGCTCATTCTTGTCTTTACAATATGGCAAATTTGTTTCTTAAATAGCTGTACAGCACATGAAAATATTATTTTACACTTGACCTTAAACTGAAATAATTTTACAAGAAAGACTACTACACTGTCAGTAATAAAATAATAAAGCAAATGTTGTTTAACTCTAGGTATTTGAAATATGACAACACTGCATTTTTCAAAGTAGTATTTGAGGAGTCTTATTGTTTATAATGATAAATGTAACAGCAGATTGCTTTGACCTGTAATGCCTGTACAATTCAGTGATGCTTTAAGACAGATCAGAATACAGCTATAATGTATAAAACCCACAAATACCCCAAACAGAAACATTTCTAGCATAATTCTTTTGTCGTAAAGAAATATAAAAAATTCCAACTTTGCTCAAAGTACAGTAAGTTTCACTTGACGATACAGCCAAATAAAAAGTCTGTACTCTAAATACTAAATTTAGTCAAGGAGCAAAGATAAATAATTTCTACTTTAATATTGAAGAGATCGCGATTGTATACAGTCTGATCACACACACGAGATGATGAGAGGACTTGCAGTTAATTTGAAAAAGCCTATTTAAGAGGTCACATATGTGTTTTTATGATTAATGTACATGACTGCGCTCTGAGAAGAAGAAAAGAAAGCAAAACATGTGTGTAGATCGTTGAAATGGAATTACTCTTGCTAATAACATAGTAAAAACATCCGAAAAGCATTATTCCAATAAAACATTTGTTTTTAAGTTGTTTTTTTCTGTCACTGCAACTAAGAAAGGCCTTTGTCCCGCCCTTACATTTCAGGTAAAACTAGAAAAGGTTGACTGTGATTGGCCACTTTTCATTTCATTTAAAATCATTGCGTCGGAATCACGGTATTTTGTGCGGGTATTTTTGCATTAAATTGTCACAAAAATTCACAAACATTTTTATTTTTCGGGCGTGAAAATTGCATACAAATTCTCCTTGATAAATTAAGCACTTTTCAACAGAACAAGCCAATTTTCCAGGTATTCCAGCACTTGAATTTCTAAGAGCCAAATCTAGTGGTAAATAACAAAAATCTGCAGATTCCATAATGTATGAATTTTGCTCTCCTGTAAAATTGTAATAAAAGTGTTTGGCACCTGGGGGTCAAAGTCAACATCATCACTCCAATGTAACGCCTTTTCGATCCCGATTCTCCAAACCAAGACTCTGAAAAAAAGACCCAATAACCATCTGTCAGTGAAAAAAATTCTGTCACAGACAAAAGCAAGCAGCTGTGAGGTCATTCTTACTCTGTTTGTCTGCAGATCGGTCAAGGAAGAGTCGGACTCTGTCAGAGGGAATAGCAAAGGAAATCCCTGCTGTCACTTTCATGGTATTAATGCCGATGACCTCACCATCCTGAAGAGTACAAACATGACACATCAGTTTATTACATAAGGCTAGAGTACGGCCAGTACAATACAATATTGATGAACATTTGAAAACAATTCACGTTCTTAATATGACAGTCATGAAGCTCTATGTTGCTCTGAAGGTCCAGCAATCTGTAGTCAACTACTAAATGTGCACTAATAACTTTCTCCTTCACATTATTGTACATGGATTTGGTAGCGTGGTTCTAGCACACTAATTAGGGTCGTATTCACACTATGTACAGTTGCCTCGAACCGGGCCAAAGCACGTTTGTACCTCCCTCCCATCTCCCCCGACAGCCCGTACTAACATTACTATCGGGCCTGGGCATGCTTACGTTATCGATGCTGCGCTGTTCAGTAGAGAAGCGCTCTCGCTCAGCACAGTGGAGATTTCTCTAGTTATATTGTTTCAGTCGTTTGATAGGCAGTGACATGCAGTCAATTATTTCACCAAACAGTCCTTAGGGATGCGATGACACGCAGTCAGATATTTCGGCGAACAGATCCACAACTTTTGGCGCTCATAAACAATCATAAAGCCCTTATGCTGTAGGAATGAGGAGGTTTGCTGAAGGTGCGCAGCTGTCATACAGTGAGGGGTTTGCGTATTTAATAAACTACGGCAGTTTGCGTTCATTGAACAGTAAGAATTATTAATTAATCCATATGAAACAGTCCCTTAAGAGTCACGTCTTGCTTTCAGTTTCAGGTTTGGCGCGTTTTGCACTCACACTACAAGCGTACCGCACCAAAGCCCAAGTGAACCACACTCAGGCCCACCTCTTCCAACCGGGTCAGGGCCGGCCATGTAAACCATGCCTGCGCCCGACTCAAACGATCCGGGAAACGGGCCTGGACACGGTTTGGATAGCATAGTGTGAGTACGCCCTAAATACCTAAAATCAGAATTTTCTACCACTGACTAAGGTTGCATGTCTGCGGCTATAAATACTCCTACCACGCTTGCATTTGCCTTTGCTTGTGTTGAGTTACTTGGAATTTTTATTCCAAATGAAGACAGGAGAGTAGTTTGTGTTACACTTGTTGGTTTAACAGACAAAGCAATGATTTTGTGGACATCAGTAATCTAACTATTTGCCTTAATCTGATTAAAACAACAATATGATTAAGGTGTTTACATGAGTTGCTTTTAGAATGTTCCTTTCATGATCCCGTTTTACATGTTAAAGCACATAATACGATTAACGTCATTGTGTCACCACACTATCCACATTTCCTCCGTAATTTAGTCTCATAATAAGTCTCATGTAATTTTGGGGAGTTTCATTCTAAATTTGTCGACTTTAACTGCAGTTTGGCACTTTCATTTTCATTCAAGAACATTTCATGCGTGCACCCCATGACAAACAAGATATTTGATGCAGGGAACTGCTAGAAGAGTGTAGTTTTAATGGAATTTCAGATACCGCACACCGTATGGGAGAAAAAAAAAACCTCCGCAGAGAATAGTGTCAAGCAGCCGTGTGTGTAGAGATTATCCCGTTACAAAATGTGGCGAAAATCCTACAAGATGGTAATAGTTTGATTAAGGTGTTTACATGTTTACATTAGGAGAGCAGCATTTACAGCAGATCTTTCAATCCATAATATTGTAGTGATATTAAAAGAGTACTGCTGACGATACTAACTACCTTTGCCATCTGAATAAACAAACAAAGAACACTGATTGCTCACTTACCAAATCCACAGAGACAGGACAATCAACGCGAACTGGAACTGCATCTTTTTTTAAAAGAAGACGATGGGCAAATCCGGATTTCACCATTTCCAGATGCGAAAAGCTCTCGGGTAAAAATGTTCCTTACAAACATTTTTGTTGCGTGTTAGAAGACCACTGTAGTCCACAAATGTGGGTCCTTTCTCACTGCGGGAAAATGAAAACAAAACCTTTGTTGTGGCACATTTATAAACAACACTGACGACCCATGTCTCCGAACAATTCTTCTTCCACTTGTTTTATTTACGGTTAGCAACACAACGTCACGTCTCTCGGAATACTGTAACAGGTAGTTTTTGAAGCTATCATGCATATTAATAAAGTTGCACCTCATTCACAATAGAGCGCACTGATTAGTTCGTCTTTCTCTTGAATTAATGATGAAAGCTCAAAGACGTAACATTGTACCCGCCGGTACAGACACCCAGTCTCCATGCTGGAATTTACACAAGGAGCTCATGGCCTTGACGTAGCTTCAAAATTTCTTTTCAAACCGGAAGAACGAATTTGTTCGAAATAACGCAAAAACAACCAATTTTCACTTTTATTGTGAAATATATGTATCCTAATAGTGTTTTTAGCAGCGTGGAACATATATATGACTGTCAACATCTCAAAAATGTGTTGGAATGCAATTCATTAAATGATGACATACATTTTTTTTTGCATGCAACACCACCCAGTTTCCAGTGCTCTTACATCTATGGTAGCGTCCGTCTGGATGTAGTCCATGTTGGAGTTGGAGAGACCCAGTTCTTTACTGCCTCTTTGAGCAGAGCTGACGATTCCAGATGTGATGGTGTTTTTAAGAGAAAAGGGGCTCCCCATGGCAACCACAAATTCACCTTGACGCACATCAGATGACTTGCCAAGACGCAACGTTGGTAAAGGATTCTGGGACAAGACAGAGAACACAATGACACTATGTCAGACTATATGGCCATGTACTAGAACTGTGGTAAAAGAAAAGTGTGAAAAATCAATTGCAAAAATGGCCTTCCAAACATAAAAGCCTCCTCTGTTACTGTTGGTTTACCTAAAATTGTTGACTATAATATTCTGTAGTTGCTGTAATATTACTGCGTTTAAAAATCTGAGGATACAAAACCAAATGTCACTAAGGTTATCACAATTTCGAGTTTATTTCCATATTTGTATGCGGCGGTTCCTCCTGAAATATTACAGTGTGTATGTAGCCTAAATACAGTATAATCAGATTAATGGGTTAACACCAGGGCTTGACATTAACACCCACCAACCGCAGGTAGACTTTAGCTGTGGTGGATTAGACAGCCACTCCCACTAGTCACTTTGGCTGGTCGAAAATCATTTTTAAATTGTATTTTTTTTAAAAGTAGGGTTCGACAATAAGGATGAACCTCTATAAATGAGAAGCAGCTCGACTGACAAAAACAACTGTGTTCACGCAAGCAAAAGAAAGCAGATGAATACAGAATGTTATGTGATGCGCGCAATTTTTTAAAAGCGTGCACGATCCCATTTCCTTGCGTGAAGCAACCTTGACTGGAAACACAATGCTGCGATCGGTTCTGTTTGAAATAGACTTCACAAAAAGCGATACACATCCACCATTTTCAAGAGCTCGAGATTTAAAATAAAAAGAAGGTATTTTATGTATGCAGCAGCAGTTGCAGCTTCAGCTTTAAACAATCTTTGAACAGATTATTAATGGGCCTAATGTTAACTGTGTGCGTTTGATCATCCTTTCATTATTGCACACGGTATGTTTTTCACCTGCTTTCTTTTTGTTAATATGGTTTAATTATCATTCTTTTCAGTAACATTGATTTAATAGATTAAATTTAATGTATAGTTAACTGCTGATCTGAGACCTTGGTCTTGGAGCTAGGACAGACTACTTTTCATAGTTTTAGACAGGCTACATGACAATAATTGTTAGTTTAGTTTTATTTAATAAAAAGTGTTTGCATATTATAACATATATTTCGCTAGTTTTTGAAATTTTAAAATTATTTAACATTTTTGGCTAAGAAATACTTATTAATTTATTTATTTATTTATTTTCCAGTGTGGTCAGAGAAAAAATTGGTACAACCTTAATGTTGAGCCCTGAAATAATTGCAAAGCAACACCATGAAACCACTACCACTCATGCTCATTGAGCAATGTCATACACAACACATTTAAATCAAGTAATTTTGCAAATATATTTTCCCAACAACAAAAGTGAAAATGGCGAGTGGCTAGTAAAGTTGAAAAACTACTAGCCATATAGGCTGGTGATCAAAAAAGTTAATGTAGAGCCATTAAAAACATTAAAAATTATATTGACCTCACACTTTTAATGTACTAACAGTAACACAATTTTGATTCTATAGGTTTAATTCTTAAATGAACAAAATTCAAAAAGAAATTACTCATTTGATAAAGACCTTTTACTAAAAATGTAAATTAATAAAATAAAATGAGTCCTTGTTCTTAACATATTAAACTATGACTCAATAAAAATAATGATGCACCGATACCATCTTTTTGGAACTGATTCGATTTCGATCCCAAAATTCTGAGTATCGACCAATACAGATCCGATCCTGATACTGTGCCATTTTTTTAAGCATAATACAGTTTCTATGGTGATGTGGTCCAGCTTATGTTTCCTTTTTTAATAGTAACTCTGCAACAGGCTACCACTATTGACCCTAATCAAAACACAAACTGGTCTGTTAAATAAACTATTGATATAAATAAAATTACAGTCAAATATTCACAGTTTCAGAGTAACCTATATGAGGCTTAATTATTTTCTGTTAATGACAATCAATATTGTGCCTGTCAGTTTCACTTTTATTAATTTAATCAACAACTTTGACCACAATGAGCCAGGCTTACAAACTATCCTAAAAGTATTCCCCTTCGAAAGAATAAACTCAGTCGGAAGGATGAGAAAACAGAAACTTTTAATGTTACAGAATAATTCTAGAGAGCGGCACATATCACATCAGCCAGTGTGTGAATGAAGTGGCAGTATGTGAAGGGTCACATACTGCGTGTGCTTCAAGTTTGGACTTGCTATTTACTCGCAATTTAAATCTTAATCATAAAATTCTTCCTCATTCGCTAAGTATTTGTCTCTCCTACTTAGGGTGACCAAACCCTTAATACATTTATACAAACAAAACTGCTTTAAAAACGGTCTGTCCCTCGAGCATCCGCCTGTTGTTTGTAGCTTTAGCCTGCTAGCGCCGCTGGTCAGCTAAAGCTACCGACCTCTTTTACCATACACTTTTGACTTAATGGCTTTGCTCTTTACCCTGTAAAATGTCGCTTCTGTCTCTGTCCTTGTGTGCAGGAGAAGCATCGATGGAGGCGTTGGAGCTGGAGCTGGAAGAAGTGGAGTCCCAGATCCGGGCGCTTCTGGTGAGACGGTCGCGGCTACGGGAACAACTGCTTGTTGTACCTAATGCTAAGGCCGCCTCATCATCTAAGGTACGTGGAAATTACAACCACATCATTCCCTCTACCTCAACCCCGCGTCCTTCTCTGTCCAGGCCCAGCGCACCCGGGGCGCGGCTCAGCCAGGCGTCGTTCACGCCGACACCCGGCTACCACGGCGCCTGGGTGCAGCCGCGCAAGGTGCTTCCCAGATCTCGGGGCAGAACGTCTCCTCCCGTATTCGAGATCTCCACGGAGAACCGCTTCTCCCCTCTCCGCGAGTCGGGTCCCGATGTGGCCATCATCGGTGACTCGATCGTTCGTCACGTCCGTGCCGCTTCCTCAAAAGGTAATAAAGTACGTACTTTCTGCTTTCCTGGTGCCCGTGTGAGAAATATTTCTACACAGATTCCAACCATCCTGGGCGCTGCCGAGAGCCCTGGTGCCGTTGTCCTCCACGTGGGGACAAACGACACCGGGCTCCGGCAGTCGGAGATCCTGAAGATGGACTTCAGGAGCCTGATCGAGACGGTTCGACGCACCTCGCCCGCCACGCAGATCATCGTTTCTGGGCCGCTTCCTACCTACCGCCGAGGAAATGAAAGGTTCAGTAGACTTTTAGCTCTGAATGAATGGCTAATAACATGGTGTAAAGAACAGAAATTGCTCTTTGCTAATAACTGGAATCTTTTCTGGGAGCGTCCTAGGCTCTTCCGTCCTGACGGCCTGCACCCCAGTCGAGCCGGAGCTGAACTCCTGTCGGACAACATCTCCAGATTACTTCGCACCATCTGACTAGCAGGTAAAAATTCACAAAATTCACATTATAGCCACCTAGACTCTTGTTCACCCCACTTAAACATCAGTAACGCATATCTGGCAAATCCTATAGAGACTGTGTCTGTTCCTCGTATTATTAGATTAGGAAATAAACGTACTGTGTGCTCCAGAAAAAATCTAGTAAGAATCAAACCAGAAAAACCAGTTGAAAGTGAAAATACAAATTTCGTAAAACTTGGTCTCCTAAACATCAGGTCACTTGCACCTAAAGCACTTATCATTAATGAAATAATAACAGAAAACAATCTTAATGCACTCTGTCTCACTGAAACCTGGCTGAAACAAAATGACTATATTAGCTTAAATGAAGCAACTCCTCCAGGATTCTTATATAAACATGAGGCTCGTCAAACTGGTCGTGGTGGTGGAGTTGCATCTTATGTTTAGCTCCTTTGAAATATTATCGCTTAATGTTCAGCTTCCAGATACTATGCAAAAACCTATGTTATCTCTCGCTTTAATCACCATATACTGTAGGTGAGAGTTCAAAGTGGCTATTAACGCCGCGGCTGGTACCGCCGCCGTTTGAAATAGGTGCCGCTCTGTTTTTAGTGTATGACCGCAGTTTGTGAATGAGCCGCCAGGGGGCGCAAAGGGACAGGATGCGAACGGACAGAAATAGCCCATACAGCTACTGTGCTTGTAAATGATATTAAACAATAAGTCAAAGCATTATAATTCCTTCATTAATCATTTAAAATTTGTTAACACGCTTTATTGTAAACTTTTTAAGTGCAAAGAGGATTCGTTTTGGAAAATAGAATTGAAGAAGTAAAAGACAACTAAAATGAAAGCACAAACATTTAGTACAAATAAGTAGTCTTAAATAAATAAATAAATAAATAAATAAATAAATAAATAAAGCAGCCTAAATATAGAAAGATGTTCAGTGTTTGCTATTTTGATAGGACTAAGACAAGACATTTTCATTTCTGTTTTATTTCTGTTTTTATTTCCATTTTCGTTGTTGATTATATTTTACTATCTCATTTATGTCTCAACAATTGTACATAAACGAATAATAAACGAATAATGAAAATAAATGAATAATGAAAATAGGCCTAAATAAATTATTTATTTAAAGACATTGCCGTACAGTACGTGAAACACTGAGAAAAATAAATTGACCTACCTTAAGCAGATCAAAAGTATAATAAAATTATTTTTGCCGCAGGACATAAATTAAGTCTTGCAGGTTTATTTTTAATAATTTAGTTTCAGTTCTGTTCAGTTTTATTTTTTTTTCAAAACGTCAATGTTCTCCTTTAAAGTTGCTATAACTGTTGTTTTGTTTTTTTGTTTTTTTTTTACTTATGGCTCAGTATGTTTTGTATTTTAATTTCATATTCAGTCACCTTGCAAATGTGTGTGAAATATAATGCCGCATAACCGCGGAAAAAGAAGAAAAAGCTGTCAAAGGTTAGAGCTAATTTATCAAAATAAGCTATATTAAAATACAGCATTTATGTTAATAGCAAATAATCTGTCATCCTTGGAACAAACTACTCCACCGCAAATTAGTAGTGATGACTTTATGAATTTTTTCAGTAATAAAATAGAAGGCTTTAGACAGAAAATAGGAGATGCCAAACTTTCTGCACCGGCTTATACTCCAAATCCTGTAAATATTTCATTGAATCATAATAATAACCTACACTGCTTCAAAATCATAGAACATGAAGAGTTAGTAAAAATTATAAATAGCTCTAAACCATCTACGTGTATGCTGGACTCAATTCCAACAAAATTACTGAAAGAGCTGCTACCTGCTATAAGAGAACCTCTTCTTAACATTATCAACTCTTCGTTATCTATAGGCCATGTTCCAAACTCTTACAAGCTAGCTGTTATTAAGCCTATTATTAAGAAACCGCAACTGGACCCCAACAACTTAGCTAATTATAGGCCTATTTCAAATCTTCCATTTATGTCTAAAATACTAGAAAAAGTTGTTTCCACTCAATTATGCTCCTTTCTGCAGACAAACAATATTTTTGAAGTGTTTCAGTCAGGTTTCAGGGCTCATCACAGTACAGAAACTGCATTAGTGAAAATAACCAATGATTTACTCTTAGCTGCTGACCGAGGGTGCGTCTCGCTATTAGTTTTACTCGATCTTAGTGCGGCATTTGATACCATTGACCACAATATCCTCATAAATCGCTTAAAGTCTACAGGTGTCCAGGGACAAGCTCTACAATGGTTTAAGTCATACTTAACTGACCGTTACCAGTTTGTGAATATTAATGGACAGCCTTCACAAGTCAGCCCAGTAAAGTATGAGGTGCCTCAAGGATCAGTTTTAGGCCCTTTACTGTTTACAATTTACATGCTACCTCTGGGAGACATTATTAGAAGACATGGGATCAGCTTTCACTGATATGCAGATGATACTCAATTATATATTTCAACTAAACCTGATGAGATGTCTGAACTGTCTAAGCTAACTGAGTGTATCAAAGACATCAAAGACTGGATGACCAACAATTTTCTTCTCTTAAAATCAGACAAAACAGAATTATTACTTATTGGACCTAAATCTTGCACACAGCAGATCTCGCAACTCAATTTACAATTAGAGGGATACAAAGTTAGTTTTAGCTCTACTATAAAAGATCTGGGTGTCATATTAGACAGCAATCTAACTTTTGAAAATCATATATCCCATGTCACAAAAACTGCCTTCTTTCATCTGAGAAATATCGCTAAATTACGAAATATGCTATCCATCTCAGATGCAGAAAAGCTAGTCCATGCTTTTATGACTTCGAGACTGGATTACTGTAATGCTCTATTTGCTGGCTGCCCAGCATTCTCTATTAACAAACTTCAATTAGTACAAAATACACCTGCCAGAGTTCTTACCAGGTCTAGAAAATATGATCATTTCACCCCAATTTTATCCTCCTTACACTGGCTGCCTGTTAAGTTTCGTATTGAATTTAAAATATTACTTCTCACCTATAAAGCTCTAAATAATCTAGCTCCTGTTTATCTAACCAACCTTCTGTCTCGCTACAAACCAACTCGCTCTTTAAGATCTCAAAATTCAGGGCTTCTGGTAGTATCTAGAATAGCAAAGTCAAGAAAAGGAGGTCGAGCCTTCTCTTTCATGGCTCCTACACTCTGGAATAGCCTTCCTGATAACGTCCGAGGCTCAGACACACTCTCCCAGTTCAAAACTAGATTAAAGACCTATCTGTTTAGTAAAGCATACACTCAATGCATCACCTAGCGGGTTCCACACAGGCTTCTGCATCTTGCTTATAAACACTATGAACAGCAGCTACGCTAATTATTTTTTTTATTCTCTATTTTCACCTGGGGATACTCATCCCGAGGTCCTCAGATTATGCGGAGTCACTGATTGGATTCAAGACCAGCGACGTGATGATCCCAAGGATTCCATATCGGGGACCAGGCCGTATCCTGAGCTGCTGCTGCGCTGATGGTCGTGGGGAGTGGAGAACATGAGTCTGATTCCAGTGACGCTCCAGGGACAGACGAGTCTTCGCTGAGGCCATCTTCCAGCCTAAACCACGGCGAATGAAGCTCTGCACAAGACTTTTGGCCAGCGGAGAAATTAAAATGGTCGTGCCCAACTGAGTCTGGTTCTCTCAAGGTTTTTTTTCTTCACTCCCATCAGGTGAAGTTTTTTTTCCCTCTCCGCTGTCGCCACTGGCTCGCATGGTTCAGGATTGGTAGAGCTACGCATCGATGAAATTATCTCTTCAGTGTTTGAACTATCAGTAATGATTAAATCACACTGAACTGAGCTAAACTGAACTGAACTGAACTTAAACACTAAAAACTGAACCACACTGTTCCAGTTACTATGACCATTTATGTGAAGCTGCTTTGACACAATCTACATTGTAAAAGCGCTATACAAAAAAAGCTGAATTGAATTGAATTGAATTGAAAGTGCTTGATGCATCACTGAGACAGCGTGCAGTCCTCCGTTATCTGCAGACACTTCCAATCCAAAACAGCAGTAAAAAGGAAAGAAATCAGTGTGTTAAGGATCTGTCCAATGTATTATTGAGCCTTTTCTAGTTTTAAATTTCAGGTAGGCCTACTTTGTGTGTGAAGAGCAGGTAATAACCCACTCAGTTCCAGTGTTGCGAATGCGATCATCTGATCTAACAGCTACATGATTTAGAAACAGAAATGAACTCGTCGTTTCAGATCGAAATGAACCAATTTAATATATATTATATTAGAATAAATTAATATAATGTAATATAATAAATTAATATTTATTTAAATTAACAGGAACAAATAGTCTTGGAGAAAGTTTTTCATGTTGTCATGAACGTGACACGCAGTTTGAATTGTAAATAAACGGAGAATGATTGACAGGCGCAGCGGAGGGAAGCGCAGAACTGAACATGAATTTAAGCATGTGAATATTGATCTGTACTTCACATTAAACTATAGAATAGCTTCAAAACATTTGAGATACAGTAGGCCTACAAGACAACTTTCTACTGTCTCATAAAAGGCTACCTTTCTGGCTTTTGTTTGCTTATAAATTACAAAGAAAATAGAGCATGTGCAAGATGGGATTTGGATCGGTACCTGCTGGCCGATACCCGATCCAGTAAAAATATGCAGTATCAAACCGATATCCAATCCAAGTATCAGGATCGATGCATCCCTAATTAAAAAATAAAATATCCCCAAAAGATTACATATGTTAACAGTACAACCTCAAAGCTCCATCTGTACCTTAACATTGATTTTGATGGTGGCGATGTCTGCAGCCTGGTCCACATCCTGAACTGTGGCGTTGTAAGTCTCACCATTGGTCAGTTTGACAAGAACACCACGCTTGTTGGCGACCACATGGGCATTTGTCACTATCAGGCCATCACTACTTATTATAAAGCCAGAACCATTCGAGATGGGAACCTCACGGCCAGAAAAGGGGTGTCTGAAAAGAAAGAGTGTTATATTAGTCACAATTCCAAAACACAACTGAAACTAAAACCATCTGGTCATCTTAAAATAGAAACAAGTGATCCAAAAAGTCTCTATAGAGAAAATCAACATAAAACACCCTGCTGAAAAAAAAAACAATCCTGTTGAGCGCGCGCATGTAAAGGTAACTGGGTGAACAAGTCAAACAAAGTATATACACAAGAGAACATAAAAATATACAACAATTCAAAAAAATGAAGCAAGAATAATAAAGATTTAAATAAAACATATAATAGATAGATAGTACAATAATAATAATGATAGTAATAATGTCAGTGAAAATGACAACAGCATTATTAATAACAACAACAACATCTACAACTACCACTTTTGATTACTTAACATTCAGAAATTAAACCGAATTAACAAAAAATATTCTAAATATATGTGTAGTGTTAAAACATTGTTGGGTTTTACAACCCTGCGAAATGTGAGAATGTTTTAACAATAGAAATGATAAAAAAGTAGAGACATATACGGTGGGTTATCAGATTCAGTCAATTCTTGGAGAAAAAGAAATCCCTTCGGTAGTCAAAAGTCAATTGGATTCAATAACTTCTGGAGCAGTGGAGTTTTGGTTTGAGTTTGCTAGACAATTTAAATTAAGCAAAGACCAAAAAGTTCTTCGATGGATAGCCTTTGACACTCAATTTAAACCAGGTGAAAGCGACGCCACATTTAAGCAATGGGCAACAAAAGGCATTAGTGCAATATGTACAGTATTGGAAAACAAGGAATTACAGACTTTCCAAACACTCAAAGAAAAACTTTCTCTTACTAATCGGGACTTATTTAGGTTTATACAATTCAGAGATTATTTTAACAGAGAAATAAAAATGGAAACGTCACACGAAATTAGTCCAGTTGTAAAGATTATGATGAATGCTTACAAATCAGATAGTAAATGTGCAAAAATAATCTCTAGTTTTTACGTAAGTATTATGGAAAGTAAGACCAACTCAACATTATACCTTAAATCAAGGTGGGAAAAAGAATTGAATGTAGAAATTCTACCAGAGGTATGGTTAGATATGTGCGAAATTCAACATTCCTCCACAAGCTCACAACAACTGAGGGTATTCAATTGGAAGAATTTGGTACGATTCTTTATAACACCTAAAATCAGCAGTAAAGCTTCTTCTACACCCCAGCAATGTTGGAGAAAATGTGGCTGCTTAGAAGCACACCATACACACATTTTTTGGGGATGCGAAAAACTGAAGCCATTTTGGAATGATGTGCACTTAACCTTACCAAAGGTGCTTGGGTATGAGATTCCATTTACATGCATTGTCCTGTACTTGGGTCATATTTCACTGGTTACACTTCAGGAGGATCGATACCTGGTAAAAATACTCCTTACAGCAGCCAGGAAAACCATAACCAGAAGCTGGTATAAGCCTGATTCACCTAAACAACAACAATGGCTTGATGTAATTCAGGAAATAAGGACATTGGAACATATGACTGGTGTGTTACGTTTGAAGGTGGACTTGTATGCCAAAAGATGGCAAAAATGGATAATTTACATTGACAAATCATTAGGGACTGGCTCTCAGACTGTACTCGCTTAAGTTTCAGACATATAAGTCAACTGTGCCTATTCTTATGTACCCAATTGCCTTCCTTTTTGTATAAACCATGTTTGTTTTATTTACATATTTATTTTTCTACAGTATTCTCAACACAGGCTCTGTTTCTATCTTATTTTATTTATTTATCTATTATTGTTTTGTTGTTGTTGTTGTTTTTTTTTTTTTTTTTTTTTTTCTAGTTATTTGCTTGTTATTGAAATGGCTTGTCATATCTGACTCAAATTAGCCTTTTCTACTAATTGTAAAATTGCATTTGATTGTAATCAATTGTGACCTACTAAAAAATCAATAAAAATTAAAGTTAAAAAAAAAGAAATGATAAAAAAGTAAAGAATTAGGTTAACTTGATTGTTTTTATAAATGTAAGTGAGTTGAACATAAAACAGTCAAGTTGCCCCCAATAAACTTAAGAATTGAGTTGCTTCAACACGTTAAATAAGTATTTTTTAAATGTCTGATAACAATAATTGTGTTAATAATTTTTTTGGGAATTTGGGGAAAAATGTTTGGTTCTATTTTTATAGTAATTAAATGTTTATGATTTAAAATGTTTATAATAATTAGATGTTTTGCCGCCTTGTTTTTGAATTGTCCAATGCAAAAAGACCCTCTTATAGCAAGATTAGGGAAGCACCGAAATGAAGCTTGTTGATTGAAACTGAAAATTCTAGATGCATTTGGCTGAAAACTGACACTGAAAAGGCTTTTTAATAATTGGAAATTATTTTAATAAATAAAAAATATATAGTTTTAAATCAAATTTTATATCAAAAAATAAAGTAATTTGGCGACGCAGTAGGTAGTGCTGTCACCACACAGCAAAAAAGTCACTGGTTCGAGCCTCGGCTAAGTCAGTTGGCATTTCTGTGTGGAGTTTGCATGTTCTTCCTGCGTATGCGTGGGTTTTCTCCGAGTGCTATGGTTTCCCCCACAGTCCAAAGACATGCGGTACAGGTGAATTGAGTAGGCTAAATTGTCCGTAGTGTATGAGTGTGAATGAGTATGTATGTATGTTTCCCAGAGATAGGTTGCAGCTGGGAGGGCATCCGCTGCGTAAAAACATCTGCTGGATAAGTTGGCGGTTCATTCCGCTGTGGTGACCCCAGATTAATAAAAGGACTGAGCCGAAAAGAAAATAAACGAATGAATGAATAAAGTATTTTTGTGAGGCTTTTAAATTAAACTCAATAACTTAAATTAACAGTGAAATCAATAGTAAAAATAAAAATGATTCCATCATTTACTCACCCTCTGCATATTTGAACTTGTTATGAGTTTCTTTCTTCTGTTAAACACAAAAGAAGACATTTTCAATAATGCTGAAAACCTCTAGCTATCGACTTCTATTGCAGGAAAAATAACTACTATAAAAGTCAATGTTCAGGTTTTCAGCATTATTAAAAATATCTTCTTTTGTGTTCAACAGAGTAAAAAAAACTCATCAGAAATGATGAATTGTCCTTTTTGGGTAAACCACACAACTACTTGCAAATATGCTCAGTTCAGTTTATTCTTCTTTTTTTTTTTTAAAGAGCCTCTATTATGGGTTTTTGAGAATGACCTTCCATGTATTGTGTAACACAGCTCTAAGTGAAGTGAATTATTCAGCTAAGACTTAAATCTGCAAGTGTGCAGTGTTTAAAACTGTTTATTCATTTATAAAAGAGTCGACTCACAGTGCTTCAAATGAATCATCTTGATGAAGAGTCTTAAGCCGTGCCGGCGTGACCAGGAAATGGAACTTAAGCCCCGCCCAGGGCCGGATTTACCAATGGGCCTTATAGGCACAGGCCCAGTGGCCCGACTGACTTGGGGCCCCTGCGAGGGGGGAGAAGAAAAAGACAATTTCGGGGTGTCTTTTTAGGCTAACTGCAAATAGAACACCTAGTTGGAATAAGCTATTCACGCTTTACGCCCATCGATGCTTGATTGACAGAGACAACAAGAGTAAAGAGCAGGGCCAGACGGAATCTGCGGACGTTTTTTGCTATTTCTGTGGAGAATTTTGGTAAAAATCTGCGGATTTCTGTGCAATTATTTTGGGAGTATCCAGCGGAGTATCATAACTTACACCTTAATATATTAAATAAAAAGTAATAAATTACTGAATAAAAACTGAATAAATTCAGATTTACACATTTACTCAAGTAATTAAACAGAATTAATGATAGGCTAAAAATCTGCAGAATTCTGTGAAAAATCTGTGGAATTCTGCGGGCGCAGATTCCGTGTGGGCCTAGAAGAGCTATGCAGCATCACAGCCTGAGTGGCGTACCTCGTAATGTGCACAGCAACATCTTTTGACGCGATTGATCATCAACCCGGTTCGAATTCACCATCTGCTGAACTTGTGCTACTTTTTTTCTCCTCATTACATATCAGATTACAAATATATTTATTTTTAACAGGAAGGAAACATTTTTAATAAATAATGCAAATGTGATATAAAGTCAAGTGCCTCGTGGGTATTTAATAATGTTTAGCCTTAATAAAGGTGCCTCCTTCTCTGTAAAAACTATATTGCTCAGACAACTGTATTTCATCTGAGCAAAAAAATCACATATAACTATTATTATTATGTTTAAATTGTCTTTCTTTCTTTAACTAAACAGAATGCTGTAATTGGTCAAGCGCGGAAACATCAGTTTTGAAATAACCCGCACTAAACTGAGCGGACTGTAGTGTAACGTTAGTATTAATCCTGAATCAAAAATGAGTGGACAAGTGGATTTAGCAAACGCGAGAGAAAGAGGAGAGGAGGCATCTTTATTGAGGCATTTTCCATACACACCTTCTTCAAACAGACCCATGATCAGGAGGATGAGGGTATAGAAGAAGACGTTATGGTAACGTTAGATCAGTAAGCTAGCATTAACCAGGCGGAGGAGGCTAACGGCAGCGCAGCGCGGACTGGATTCATCGTGAGAGAAACAGATAGAAAAAGGAGAGAGAGAGGGAGAGAGAAAGGCCCCGAAGAGGAGAGAGACCGGAGAGGAGAAGAGGTATAGTGTGTGTGATTTTCTGATACTTTTAGGTTTATAATCAAGTTGATCTATGCTGTTTGCCAACTTTTCATCACGAGAAGAGTAGAGAGAATACAGGGAGAGGAAGAGAGAGACAGTAAATCATTAATAAGTGTGTGTATTATTAAAGACTCAGATTCATAGAACTGGATTGGAGAGGCATTGTGTGATATAGCCTATGCCATGCAAACAATATGCTCTATCAGTTTGTAAAAGCTCTACATTAAAAATACCCTTAAAAATTATATATATAGTACTGTTTCAGTGAACTTGTACAAGTATACTAAAAAAACATTCAATTTATTAGTATTTTTATTCAATGCTTTAAGAAAATAAGTTAAATCTTTGTAAATACATATGTACTATATATCATTTATTTAAATATGTGGGCAACAAATTATAGATTCATTTTATTTAAAAAATATTATATTATTATTATTTTTTAAATTCAACTATAGGGGTAGGGCCAGGTAGGGGGCCTTACAAGATAATGTGCCCAGGAGCTCCTGAGTTCTTAATCCGGGCCTGGCCCCGCCTATTTGTTGCACGCGCAATCCCGGGAAAATTAAAAAAAACAGCCCCGCCCACAAACACAGTAGCAAAGAAAAAGAAGAAGGACACTGTATCAGACGCCAGTTGAATCATGTCACGAAGACGCTGTGCTCTGAAGTGTGAGGGGAAAGTTAGTGTTATTTTCTCTACTCAAAGATGAAACAGTGAAGAGTGAGTGGTTGAGGTTTATTTTGGCAAAAATACCTCAACATTACAGCCCAGGCTTGTGCTGTGTTCCTGTCATTTTTCTGATGAGTGCTTTAGATCAGAAAAGTCTGTTGACGTATGGGACTTTGTCAGAGCTCGACAGGAACTTTACAGTACACAGTTTATGGATCAGTTTCTTTCTCCATTTCACAAGTGTAAGTATGTGTAATTAAAATGGTTGCCTCTTTGTTTTCTCTACAAATTATGTATTTTATTGTTTTTTGCTACTTTTAACCGCTTGTAGTGCATCTGGTTAACTCTTTATATTCTCATATCACGTCTAATGCCATGATGAAAATGCGACGCGTGCCGCTTTGTTTACGGATTTAAATGCGTTTGCATTTAAATGCACAATCCACTGGCACTTGTCGTTGCTATGGCCATCATCAGTTTCCGGGATAAATAACAAAACGGGAGGGTGGCGGGAGATGGGTCTGAAATTACGGGAGACTCCCGGAAAAAAAACGTGAGTGTTGGCAGGTATACTCACACATACACTCTGCACTCTGACTACTTCAATATTGTTGATAAGCCATGGTGGCCATTTCTCTCCGTCTCACGCTGAACGCTGTTGACCAATCACAACAGAGTACAATAGGACCAATCAGTGCAGATTAGCATCGCGTTAGGGAGGGGTGTAGGAAAAAATTAATTGCTAAATAATCATATGAGAGTCGCTGCCATAATTTGGTAAAAATAAATGCATATTCTAAGACAATGAAACTGTTCTTTGACCTTGAATGCCCATCAGCCTGTTGTTGGAGACCCCCCCCCCCCCCCCCCCCCAAAAAAAAAAAATTCCAAAGAGTTTTTAAAGTAAAACTTGACTCTTGTGTAGTTAAAGTATGCACCAAGACTGATGGAAATGAATAGCTGCTATGTTCCAGCTTGACATGGCTAGTAACTATACCTATACGCCTCTCGGGAAGTATACATGGGCATTCTGTTTGAATGGGTAAATCAAATTCTTCAAAACTGCTTGCCAAGATTACGATTACATTACATATTATGAATAACCAATAAAATTGAACAGTAACTGTCCTTTTAGTTTCATTTATAAACGTCCATATCACACAATATCTGCAGAAACTCACATCTAGTCCAAGCCCCTCCCCTGGAGAATTGTCATTCTATACTGATCGCTGATTGGCTCATGTACTAAAAGGTGGGATTTATTTGCCATATATCAATCACTGATTGGCTCCTGTACTAGAAGGTGGGGCTTCATTCGCCTATTGACTGTTTCACTTTTCCCATTCAAAAGTATACGAGTGACACGTCATGTGTATTCTATAATCTTTGCTATACTCTTCTGCAGTAATAATCAAGGATTTTGGACTATTTGTTAGACCCAGAGATCAGCTGAACGGATTAAAATGATCAAACACAACAGTTTAACTCTGAGTGACTTGAAAAATGAGCCTATTTGCCAAAAAGCCTTCCTTTAAATACGTCATAATTAATATAAAACATGTATGCAATGTAACTGCATAGAGACTCAAAATGTGTGTGTGTTTTTTATAATCAGTGAGGGACCACTGACTTCTCAAAATATCACAAGAACGCAAGCATGTTTGGAGTAAATGACGACAGAATTTTCACTTCTCGCCTTTTAATGATTCCTCTCTCTACAGCATATCTCCAAATTAATCAAAAATCAACCCTGAAACCTGTTTCCAAAAATCATCAGAAAATTTACAAGTACAAAAAGAACATTTTTGTGATTTTTTTATTATTATTATTATTTATTATTAAATATATTGCAGGGATAGTAGTACCTGTGTAATATTTTGAAATGAATTTCTTCTACCTGATTTGGGTGTAAAAATGTATTGTTGACCAAATATCATCTATAAATGGGAAAGAAAAATATTGTTTCCATTTTAAAATGTCTTTCAGGAAACATGTTCCACCAATGCGTAAAGCACTTTGAGTGTGCAGGAAACGTGCTATATAAATGTAAGGAATTATTATTATTTATTATTATTTATTCATTTCTATGTGAAACACTTTCATGAGCCCATTTAGCCAATAAGACAAAAACATAGTTTTACTAAAGTAAACTTACATTTATCCACAAAAAATAAACCTGACTGTATTTTTGTAGTAAAGCCATGGTTAATTGTGGTAAATATGCCATTTCAGCCTGCAGAATGGCATTTCAAACTGTGGCCTAACAAAAATATAGAAAATAAATATCGAGTTTCTGTAATATGAAACTAAACAATTCCTCTCCCTGTATAGTTCCTAAAGTTATCTAGACAGAAACAAATGTAAGTTAATTTTAACAGAATCACTCAAATAGCAATTAATCTGACTGATGTTAACGTTAAAGGTTTGATCGAGCTTTTAAGTAAAGCAATAGATAGTTTAAAGTTACAGTACCGTTAATATAACATTAATATTTACATTAAGTTGCATCAATGTTAGCATTAGCATCAAATGCTAATTAGCGCTACTAGCCTGTGACATACAGTAATAAACGTTAGATCTAATTACACTGACTTTAATATTCATTGGTTTAATTTGTAATTATTTATTTTATTTATGTTATTTTTTCTTTTTAATTCGCATTTTTCACTTAGTAAAGGCGGGGACTGTTGACTAACATTAGTAGCTCTAAATTAGTTGACTGGAATGCTGTGACAGTGTTAGCATGTAGCATGTTCACACATAAAATAAGTACAGTCCGCAATTAAAACCATGTCCTACCTTTTGTTGTAACTTAATAAAATCTACTGCAATTAATGTCAACAAAGAGGTTTAATCCACAAGAATTTGATCATTATTCCTACCTGTTCACATCGGTTCAGTCCTTATTTAGGCTAGAGTGGGTTATTTTTTGAGAATGAATCTGTGGATTTAAATAAATTGTGAGAGTCGATTCATCCTTGACCTATTCATAAATACAACAGTTGCTTTGTTGCTGAATAAATGTCTTATTCACTTAAGACAGTGTCCTACCACCACCTACTGGCGGTTTCAGGTAATACATGGATAACTTCATTTTGTTGCATATTTTTCTTTTTAATTTATTATTTGAAGCATTATTCATTTAAAAATAATTCACAAGAATAACTCATTAATAAGATAATAAATAATTAATAAGAATTTATATAATCATAATATATAAAATATAATATAAACGATAATAATGATACTGTTAAAAATGATAAATAATTGATAATGAAAATATAAAATAATTTAAATGAGCTACTCAAAATAAATGAATCATACACACACACGCGCACACACACACACACACACACACACACACACACACACACACACACACGTATAAATATATATAAACATGGCAATAATTGTAATAAAAAGTAAAACGCAGAAAAAGTTGTGCATGACAGAAAAAAATACATAGGCCTAAGTGCAAAATTAATTCAATTAATAATTGGAAAAAATGTGTATATAAGCAGGTGGCTGTGTGAGCACATTAAGGCGAATGAGCCAGTCAGTCTAGCGCGGGCCTGCATTAGAAGTTTGTTTTGTTTTAAAAAGTCTCTACGTAATACTAAATGGAATTGTGGAACTCTGACATCATCAGTGACAGTATAAAGCTTTTTGACGTAGCAGAAACTCTCATTAGCTTCTTTGGATGTCTAGTAGTTCAGTACTTTCTGCGATTCAACAGTACAGTGATACAATGGCATTTTCAAAACTGATTAACCGTCTGAAGAAAGCGTTTGGTGTTAAGTGTGCGAACGAACAACCGTGTGAGCCACTCGAACCCACCGGCAGCACGACAGAGAATCACCGTCATCTGATGACCGATGACCCGGCCGTCGCTGCAGGAAAACAGGCAGGGAGACAGAAAAAGAGGAAACTCAAATTGTCTCCCATCTTCTTCGCCTGTTTTTCCAGAAGAAGAGCTACTGTTGTTGGTAAAATAGATTTATGAGCACTTTTAATTACTAAAGCATACTGTTAAACACACCAAACGCATCACATAAGTGTTTAAAGATCAGAAATAAACATTAACTGGAAGACATTTTAGAAAGAGTTTCTTAAAGCCACAGTTCACATAAACAAGACAATTCTGTCATAATTTACTCCTTAAACCTGTTTGAGGTGCTTTCAGCCATTGACTTCCACAGTATTTTGTGTTCCTACAATGAAGGTTAATGGCTGCTGATTTCAGGAATTTTCTTCAGAATTTGTAGTTTTGTGTAAAAAACAGAAAAAATAAGAATTATTTGTATTAGGATTTTTTATTTCAGTGAGCTTTGCCTTTAGATATATAGTTTACTTGTTTGCTAATTCAATGCAGCAAACCCATGAAGATCATCAATAAAAACACATTGAGTAATGTTTCTGCAAATGAACTGTTCAAATATCTTGTCAAAAAGAGTTGTAGAGTCATATTAATGATGTTTCTTCCTCTCTTTAGATCAGCTATGTGTGCAGGAGATCCACGAACTTCACGCAGAGCCCATCAGTAGCTCTAAATTCTTCTGCACTGCTGTGAGCAACCTGGAGCTGGAAGTTCTCCAACCTCCAGCTCTTGATGCTCCAGCAGACGAAGATTTGGACTTTAAACCTGAAGTGAACAGCTTTGACTCTGCAGTGGTCATTGAGAACGACTCTGCAGAGCTTCACTTCCCAGAAGACATTGAATCCTCCCTCAGTGAGGACAGCCTGGAGCAAGAGCTTGATAGTCCTCCAAGTTCACCATCCGATGAGGACAATGAATCTCCAGTGAGCCAGCAGCTCATAACAGATGACATCTGTGACTCTGCCCTGGATGAAAACTCAAACCCTTTACCGGATCAGGTCTCACAAGAGGACTCTGCTGTGAAGTCTACAGCAGATGATGGGACCTGCTTGGACAATAGTAAGTTTATTGCTGGAGTTCAGAACATTTGTTTAAGCTCATCAATCTTTGTGAAATTATACAGTTGAAGTCAAAGTTATTCACCCTCCTGTGATTTTTTATTAATATTTTTTAAATATTTCCCAGATGATGCAGAGCAATAAAGTTTAAGTATTCAGAACTTTAAGCTGAACACAGGTATCTTGAAAATATCCAGTAAATATGATGTACTGTCATCACGACAAAGATAAAAGACATCAGTTATTAGAAATGAGTTATTAAAACTATCATGTTCTGAAATCTGACAATAATTCTGACTTCAACTGTTTGTGTTTTTATTTGGTTTATAATTTAATGACATTTTCTTCATTTTTAACAGATGACATCAGCTGCCGCTACAAACTCGGAAAGCAGCTTGGTGAAGGAGGTTTCGGCTCCGTGTATGAGGGGATTCGCATACAGGATGGTCTGCAGGTATTCATTTTTGTAGACTCAAATCCTCTGATGAAGTTCCCTGTTTAAAGAACATCATCAGAGCTTTCATTGTTTGGACATTTCTGCTGACGAATGAATCCTCTGTTCAGGATTTATGACTGAATGAAATGATCTCCGTGCACATGTTAATTGTTCGCTTGTTCCTTTAAACAGGTGGCAGTTAAATTTGTCCAGAAGACCCCAAATATGCAAGATGTCAGCTCTGTGAGTAGACTACACTTTCTGTTCGCTGTGTTCAGTTTATAAAGTCTTATATTTATTATAGACCACAGGCTGTGGTCAGAAACCCTTGTTTGAAAACCAACATTATTATTTTGTTTTCAGTCATGTGACCAGCCACTTCCTTTAGAGATCACCTTGGCAAACATGGCCAGCGGTGGCTCCAGGTGTCCGAATATTATTCAGCTCCTGGACTGGCAGATCTTTGAAAACCATTACGTCATGGTGATGGAGCGGCCTAGTCCAAGCATGGACCTGGAGGCATTCCTTGAAGTCAGCGGAGGAGTCCTCAGTGAGAAAACAGCACATACCATCATGAGGCAAGCTGTTTATGCGGCCAACGTGTGCTGTTACCGCGGGGTGTTCCACCGGGACATTAAGCTTCAAAACCTGCTGGTGAACCCCGACACACTGGAAGTCAAGCTGATCGACTTCGGGTGTGGAGACTTCATGATGGAATCAGCCTACAGTATCTTCTCTGGTAGGTGTTTTGAATAGTGTGGTCAAAAGTATCGACTTCGGTACCAATCGATTCTGACATTTAACAAGTCAATTTGAGCGCTGTTAAACACCACTGATTGGCCATTGGTGTTCACATGCTCAGCAAATATGACTGTGATGAGTGTCGGTATCGATTGGTATTTGATACTTTTGACAACACTAGTTATGAATGTGCATAAGCATTATTAATATACGTATTGAAAGCTGGTTAATTAGCACAGCTGAAGCCCATCTGGTATATATATTCAACATGATGCTAAACTAAACGTCTCTCCTCCAGGCACAGAAGCGTACATCCCGCCAGAGTTTTATGAAAAAGGATGCTACCGGGCCAAACCAGCGACGGTCTATTCTCTTGGGGTTCTTCTGTTCACAATGCTCCATGGAGAATTCCCATCAGCGTATGACCTGTACTACCTCCAACATGACTGGTCCAAATTTACCCTCTCTCAAGGTGAGATGTTCATCAAAGAACAATTAAGTGAAACAGCTTAATAATAATAATAATAACAATAACCTCACCTCTCCATTTCTTCTTCACAGAATGCTGTGATATGATGAGGGCTTGTCTGCATGAGAATCCAGAGTGCAGAATTCCTCTAGAAGAGATGCCTTACCACGACTGGTCCATGCTGGAGTTCTGAGTCACATTAGCAGAATGTTTTGTATATTTGATTTTTCTACATGTCTGTAATAAAGATATATTTTATTGAACTCACTTGTGTTGTGGCTTATATTGTGATCTAGCCCCAGTGTTGTCAGATTGTGTGGATTTAAAATGGTTTTGTATGGGGTGACAAAAATGAGGTTTAAACAGCATCCAGTCCTTTCCAACACACACTGCAGTTGACACTGGCGTCATTACGGCGCACTTTTAGAAATACACTTTTTCAGAATGCTGTACAGCGCTGACCCAAAACCTAAACATATCAGTCACTGCGACATCAGCAAATCATCCATAAATATTCCAATGGTTTATTGTGAAATCAGAGCTGTTCAGAAAAATGTATTAAAATACAAACGTCGTAACATGAGAATGTGAGACTCAATACAAAACATCAGCATTTTCACAATAAGAGCACCCAGTTTTATTAAGGTCGTTGAGTGTTTGTTGCCCTCATGACAATCCTAAACAAAATATTCAGTGATATTCCTTCAAATCAATACTGATAGTGTAGTTTGCACAGACACACTGAGGTTTATCCAGTGTACAGAAGTCTGAATCATCCACATTATTTCATACGCTTCCAGAAACACGTTTACTACACGAATGTCCAGCGTTTGCTAAAACTGTTCAACTCTTTAGATGATTCCTTTCTTACAACATCTCCAACTATGACAGCTTCTCATTACTCACCATTTCTTAATCTTACTAAATACTTGACTTGATGTCGCTCTGTGGACTCTGGGGTCATGTGCAGCATGAGCAGGTCGGCCCCCCGGCGGACCAACACATTTAAGCTTTCGCTGGTCCTCACAGCATTATATATCTCCTCCGGCGTGTTCACCTTTACCCCATTGATCTCAATAATAACATCTCCTGGCTTCATTCCGGCTCTGCAAAACAGAAAACAGGAAATGACATCATCAATAGGATGCCTTAATCAACAGCTGATAACATCATGTTCAGAGAGCAGCACACCTGTTGGCTGGAGATCCTACAATCACACGGTGGATGAGAACTCAGGGAAGGACGGGTCTCGCATCCTTAGCTCTTCGATTATACTGAGGAGGGGAAAAAGAGAATTTAAAGATAATAAAAGACTCACTTCAGTGCAAAGTTTACAGTTTAAGGATTGATTGATAAATAGATAAGATAGATAGATTCATAGATAGATTGATTGATTAATTGATAGTTTAATAGACAGATCAGCAAAACAATCAATATTACATTTGCTTCAACCAAAAACACTTCAATGTCTGCGGTTTAATTACTCTTGCTAATAACATAGTAAAAACATCCGAAAAGCATTATTCCCATAATACATTTGTTTTTGAGTAGTTTTTTTCTGTCACTGCAACACAGAAAGGCCTTTGTCCTGCCCTTACATTTCAGGTAAAACTAAACAAGGTTGACTGTGATTGGCCACTTTTCATTTCATTTAAATCACTGCTTCGGAATCACGGTAGATTGTGGAGGTATTTTTGCATTAAATTGTCACAAAAATTCACAAACATTTTTATTTTTCGGGCGTGAAAATTGCATACAAATTGTCCTTGATAAATTAAGCACTTTTCAACAGAACAAGCCAATTTTCCAGGTATTCCAGCACTTGAATTTATAAGAGCCAAATCTAGTGGTAAATAACAAAAATCTGCAGATTCCATAATGTATGAATTTTGCTCTCCTGTAAAATTGTAATAAAAGTGTTTGGCACCTGGGGGTCAAAGTCAACATCATCACTCCAATGTAACGCCTTTTCGATCCCGATTCTCCAAACCAAGAGTCTGAAAAAAAGACCCAATAACCATCTGTCAGTGAAAAAAAATGCTGTCACAGACAAAAGCAAGCAGCTGTGAGGTCATTCTTACTCTATCTACAGATCGGTCTAGGAAGAGACGGACTCTGTCTGAGGGAATAGCGAAGGAAATCCCTGCTGTCACTTTCATGGTATTAATGCCGATGACCTCACCATCCTGAAGAGTACAAACATGACACATCAGTTTATTACATAAGGCTAGAGTATGGCCAGTACAATACAATACTGATGAACATTTGAAAACAATTCACGTTCTTAATATGACAGTCATGAAGCTCTGTGTTGCTCTGAAGGTCCAGCAATCTATAGTCAACTACTAAATGTGCACTAATAACTTTCTCCTTCACATTATTGTACAAGGAGGGTACCACCATAGCTGTGAGATACGTTCTACTTGGGATTTCGTAGAGTGGTTCTAGCACACTAATTAAATGCCTAAAACCGGAGTTTTCTACCCCTGAAAAAGGTTGCATGTCTGTGGCTATAAATACTCCTACCCTAATACTCCTACTATTATGCCTACAATTGTCTTTGCTTGTGTTGAGTTACTTGGAATTTTTATTCCAAATGAAGACAGGAGAGTAGTTTGTGTTACACTTGTCGGTTTAACAGACAAAGTAATGATTTTGTGGACATCAGTAATTTAACTATTTGCCTTAATCTGATTAAAACAATAATATGATTAAGGTGTTTACATGAGTTGCTTTTTGAATGTTCCTTTCATGATCCCGTTTTACATGTTAAAGCACATAATACGATTAACGTCATTGTGTCACCACGCTATCCACGTTTCCTCCGGAGTGTCATGTAATTTTGGGGAGTTTCATTCTTAATTTGTCGACTTTAACTGCAGTTTGGCACTTTCATTTTCATTCAAGAACATTTCATGCGTGCCCCCATGACAAACGACATATTGGATCCGAGGAACTGCTAGAAGAGTGTAGTTTTAATGGCCTACTTCGCCATCTGAACAACAAGGAACACCGATTGCTTACTTACCAAATCCGTAGAGACAGGACAATCAACGCGAACTGGATTTGCGATTTTTTTTATAAGAAGACGAGTGGCAAATCTGGATTTTACCATTTATAATACAAAAAGCTCTCGGGTAAAAATGTTCCTTACAAACATTTTTGTTGCGTGTTAGAAGACCACTGTAGTCCACAAATGTGGGTCCTTTCTCATCGCGGGGAAATGAAACAAAACCTTTGTTGTGGCAAGTTTATAAACAACACTGACGACCCATGTCTCCGAACAATTCTTCTTCTTCCACTTGTTTTATTTACGGTTAGCAACACAACGTCGCGTCTCTCTGAATACTGTAACAGGTAGTTTTTGAAGCTATCATGCATATTAATAAAGCTGCACCTCATTCACAATAGAGAGCGCTGATTAGTTCGTCTTTCTCTTGAATTAATGATGAAAGCTCAAAGACGTAACATTGTACCCGCCGGTACAGACACCCAGTCTCCATGCTGGAACTTACACAAGGAGCTCATGGCCTTGACGTAGCTTCAAAATTTCTTTTCAAACCGGAAGAACGAATTTGTTTGAAATAACGCAAAAACAACCAATTTTCACTTTTATTGTTAAATATGTGTCCTAAGAGTGTTTTTAGCAGCGTGAGACATATATATGACTATTGACATCTCAAAAATGTGTTTCGGTGTTTCGTGACGCTTTAAACCAAAAGGCAGAAGCAGTCAGTTGAGTAAATGTCAGCGACTCACCAGGTTTATGAGAGGCCCTCCTGAATTTCCAAACTGTAAAGCAGAATTGTGATTGAGTGATGGAATGCAATTCATTAAATGATGACATACATTTTTTTTGCATGCAACACCCAGTTTCCAGTGCTCTTACATCTATGGTAGCGTCCGTCTGGATGTAGTCCATGTTGGAGTTGGAGAGACCCAGTTCTTTACTGCCTCTTTGAGCAGAGCTGACGATTCCAGATGTGATGGTGTTTTTAAGAGAAAAGGGGCTCCCCATGGCAACCACAAATTCACCTTGACGCACATCAGATGACTTGCCAAGACGCAACGTTGGTAAAGGATTCTGGGACAAGACAGAGAACACAATGACACTATGTCAGACTATATGGCCATGTACTAGAACTGTGGTAAAAGAAAAGTGTGAAAAATCAATTGCAAAAATGGCGTTCCAAACATTAAAGCCTCCTCTGTTACTGTTGGTTTACCTAAAATTGTTGACTATAATATTCTGTAGTTGCTGTAATATTACTGCGTTTAAAAATCTGAGGATACGAAACCAAATGTCACTAAGGTTATCACAATTTCGAGTTTATTTCCATATTTGTATGCGGCCGTTCCTCCTGAAATATTACAGTGTGTATGTAGCATAAATACAGTATAATCAGATTAATGGGTTAACACCAGGGCTTGACATTAACACCCACCAACCGCAGGTAGACTTTAGCTGTGGCGGATTAGACAGCCACTCCCACTAGTCACTTTGGCTGGTCGAAAATCATTTTTAAATTGTATTTTTTTTTTTGAAGTAGGGTTCGACAATAAGGATGAACCTCTATAAATGAGAAGCAGCCCGACTGACAAAAACAACTGTGTTCACGCAAGCAAAAGAAAGCAGATGAATACAGAATGTTATGTGATGCGCGCAATTTTTTAAAAGCGTGCACGATCCCATTTCCTTGCGTGAAGCAACCTTGACCGGAAACACAATGCTGCGATCGGTTCTGTTTGAAATAGACTTCACAAAAAGCGATACACATCCACCATTTTCAAGAGCTCGAGATTAAAAAAAAAAGAAGGTATTTTATGTATGCAGCAGCAGTTGCAGCTTTAGCTTTAAATAATCTTTGAACAGATTATTAATGGGCCTAACGTTAACTGTGTGCGTTTGATCATCCTTTTATTATTGCACACGGTATGTTTTTCACCTGCTTTCTTTTTGTTAATATGATTTAATTATCATTCTTTTCAGTAACATTGATTTAATAGATTAAATTTAATGTATAGTTAACTGCTGATCTGAGACCTTGGTCTTGGAGCTAGGACAGACTACTTTTCATAGTTTTAGACAGGCTACATGACAATAATTGTTAGTTTAGTTTTATTTAATAAAAAGTGTTTGCATATTATAACATATATTTCGCTAGTTTTTGAAATTTTAAAATTATTTAACATTTTTGGCTAAGAAATACTTATTAATTAATTAATTTATTTATTTTCCAGTGTGGTCAGAGAAAAAATTGGTACAACCTTAATGTTGAGCCCTGAAATAACTACAAAGCAACACCATGAAACCACTACCACTCATGCTCATTGAGCAATGTCATACACAACACATCTAAATCAAGTAATTTTGCAAATATATTTTCCCAACAACAAAAGTGAAAATGGCGAGTGGCTAGTAAAGTTGAAAAACTACTAGCCATATAGGCTGGTGATCAAAAAAGTTAATGTAGAGCCATAAAAAACATTAAAAATCATATTGACCTCACACTTTTAATGTACTAACAGTAACACAATTTTGATTCTATAGGTTTAATTCTTAAATGAACAAAATTCAAAAAGAAATTACTCATTTGATAAAGACCTTTTACTAAAAATGTAAATTAATAAAATAAAATGAGTCCTTGTTCTTACCATATTAAACTATGACTCAATAAAAATAATGATGCACCGATACCATTTTTTTGCAACTGATTCGATTTCGATCCCAAAATTCTGAGTATCGACCAATACAGATCCGATCCTGATACTGTGCCATTTTTTTAAGCATAATATAGTTTCTATGGTGATGTGGTCCAGCTTATGTTTCCTTTTTTAATAGTAAGATTTTTCTTTGAACTCTGCAACAGGCTACCACTATTGACCCTAATCAAAACACAAACTGGTCTGTTAAATAAACTATTGATATAAATAAAATTACAGTCAAATATTCACAGTTTCAGAGTAACCTATATGAGGCTTAATTATTTTCTGTTAATGACAATCAATATTGTGCCTGTCAGTTTCACTTTTATTAATTTAATCAACAACTTTGACCACAATGAGCCAGGCTTACAAACTACCCTAAAAGTATTCCCCTCGAAAGAATAAACTCAGTCGGAAGGATGAGAAAACAGAAACTTTTAATGTTACAGAATAATTTTACAGAGCGGCACACGTCACATCAGCCGGTGTGTGAATGAAGTGCTTGATGCATCACTGAGACAGCTTCCAATCCAAAACAGCAGTAAAAAGGGAAGAAATCAGTGCGTTAAGGATCTGTCCAATGTATTATTGAGCCTTTTCTAGTTTTAAATTTCAGGTAGGCCTACTTTGTGTGTGAAGAGCAGGTAATAACCCACTCAGTTCCAGTGTTGCGAATGCGATCTGCTGTTCTAACAGCTACATGATTTAGAAACAAAAATGAACTCGTCGTTTCAGGTCGAAATGAACCAATATAATATATATTATATTATAATAAATTAATATAATGTAATATAATAAATTAATATTTATTTAAATTAACAGGGACAAATAGTGTTGGAGAAAGTTTTTCATGTTGTCATGAACGTGACACGCAGTTTGAATTGTAAATAAATTGGAGAATGATTGACAGGCGCAGCGGAGGGAAGCGCAGAACTGAACATGAATTTAAGCATGTGAATATTGATCTGTACTTCACATTAAACTATAGAATGGCTTCAAAACATTTGGGATACAGTAGGCCTACAAGACAACTTTCTACTGTCTTATAAAAGGCTACCTTTCTGGCTTTTGTTTGCTTATAAATTACACAGAATATAGAGCACGTGCAAGATGGGATTTGGATCGGTACCTGCTGGCCGAAACCCGATCCAGTAAAAATATGCAGTATCAAACCGATATCCAATCCAAGTATCAGGATCGATGCATCCCTAATTAAAAAATAAAATATCCCCAAAAGATAACATATGTTAACAGTACAACCTCAAAGCTCCATCTGTACCTTAACATTGATTTTGATGGTGGCGATGTCTGCAGCCTGGTCCACATCCTGAACTGTGGCGTTGTATGTCTCACCATTGGTCAGTTTGACACGAACACCACGCTTGTTGGCGACCACATGGCCATTTGTCACTATGAGGTCATCACTACTTATTATAAAGCCAGAACCATTCGAGATGGGAACCTCACGGCCAGAAAAGGGGTGTCTGAAAGAAAGAGTGTTATATTAGTCACAATTCCCAAACACAACTGAAACTAAAACCATCTGGTCATCTTAAAATAGAAACAAGTGATCCAAAAAGTCTCTATAGAGAAAATCAACATAAAACACCCTGCTGAAAAAAAAAAACAATCCTGTTGAGCGCGCGCATGTAAAGGTAACTGGGTGAACAAGTCAAACAAAGTATATACACAAGAGAACATAAAAATATACAACAATTCAAAAAAATGAAGCAAGAATAATAAAGATTTAAATAAAACATATAATAGATAGATAGTACAATAATAATAATGATAGTAATAATGTCAGTGAAAATGACAACAGCATTATTAATAACAACAACAACAACTACAACTACCACTTTTGATTACTTAACATTCAGAAATTAAACCGAATTAACAAAAAATATTGTAAATATATGTGTAGTGTTAAAACACTGTTGGGTTTTACAACCCTGCGAGATGTGAGAATGTTTTACCAATAGAAATGATAAAAAAGTAAAGAATTAGGTTAACTTGATTGTTTTTATAAATGTAAGTGAGTTGAACATAAAACAGTCAAGTTGCCCCCAATAAACTTAAGAATTGAGTTGCTTCAACACGTTAAATAAGTGTTTTATAAATGTCTGATAACAATAATTGTGTCAATAATAATGACATTTGGGGAAAAAGGGTTTGGTTCTATTTTTGTAGTAATTAAATGTTTATAATTTAAAATGTTTATAATAATTAGATGTTTTGCCGCCTTGTTTTTGAATTGTCCAATGCAAAAAGACCCTCTTATAGCAAGATTAGAGATGCACCGAAATGAAGCTTGTTGATTGAAACTGAAAATTCTAGATGCATTTGGCTGAAAACTGACACTGAAAAGGCTTTTTAATAATTGGGAATTATTTTAATACATAAAAAAAAATTATAGTTTTATATCAAATAATAAAGTAATTTGGCGACGCAGTAGGTAGTGCTGTCACCACACAGCAAGAAAGTCGTAAGTTCGAGCCTCGGCTAAGTCGGTTGGCATTTCTGTGTGGAGTTTGCATGTTCTTCCTGCGTATGCGTGGGTTTTCTCCGAGTGCTATGGTTTCCCCCACAGTCCAAAGACATGCGGTACAGGTGAATTGAGTAGGCTAAATTGTCCGTAGTGCATGAGTGTGAATGAGTATGTATGTATGTTTCCTAGAGATGGGTTGCAGCTGGGAGGGCATCCGCTGCGTAAAAACATATGCTGGATAAGTTGGCGGTTCATTCCGCTGTGGTGACCCCAGATTAATAAAGGGACTGAGCCGAAAAGAAAATAAACGAATGAATGAATAAAGTATTTTGTGAGGCTTTTAAATTAAACTCAATAACTTAAATTAACAGTGAAATTAATAGTAAAAATAAAAATGATTCCATCATTTACTCACCCTCTGCATGTTTGAACTCATTATGAGTTTCTTTCTTCTGTAAAACACAAAAGAAGACATTTTCAATAATGCTGAAAACCTCTAGCTATTGACTTCCATAGCAGGAAAAATAACTACTATAAAAGTCAATGTTCAGGTTTTCAGCATTACCCTTAAAAAATTATATATATATATATATAGTACTGTTTCAGTGAACTTGTACAAGTATACTAAAAAAACATTCATTTTATTAGTATTTTTATTCAATGCTTTGAAAAATAAGTTAAATCTTTGTAAATACATATGTACTATATATAATTTATTTAAATATGTGGGCAACAAATTATAGATTCATTTTATTTAAAAAATATTATATTATTATTATTTTTTTAAATTCAACTATAGGGGTAGGGACAGGTAGGGGGCCTTACAAGATAATGTGCCCAGGAGCTCCTGAGTTCTTAATCCAGGCCTGGCCCCGCCTATTTGTTGCACGCGCAATCCCGGGAAAATTAAAAAAAAACCCAGCCCCGCCCACAAACACAGTAGCAAAGAAAAAGAAGAAGGACACTGTAGCAGACGCCAGTTGAATCATGTCGCGAAGACGCTGTGCTCTGAAGTGTGAGGGGAAAGTTAGTGTTATTTTCTCTACTCAAAGATGAAACAGTGAAGAGTCAGTGGTTGAGGTTTATTTTGGCAAAAATACCTCAACATTACAGCCCAGGCTTGTGCTGTGTTCCTGTCATTTTTCTGATGAGTGCTTTAGATCAGAAAAGTCTGTTGACGCAAGGGACTTTGTCAGAGCTCGACAGGAACTTTACAGTACACAGTTTATGGATCAGTTTCTTTCTCCATTTCACAAGTGTAAGTATGTGTAATTAAAATGGTTGCCTCTTTGTTTTCTCTACAAATTATGTATTTTATTGTTTTTTACTACTTATGCTTGTAGTGCATCTGGTTAACTCTTTATATTCTCATATCACGTCTAATGCCATGATGAAAATGCGACGCGTGCCGCTTTGTTTACGGATTTAAATGCGTTTGCATTTAAATGCACAATCCACTGGCACTTGTCGTTGCTATGGCCATCATCAGTTTCCGGGATAAATAACAAAACGGGAGGATGGCGGGAGATGGGTCTGAAATTACGGGAGACTCCCGGAAAAAAAACGTGAGTGTTGGCAGGTATACTCACACATACACTCTGCACTCTGACTACTTCAATATTGTTGATAAGCCATGGTGGCCATTTCTCTCCGTCTCACGCTGAACGCTGTTGACCAATCACAACAGAGTACAATAGGACCAATCAGTGCAGATTAGCATCGCGTTAGGAAGGGGTGTAGGAACAAATTAATTGCTAAATAATCATATGAGAGTCGCTGGCATAATTTGGTAAAAATGAATGCAGATTCTAAGACAATGAAAGTGTTCTTTGACCTTGAATGCCCATCAGCCTGTTGTTGGAGACCCCCCCCCCCCCCCCCCTCAAAAAAAAAAAAAAATTCCAAAGAGTTTTTAAAGTAAAACTTGACTCTTGTGTAGTTAAAGTATGCACCAAGACTGATGGAAATGAATAGCTGCTATGTTCCAGCTTGACATGGCTAGTAACTATACCTATACGCCTCTCGGGAAGTATACATGGGCATTCTGTTTGAATGGGTAAATCAACTTCTTCAAAACTGCTTGCCAAGATTACGATTACATTACATATTATGAATAACCAATAAAATTAAACAGTAACTGTCCTTTTAGTTTCATTTATAAACGTCCATATCACACAATATCTGCAGAAACTCACATCTAGTCCAAGCCCCTCCCCTGGAGAATTGTCATTCTATACTGATCACTGATTGGCTCATGTACTGAAAGGTGGGCTTTATTTGCCAAATATCAATCACTGATTGGCTCCAGTACTAGAAGGCGGGGCTTCATTCGCCATAATGACTGTTTCACTTTTCCCATTCAAAAGTATACGAGTGACACGTCATGTGTATTCTATAATCTTTGCTATACTCTCATTCTGCAGTAATAATCAAGGATTTTGGACTATTTGTTAGACCCAGAGATCAGCTGAATGGATTAAAATGATCAAACACAACAGTTTAACTCTGAGTGACTTGAAAAATGAGCCTATTTGCCAAAAAGCCTTCCTTTAAATACGTCATAATTAATATAAAACAAAAGTATATTGTTTGCTTTCATAACTTAAATTACGGTCAATGTAACTGCATAGAGACTCAAAACGTGTGTGTGTGTGTGTGTGTGTGTGTTTTTTATAATCCGTGAGGGACCACTGACTTCTCAAAATATCACAAGAACGCAAGCATGTTTGGAGTAAATGACGACAGAATTTTCACTTCTCGCCTTTTAATGATTCCTCTCTCTACAGCATATCTCCAAATTAATCAAAAATCAACCCTGAAACCTGTTTCCAAAAATCATCAGAAAATTTACAAGTACAAAAAGAACATTTTTGTGATTTTTTTATTATTATTATTATTTATTAAATATATTGCAGGGATAGTAGTACCTGTGTAATATTTTGAAATGAATTTCTTCTACCTGATTTGGGCGTAAAAATGTATTGTTGACCAAATATCATCTATAAATGGGAAAGAAAAATATTGTTTCCATTTCAAAATGTCTTTCAGGAAACATGTTCCACCAATGCGTAAAGCACTTTGAGTGTGCAGGAAACGTGCTATATAAATGTAAGGAATTATTATTATTAATTATTATTTATTCATTTCTATGTGAAACACTTTCATGAGCCCATTTAGCCAATAAGACAAAAACATAGTTTTACTAAAGTAAGCTTACATTTATCCACAAAAAATAAACCTGACTGTATTTTTGTAGTAAAGTCGTGGTTAATTGTGTTAAATATGCCATTTCAGCCTGCAGAATGGCATTTCAAACTGTGGCCTAACAAAAATATAGAAAATAAATATCGAGTTTCTGTAATATAAAACTAAATAATTCCTCTCCCTGTATAGTTCCTAAAGTTAACTAGACAGAAACAAATGTAAGTTAATTTTAACAGAATCACTCAAATAGCAATTAATCTTACTGATGTTAAAGTTAAAGGTTTGATCGAGCTTTTAAGTAGAGCAATAGATAGTTTAAAGTTACAGTACCGTTATTATAACATTAATATTTACATTAAGTTGCATCAATGTTAGCATTAGCATCAAATGCTAATTAGCGCTACTAGCCTGTGACATACAGTAATAAACGTTAGATCTAATTACACTGACTTTAATATTCATTGGTTTAATTTGTAATTATTTATTTAATTTATGTTATTTTTTCTTTTTAATCCGCATTTTTCACTTAGTAAAGGCGGGGACTGTTGACTAACGTTAGTAGCTCTAAATTAGTTGACTGGAATGCTGTGACAGTGTTAGCATGTAGCATGTTCACACATAAAATAAGTACAGTCCGCAATTAAAACCATGTCCTGCCTTTTGTTGTAACTTAATAAAATCTACTGCAATTAATGTCAACAAAGAGGTTTAATCCACAAGAATTTAATCATTATTCCTACCTGTTCACATCGGTTCAGTCCTTATTTAGGCTAGAGTGGGTTATTTTTTGAGAATGAATCTGTGGATTTAAATGAATTGTGAGAGTCGATTCATCCTTGACCTATTCATAAATACAACAGTTGCTTTGTTGCTGAATAAATGTCTTATTCACTTAAGACAGTGTCCTACCACCACCTACTGGCGATTTCAGGTAATACATGGATAACTTCATTTTGTTGCATATTTTTCTTTTTAATTTATTATTTGAAGCATTATTCATTTAAAAAGAATTTACAAGAATAACAAATTTATATAATCATAACATATAAAATATAATATAAACGATAATAATAATACTGTTAAAAATGATAAATAATTGATAATGAAAATATAAAATAATTGAAATGAGCTACTCAAAATAAATGAATCATACACACACGCACACACACACACACACACACACACAAACACACACACACATACACACACACACACGCGTATAAATATATATAAACATGGTAATAATTCTAATAAAAAGCAATAACGCAGAAAAAGTTGTGCATGACAGAAAAAATACATAGGGATAAGTGCAAAATTAATTCAATTAATAATTGGAAAAAATGTGTATATAAGCAGGTGGCTGTGTGAGCACATTAAGGCGAATGAGCCAGTCAGTCTAGCGCGGGCCTGCATTACAAGTTTGTTGTGTTTTAAAAAGTCTCTACGTAATCCCAAATGGAATTGTGGAACTCTGACATCATCAGTGACAGTATAAAGCTTTTTGACGTAGCAGAAACTCTCATTAGCTTCTTTGGATGTCTAGTAGTTCAGTACTTTCTGCGATTCAACAGTACAGTGATACAATGGCATTTTCAAAACTGATTAACCGTCTGAAGAAAGCGTTTGGTGTTAAGTGTGCGAACGAACAACCGTGTGAGCCACTCGAACCCACCGGCAGCACGACAGAGAATCACCGTCATCTGATGACCGATGACCCGGCCGTCGCTGCAGGAAAACAGGCAGGGAGACAGAAAAAGAGGAAACTCAAATTGTCTCCCATCTTCTTCGCCTGTTTCTCCAGAAGAAGAGCTACTGTTGTTGGTAAAATAGATTTATGAGCACTTTTAATTACTAAAGCATACTGTTAAACACACCAAACACAACACATAAGTGTTTAAAGATCAGAAATTACATTAACTGGAAGACATTTTAGAAAGAGTTTCTTAAAGCCACAGTTCACATAAACAAGACAATTCTGTCATAATTTACTCCTTAAACCTGTTTGAGGTGTTTTCAGCCATTGACTTCCACAGTATTTTGTGTTCCTACAATGAAGGTTAATGGCTGCTGATTTCAGGAATTTTCTTCAGAATTTGTAGTTTTGTGTAAAAAACAGAAAAAATAAGAATTATTTGTATTAGGATTTTTTATTTCAGTGAGCTTTGCCTTTAGATATATAGTTTACTTGTTTGCTAATTCAATGCAGAAAACCCATGAAGATCATCAATAAAAACACATTGAGTAATGTTTCTGCAAATTAACTGTTCAAATATCTTGTCAAAAAGAGTTGTAGAGTCATATTAATGATGTTCCTTCCTCTCTTTAGATCAGCTATGTGTGCAGGAGATCCACGAACTTCACGCAGAGCCCATCAGTAGCTCTAAATTCTTCTGCACTGCTGTGAGCAACCTGGAGCTGGAAGTTCTCCAACCTCCAGCTCTTGATGCTCCAGCAGACGAAGATTTGGAATCTAAACCGGAAATGAACAGCTTTGACTCTGCAGTGGTCATTGAGAACGACTCTGCAGAGCTTCACTTCCCAGAAGACATTGAATCCTCCCTCAGTGAGGACAGCCTGGAGCAAGAGCTTGATAGTCCTCCAAGTTCACCATCTGATGAGGACAATGAATCTCCAGTGAGCCAGCAGTTCATAACAGATGACATCTGTGACTCTGCCCTGGATGAAAACTCAAACCCTTTACCGGATCAGGTCTCACAAGAGGACTCTGCTGTGAAGTCTACAGCAGATGATGGGACCTGCTTGGACAATAGTAAGTTTATTGCTGGAGTTCAGAACATTTGTTTAGGCTCATCAATCTTTGTAAAATTATACAGTTGAAGTCAAAATTATTCGCCCTCCTGTGATTTTTTTATTAATATTTTTTAAATATTTCCCAGATGATGCAGAGCAATAAAGTTTAAGTATTCAGAACTTTA